AATCTGACCTGAGACTTTTAGGAGATGCAAGCAAAATTTGGAAGCAGACACGAATTTCGAGGAGTCAATGTAACCTTCGACGCTATTTCGCGTGGGATGAAAATCTGTATGTCCGGGAGCAGTCTGGGGAGGGCCCTTGACTACTTGCTCTCCGATGATTCACCGGGCGAGATGTAGCATGGACCATTTGACAAAGATACAGTTGCTGTGAAGTTAAGATATTGGGAAATCACCCTGTGGCACCTGAAGTTCTGAGGCTGCGTCCTAAAGTATAGTTGGATGAACAACCAAGAAAAAAACGGTGAGATACGTCTATAATCCTCAACGCCTAATGCAGTTACATATGTTTGTCATCATGTTGGTTCCGGGCTCATATTGTCCTCAATAAAAAAGCCCAGCAGCCTATGTGATGACGGGCCATGCATCTATCCGATACCGAACCCCTCTCGTTTGTTATGATTTTTTGAGGCTGTGTTTCTTCTTGTTTATTTGTGTTTCTGGAGAGTGTCTGTCGCGGAGGGAAGATGGATCCCTCTTCTGTAGCTGTCTCTGGTTTTGGTTTCAAATTAGGTCATCTGAGAACCTGCGCGTGCGTTTCCATTCGTCACGACTCCTTGCGCAATAATTGCCCCTAGCTAGGTCTTTGTCTTAGTTTCGTCCACCTTGAGGGCGGGTCTAAGTCAAGACAGGAGGGGGCACTCAGTAGCAAAGTGGTAACGAGTGAGAGGTCTTCTCTTTCATTAATTGAAGATCTAGAATGTTATGAACTTCTTTCCTTCTTATTGTTGATTCCTAATGTTCAATTCCTAGAATGCTCATTGTTCAGGAGGTTGAGAGCTAAAAGGGTGATCTAGGGTCGAGGGTTCCAACCCCACTTCCTTCATTTTTTGACCACCCGTACTTTCCTTATTTCTCTCCAATTAGTTTGCTTCCATGTTCCACTCTTTTCACTCCTGTTACCAATTGTGGCTTCTTTGTTATCTTTGAAGTCTGCAATTTAGGTGGTTGTTGGCCGCCACGAATGGTGAACACATTTCGGACAACTATTGTAATCTATTTATTGTCTGATAATGTGTCCTCCTGTTCCCAATTTCGCATGCTGTAATTGCTTGTTCCTGTTTGCTGGGTCCACATCCAGCCCCATCAATCCGTCCTTCGCAATATCTGTTCACAATCATCACAATCAATTCCGAGATGTCATAATCCTCAACTCACAGAATCATATCAAATCTCCAAGACTAGCCCAAGCCCCAGAGAACCATACCCATCAATCCCCAACGGAGTCCCTCCATCTCACCGTGCACCTCGTCCCAGGCCCCGCCGTCGTCACGCTCGCCTCACCCCCGTGTCCGTCTCGCTTGGCTCTGGACATACAACGGGCACTCGCGCGTGTCCGTTGATCACCGATCACCGAGGTATCCCGTTTCTTTAATATCCCCGGCTCTCCCCGTGTTCACAACAGGTGTGCGTCGTATATCATTCTCTTTGACATTCCCTGACAGATGACAACCTTATGAATGTCATATTTAATATCGCACCGGGAAACAAAGATGTAATTACTTGTGGGGCTTTGGGCTATTTCCCAGCTCTGATCGAGGCTCAAGGGCTTTGAATATATTGTTGTACTATTGCATATAATAACATCATTTCAAATTTTCATTGTCTTTCATATTCTATCCCTGTTCCGAGAGTCTCGCCAGTGGCGGATCAACGGGGATTTAGGGGTCTAAACTCCCTTCTTGGGCTACAAAAAAAAGAAGAAAATCGTGCAGAAACCAGGATCCGCCCCTGCCCTCTAGATCATTTTGCCAACATCAAACAATGTCAGACCAAGTTAGCCGATCATCAAGCACACTTTAACCATGCACAAAAAAACAACGTGTACGAACAAAGAGACCAAAACGCAATTGAAAAAAAAGGCAAGGAAGACGGACAATTACGCAAGGAAGACGGGAACTTCGAGAGAAAGTAAGCAAATGAATGAAGACACCAACAGACAGAAATAGGCCTGCCGAGACAGATTAAAAAGCAGTAAAAAAGTAAAGCAAACAGGTAGCACCCCACCTCAAAAACCCTAACATTATGAACCAAAATACACCCAAACGGTACGGTACGAACGCACACACGTTTGCAAACTGACAGGAAACCATTTAAACGCGCAAATACCAATTAAATGAAATTCGAGTGAGCAAGTAGGCAAGCTAAAAAAGGCCCCCCCCAAACACCCCCCCAACAACAACAACAACACGAACCCCCCCCCCCAAAAAAAAAAAAAAAAAACAAAACAAAACAAAACAAAACCCACAACAACAACCGGAGTGCAAACCTTCATACGCAACCTGAAAGAAACCATCAAGGAATGGCAAAGTTGTTCTGAAAAGATACGAAACAGCAAATATAAATCCAATCAAACATAGGCACAAACAAACAAGTCAACAAGAAGGCCAAGCATACAGCACTCAAGCAAACATGTGCAATCAATCAAGCGCGCAAACAAACAGACAATCACAAGCGGACCCAAGAAGATGGCCCCTTACACTATACAGATCCCATAACCCAACAAGACTGTCCTTTTGTTACTTGAGAAAACATCAAGAAGGTTGAGGCTTTCCGTGGGGGTGAAGGGGGGGGGGGTGCGGCTGGCCGGCGCGTGGCGCACATCTGTCACAGCGCGCGCACGGCCCGTGCGAACCACCGTCGATTTACTCTACCATCCCGGTTTGATAACTCACAGACTCTTCTCGTTCAATTAAAGGTGTCGACCGGATCCGCACAGTGGCCAGAAAATAGAGTGTAACGGATGACCGATGACGTCACGAATGCGATTCAAAAAACAACTCAAGCCAGTATACCCTGCCATATCAAACATTGAGACAAGATATAAAAAGTATACAGAAAAATCCAAGTGGCTCACATAACGCCTCAATGCTGTGAACCATTTTGGTAGTTTGTTTGACTGATCTGAAAAAGGTATTTTGTCGTGCTGACACATCTGACGGCCATTCGTTATTAAATAAACTAATTAAAAATAAACAAAAGACAATCAAAATAATCAAACTAAATATATGTATATACTATAAAGACAGATTTATAAACAAAATCGGGGATTTACTTTGTATGAAATAAAAAGCCCCTTTAAGAGCTACTTACACCGCCATACGACCATAAACCCAGTATTGGAACTGTGAACTTTAAATGTTAAGTTTATTTAAAATATCTCGCGTTTCCATCTTCTACTTTCCAATAGGCCTACAACTTGTCAGACATTTAAGTGTGAATTCCGAGAAATGCTGTAAATAAAACATATATATGAGGGAAACAAACCAAAATAAAAATAAAAATATAAACCCAGCATCTGGGTTTATATTTCCCTGCTTTCCCTCGCCACCCTTCGTTTAATTGAGAAAAAAAAAGACCGAATAAAAGTGACCCCATGAAGTTTCACAAAACACTGCGTCAGGAAGTATGTTCATAATATTTTGCGGTATCTCGCAAGGACGCTCCGTAATTGTGGCAGATGGCTCTCACTTATGTACCACCATACACCTGCGATATTCGGATGCATGTGCTTCCCTTTTTTTCGATCAGCCTCAAACGTCCCTGGGCTCCGCCCAACTCTATACCAACACTCTTCCTGCCTCTTTATACCATCGACGCACTGAGATAGTTTAGTCTACATCTCTGTTTCTTCATTTATCTTCTGCCGGATCGTCACATAATTAACTCCGTTAGGAGGTTCTCCCAAGGGAAAAATCCCAAACCTCCGTCTTCGGCACAGGATTCTGTTTTCCCACCCAACTGCCTTTTGTGACAAAATAATGAGTTTGGCAATTAATCATGGCAAAATAAAAGAGGACCTTGCTTTTGATTTCCGAGACATCAGCGATGTCTCATCATTACCATTTTAAAAACTTAGAATCTGCTAACTACCTAAGCACAAGCCAGTTTCTATACGCATACACCGGTTTAATGAGCCTAATTAAGTTGCCCGTGTTCGTCTTTAATCCCCGTTTGAGCATAGCGCACGCGTGCAGCGCCGAGTTGCTCATAACAGTTTCGGGGAGAAAGATTATCAATTTATGGTGATCATGGGATGCACGAGGTTTTTTTTGTTGTTGGCCCAACAAAGGGATTAGTAGGGCTCCTTATCTCCTGGCCGCCGACAAAGGATTTGGAGAAGAGATTAGCAGGGTATTACAGTCGTGATTAGGACAATAATGCAATTATATTTAGATTTTTGATGAGACGAGTTTGGATCTTTTTCAGCAGAGAGCTAATACCTTCCTCGACGTTTGTGCCTCACGTTTTCAAGAAAGTATAGACCCTTTGAAAACAGCAGCCATCTTGAAGGTTTTTTGTTGCTCGGGCCCTCTATGTACCTCATTGACTGACTCACTGACTTTCACTTGTAAGTTAGACTTGCATTAGCCCTACCTCGGCTTAAAAAAAATTGACTTTACGTGTCCCAAAATGGCCTGCCTACCGTCCTATTTGTACACATCTCACTGATGCACCGTCTGGCTTTGACATGTGAATAGAGTTGGTTAAGCATGTACACCACCCATAGGTATCCCTAGGAAACACCATCACTGCACCTCAATTATACATGTAGTTGCAATAATATACTTTCTATTTTGTCTTGAACGTATACGGTGTTGCATTTTTTTTTAATCTCAAAAGTCAAAGATTTCCAAGTCGATTTATGGAGAAAAAATTGGATGAGATCCGAAACATGTCGTTTCAATCAGTATCCCACCGCATTTTCATTCCTATCATACTTCGCATTATATGTCTCTCAGTCTCGCGATACCAACCCTAAATAAACCCCAGATTAATTTGACCCCTGACCTCTTATTTTCCGGAGTAGCTAACCTCCTCACCCGCCGTTATTAACTTTCGCTGAACCTGTTCCGGAGAAAGGGCGGTGTTTCCCCTTTTCCCTCTGAACTAAAAATTGAGGTTGTTAATCTCACGGCCAATATCTCCTTATCATGTTACAGATGATGAGTTTACCAGTCCGTGTGGCTCCCCCGGGTACCAGCGAAGAAAATACCGAGTTGTTTCGATTGAACTTGTTGGTGTTTCTGAAACTTGGAACTTGGGAAGTTTTGACCGATGATACCAGGTAGGTTATTATTGCGTACACGTGTCATTCATGTTCTTTTCTGGGTGGTGTTTGTGGTGTTGTCATGTCTGTTGGTCTGTCTGTCTGTCGGTTGTCAACCTTCTGACTGAACACCTATCCCTTCATGATGTCGAGCAAATCGTTAGCATCAAGTAGTTGCTCCGGCATCCAACTTTGGATGGCTTTAAGTGTAATGACTTCATCCTCTGTGTTTAGCAGGTTAAGATTAGGGAATATACGGGTGGGAAAGAGTCCTTTCAGGCAGTTTTACAGCCCATCACCAGAACATCTGTTAATTGTTGTGTTCCTTTACTGTAACATGAAGAATTGAAACAATGAAACTTGCCCAACAAGAATTGTAAAGATGGTGTTGAGAGCTCTCAGACTGCGTCTTCATCTCTACCTGTTACCTAATACATGTATAATGGTGCCATTTGTTATAATTTGTAATGAATTGTTCTGTAAGTCTTTTTCGCTCCATACGTTTAAAGTATCTTTCTTTGTCATTTTTCTCGTACCAAATGCTATTTCGTAACGAAAAACATGCAGAACTCGAGTTTTAATCAACGTCCATTTCTTAAATTCGTTCAGAATTAAGTTGTTCCATAATAATCAGCGGATTTATTGAGAGATATAGGATATTCTCCATCAAACATCTCGATTCGTCCTGAAACTGGGTTGTAAGCTTCCGTTTTCAGTGTTACCCAGTACTTGCATATTTGACCTTGCCTTCTGAGTAACGAGGATTTTTATGTTGATGCTTTCTCTTATTGTCAATCTGGTCTTTCAAGTCGTACATGTGCGAAACGTCCACACTTCCGAAACACCTGTCTCATGCATTCAAAGACGGATCTAACTGATTCTGATGCTAGACTTTTGCGTCTTGACAAGCATTCGCACGCGTCTCCTTCCACTATCAATTGGTGGAGAATTTGTCTCAGGCGCGAGCGAAGATGGGAAAATTGGGGGCGAGAAGATGACGAAGAAATCCCGAGAACGGAGATCACGAGTAATTAGGCAAATAATTGGCCAGAATTCGAATGTCAGATTTTTCCTCTCGCTTCGGCCGAGATTTTTTGTCCCCCTTCGTCAAAAAGGTATCCTCAGGGCTAATTGGATTGGAAATGGAAAAATGAAGTGATTGGAAGCAAGAAAAGGAGGCATCGTTCTCCTGTTTGTCTTCTCACAAGGAGATTGAGGGTAATTAGGCAGATTAGGCTCGTCTGCCCGCTACTTGTTGTTTTCAACAGTACTAGTGTGACCCTGATGGTGTTCTATTAAATTGCTTTATTTTGGATCGATGTGTGCACGATGGTTTTCCTATAGGCTAACCCTTCAAATTCCTACATTGCTTGAACAGAGAATGTTGTTGTTATAAAGCCGACACATATTACTTTCTACGTTCTCAGTGTCTTTGCGACAAGACTGAGTAAAGTGAAAATGTGGTGCCGGTTTTGTGTAGACAAATCCGGGCGCGTGATCACTGCACACGCGACGCACAAGGCCCCCTTTAATGGAGAAACCGTGTGCATGCTTTTGTTCCAAGCGATTGCCCTATTACGGACTATCTGAACAATAGCTAGCACAATGCTTTCGCCATTGAAGGGGGCCTCAGTGATCAGCGTTGTCGAGTCCAATCACAACTCCTTTCACAAGTGCAGTCACAAGTTCTTTCATAAGTGCGTCAGAAGTAACGGGATGAACGATGACAAAGGAATACTTAAATTTGTTACAGTTCCTTTGAATAGATAGTGACTTGAGTCGAGACTGAAGGACTTGTCATGGACTTGTGATGGACTTGTGATGGAGTTGTGATGGACTTGTCAGAAACTTGTGATGGAGTTGCGATGGAGTTGTGATGGACTTGTAATGGACTTGTGATGGACTTGCGATGGACTTGTGATGGACTTTTGATGGACTTGTGATGGACTTGACTGTGATGGACTTCAGGGACTTGTGGGGACCTCAGATGGACTTGACTACAACATTGCCCGTGATAGAATTGATAGCGTGCCAAAAATGGTTGAATGTTACGAATTGTTGCCTCGGTGAGCCTGGGAGGATTTTGATTCAGTATCCACCTTTTTCTATTTGCCCGTCCGTACCTATTTCACTCAAGCTAGGCCCATAATACAATAGCCGTAGAAGGTAAAAGAAGATCCGTACTGACATAAATATGAAAGTAAATGAACACGACAGCCACTTGGAGATTTGGTTATTAAATTCCCCGGCCGGCCAATTGATTAATTCTGACACCGCACGACATGTCAGTTGCTCGTAATTCAGATATATGATGATGAAGATATTATAGCCATATCAATGGCCCGTCCCTTCGATCGTATTACAAATGAACAGTCATCTTATATTATAGTGCCTACGTGCGCCTACCAATGCAGAAGAATTGTTTATTGTTCTACGGCGACAAAATGTTATTGTGTTTAAGTAATTCACTATTAAATTGGGTTTGTCCATCTGTTGTGGTGTTTGGAACATCAACAAGATACTCCCCGTGTGCCCCACGTTGTAATTTATGAAGGCACGGTGAACCATTAATCAGTTTCTACTTAAAGTTTGTCGTGCAGAACTGAAGTCAACGTATCAAAATAACAGCGGCAGGTTTCCGGAAACATTCCGAAAAAAAAAGTCGATTCACATTTCAAGCGAAAACTCAATTATTTCGTTTACTGGTACGCACGTGCAGCTTTTTTTTCTCATGAAAATATATTTTTGAAGATATGGAAATAATTATTCTACCATTATCCAATAAGGTTGTAAAGTGCTTTAAAACCCTAGCCCCCTTGTAGTTCCTCAGGACTAGCCTGCTAAATCCAACAGAGTCCTACCGGAGTTTCCTGCTCAATCCACTGTGCCTTATTTTCAGTTGTCTGCTGGATCCAACGGGGTCCAACATGGCGTTATAATGCGGTTCAGTTGCCTGCTGAATCCAACATTTTGCATCAGGAATGTACACAAGGCCAAGGGGTTTACTGCTCAATCCAACAGGCTCCATCAGGTATATGATATAGTTGGATCCTGATGGATTCAGCAGGATTAGGGTTAACACCGATGCACATCAGACTACGTTCCATCTAAAGAAAATCACATATCTCATGAACTGCACTGCGGTTGTCACGGATAGTTTCTTGGATGTGTTTCACCAAAAAAAATGGTACGAGTAACTAAGGGCCCTGGGGAGTTCTGTATTTATGAAATCGTTTCAAATTTTTTTTAAAATTATATTTTTATGTATTTATTTGTCACATAACATAACTGTCACAAAGCACAGTGTATGACATAGTTCACCACTTTTCTTCAGAATACAATTCGATTTTTTTCACTGAGAAAATCGTGAGGTTTTGCCCCAAACTGTTCAGCTGCAAGTTGGACATTGTATTTACAAAAAAAAAATGGTGTCATAAACGTTTAGAGTTCGAGAACGAGAGATATGAGGCCGTACCGGCGTGAAACACCGCATGACAAAGCTATGTGGCTTCGATTCACAGCCCAATACAAATTATTCACACTACACGCCCTCAGGCGGCGACGGGGCACCATGGTTAATCGAGGTCACCGGTGGCCCCTCTGTTGCTGAGGCGATGATGAGGCAATGACGCCATCGGGTCAAAGGTCACGGGATGATACCGGTTCACTAGGGAATAATGACCCCAAGATTGCCTTGCGTGCTGAAAGAGTGGAAATGTTTGGGATTCCTACACGGTCAGAGAAAATTGTCAAAATTGGTAGGCCATCCTACAGTAAAGCTGGTCCAAGACGAGACTAATATTTAGAGCGCACATAATTTATTTTCAGTTGATTCCGAATGGCTATTCACTGGAAGTCTTTTCATGCATCTGGTCTACATACTGAGCTGGATTTAGCCAATTCATTGGCGATAGGGGGTAATCCTATATGATAGCACTCCCCGGTTGTCTTCAACAGCCTACATCCAGTCCAAGTCACAGGGGGAGTCAGTCAGTCAGTCAGTCAGGGGAAAGGTATACAGAGGAAACTATAGGCTTCGTCTGGAACTTAGCAAAAAAAATACACGGATTGAAAAAAACAGTTCAACTTTCCCAGTTTGTATATATGTCGAGGGAAAATTGTTGTAAGATCCGATGTCATTACCAAGGTTTCTGTGTCATCCCTAATTTATTCCTGGAGTGGTTGAGTGGCCGTTTGTATCTGTATGCCTGATGACAATGCAATGACCGGTCAGAGTTTGGTAACTTTTCCTCTTTGCGCTTAAATATGAAACAATTGCAATCCATATCAATGGTTCAGGATGCATAGAAACATACCGACCCACCATTTAAAATTAATAAGCTCAATAGCTTTCGCAGACTGAAAATGATAGGCATGTTGGTGATAACGAGTTTTGTGTCGGTGAAAACTTCAGTGATACTTATTCCGTATGGTCGAATTCTGGATCATGCATTTTAGTGGCTGAGCCTCATTATTTCTCAAATTCATGGGGACAGTATGCGAAGCAAAGAAAATACAGCTGAGCAAAAACAGGTATACCAGCCAAAGTATCAAGATTTGTACTGCTTTTGACCAAACATGTTGGGGAATTTGCTCCAAATTATTATGTTTTGATTAATTAAAGATCACATGTCTAGGCCTATTTCTCGTTTGACGCACCGTCTATTTTAGCGCAGGTACGCTAATAACTGAACGGCGGTCGTGATCTTGACTACAGCTTGAGTCGTGACCGGGACACAACGCAACAATTCTTCTTCCGATCTCTAGATCACGAGTCGAGTTCGATCAATCTCAGTTTTCTTTGCAATAAATTCAGTATCGGCAAGATTTTGATAAGCTCTTTTGTTCAGCCTGGCCCTGTACTTATGTCACACACAGGCGCTGCATCCGCACAAGATTACGACATGACTATAGATTAATAGACATTAGTCACAACACTGTCATGCTATGCACCAATGCCTTTTCATCTTGTAAGTGGTCGTAAAATGAAAATTAAATTAAGGTTCGTAACTTCATATTTCTAATCTTCAGTCACCACACCATTACACGACGTGCCTGCGGACCTCTAATAAGAGAACATCTCAATTTTGACCTCAAAAAATATTTTGCCCGGGGAACAATCTTCTTAGCATTTTGCTTATGTAAGAAATCATGTAAACTGCTTACCACTAAGTCAGTATATATCAAGCTACAAAAAATGACATGATGTGCTAAGAAAGAAACACGTATTCTGCCCTCGGGGCTTCTGTAAAATCGGCCCGTGGTCTTTAGCGCCGTTAAGCCGATTTGCAGCGTGGTGCCTTTGGAAGGCAAGCGCCGTGATTTTCGTACGCACTACGGCCGAAAGTGTCTGTACTTTCCCCGCTCTTATCGCCCCGTCCTTGTACGTTTTTCGTTGTTTTCTGCCCAGAGGTGAGATGAACTTTTTGAACCGCCCGCGGGCGGAAAGATGCGGGATTTTCTGCCTGAGATGTCCCGCGAAGTATATCCGCTTTAAGAAGATTTGGGAACCCATTAATCTTAGTATCGGTAGAGCTCCAAAAAATACGAGTAATGGAGAAAACTTCATCGCGCAAAAAGTGCGACTAAATTGAAGGAAAATAAAACGCACCCTTTGCACATTTTGTATTTGTATACCTACCTGATTAGATATCCGAGTAACAAAACGTGTAATTTGACGGCTTAGGGCTTAAAGTTGAGGCACAAATTGAATTCCGTTTCAAGTCATCTTTCGTATACGTCGGCCTTGTGAGTGGGATGTTTCCATATATTTTTGATGGACGACAAAAGAGGTTTAACTTTATGGGGTTGGGGTTTGGGGTTGGGAGGAGTTTATGGTCGCAGAGGAGGGGTACAAGAAACAAAGACAATTGCGTGGCGGCAGTCGTAAAACCTCCGAACTAGACGCGATAGTTTTCTTGTGCTCGAGCTTTATATGGTTTGTGATATTAACGTGAATTGTATGAAATAACGCCTTTCATAGAACCGTGACTTTTTTTTTTTTACCCATTTAACCCTGCCCTGTTTAGGCCGTCTATTGAGCTTAGCAGATGCAGTGTATACTGTAAATTGATTCTAGACTATCCATTTATCAGATAATGGATACAATCTTTTGTTTCGCACTTGGCAGATGTCAGGAAATCTGTTCCAAGCTTCCAACCCGAGCGGAATCATGGCAACAGTTGGGAAGTGACCGCAGTGGCATTGACACAACTGCAAAGGATGTCAACACTGCGCTGAAGATAGGCTTACACACGTCCACAGAAAGGAGGGTAGTCACAACGCCGCACGGGTAGTGCTGTGAACGAGTCCATTTCATCCTCGAGTGGCCGGCTGGAGAGGAGGCTATCAAGCCGAGATGCTCTTACGATGGGCCGGATGCTTCTCATGTCAAGCACAGTGCGGTTACAGGTGAGTGTGCTACTGATATGGAGACTAGTCAAAGAGAATTAGAGACAGTCGCCCAAGCAGCAATCGCAACCTCTTTTTGGCTAATAGCAAAAGCAGGTTAGGTCCATATATTTACAGATGTTATTATAGTGCTTGAGAGTGAGACAAATCTCGGCTATTTTCTTCACTAAGTAAAATGCTTAGTGTGGCTAGACCTAGCTTCTGTGTCACAAAGCATAAAATAATGATATAAATATGTACTGATATTAATGGGAAAATCACACAAAGGCCATGGTAGTAAATAATTCAAACCAAAAATAATAAAAGCCACTTGCAAAATTATCCAAGATAATCCAAGGATTTAGACTTCACACTCCACTGCCCCTTGGCCAGTAGAAAAAAATACCAAAGTCGATAGTATAGATCAAAGGTTCCGATTAGCGCTAAATTATTCAAATTAGCCTCTCCGTCCCAGTCGCGTTCAATACAAATAAGGCTTGCATCATGAATATTCAAGTTGACGTCATACACTCTAAAAACAACTTAGTCAAAATATTGATTGGTTTTCCTAGTTATTGAAATTTTACTAGGAATTTAGTTAAACATGGAAAGTCTCATATATGGATAGAAAAAGTAGATGGATTTGACTCCAATTTTAGTTATTTGCATAACTGTTTTTCCTATAGTCAATAATACTGACTGGAAAAATCTAGTCAGATTGACTGATTTTCAGTTGCACCCAGCTGACCCTGAATGGCTAGTCAAATTTAACTGGTTTCTAGTCAAATCTGAATAAATGTTGTTTTTATTTTTAGAGTGTATGGTTCCAATTGACGCTTAATTATTCAAATTCGGCTTCCTTATTTGGTCCTGTTTCCATTCAACACTTGGATTATGAATATTTAATTATGACGTCATAACAAGAATATAGAATACGAACAGCAATTGTTTGTATACAATATAGTCCAGCATAAATGAAATCACACAGTGCGGAAAAAAACTAAACAATGTACATGGAAATTTCCACAAAAATCAAATAAGTTTTTCAGGTTTTCGGCGTCAGGGGACCGGGGACCCCATATGGCAAATGGCTCCCCCGGAAATTAGCCCGCCGTATATTCCATTGTGGGGGTCTTTGATAGATTCGCGCGACAAAACAAAGGGGGAGAAAAGAAATATGCTGCGGGGAAGATAGCGGGCCTTGGCCAAAAAAATGGAAAATAATCACAATTGCAAAACACGGTTAAAAAATAGTTAACGTTTGCCTGGTGTGCGATTTGGCCACTTAGCGAAATCCTACCCTCTTTAATGAAAAGGGGGAAATCGGTCCACAAAAAAAAATCAACTAATGAAAAAAAAAAAAAACGTGTTTCATTTTACCAGTTCGAATGCCTTGGAGAACATTTTACACTTTGGGAGACTGAGAAATGTCCATTAATCGGGAGGGTAAACCATGCCCCCCGATGGAGGGAGGATGCCTGTAAGTCTCCTTCTCCTTCGTCCCATCTGTCAAAAAATTCGGGGCTCCCGACGAGAAAATAGACATCTCCTCGTTCGCTTCCGGAAAAAACTCGAGGAAAATGGGCTATGAAAATATTAATGTATATACATCGACATGCAATCTGGAGAGGGAGAAAAAAGTCTCTTCGCATCGCCCATTAACCCCATATGTCACGTTTTCAGTGGCGGGACAAAAATACGCGCGTCTTCATTTTCGTGATCAATTTTCTTGAGCGGCCAAAAAAATCAATGCTTTGGGCTTAATTGTTTGTAGCGCGTATAGCTACACTCCAATCTTTAAAATCTGCTGAGCTGTAATGACCAGGAAAAAAACGCGGTAAATATATGAATATGCAAATGAGCTGGTCCGTAATTTGGGTTGCGCGGCGGTTGTGGTCGTGCGTACACAATGGAGCGGACCGGGCTAATGCATAGTTTATGGAGCGGGCAATGAAGTGAAGGTTACGGGGGCTCATAGAGGCGAATCTCTGGCGGGGCTGCCGCCCGCCACACGCTCCGAGTCAACCGGCGCTCGCGGACCGCACATCTGTCACACTTTTTGTGGGGGGCGGTGGGTTTATTGGCATCGCGATGTATGGTGGACATTGCTCGATACACTTGTTCTTCGATAAGTGATTGGATGAAGTTAGATTAAACGTGTTTGATAACAAAACAAATGGTATAGCCCCGAAAATTAACATTCACTGTATGCCAAATGTAAATGCTATATCACATCAGCCAAAAGATGTAATTTTTGGAAAAGTGCTGTACAGAAACTCAAGGGTCCCTAAGACACATCCCTAAAAGTTATCTGAACAAAATGGGTTACATACGAAATATATACATTGTAATGCGTCCGGAATTTACAGGAAAACTTACTTGCAGGGAAGATGTCAGGGGTCCGTAGAACATTTTGCCAATTATTTTCCGGAATTGTGTCAATTAAAAAATAATACATCGACAAGTTTTGATCGAATTCAGTCCAAAAATTTAAAATATTTTGCCCAAAACTCCATTTTTTGTTCGTTTTGGTTGAAAAAAGAAGACACTTTCTGAAACGTGCATGATAAATAATGTGCAGATATACACAATGCATTTTAAGGTACAACAGGCTGCACATTTAAGAGAAAAAAGGTGGAAAACAAAACAGAAATTTCTTGTTCACATTTATATCTCGCTTTTATTCCGTTTAAATTATGCGCCCGATGATAACAGAGACCGCTTAAGTGCTTAGACTAGTTCAACTATACCACAATACCACCGCAGCATAAGTGCGTGCTTGAGATACTATTTTACATTATGGAACTATACAAAAAGTATCAATTTCAACGTCCGAAAATTCCACAGAATTAAAAAAAAAAATCATTAACTTTATTTCGAAAAAAAAAATCTTTTATAGATCAGCTCCGATTGCTATCTTCCCAATTAATAAAGACGTGGTTTCTACGAAGCCAGAAAGTACAATTACTAACAGTTTCCATGAGCAGCACTGAAACAATATAATCGCGAATAATTTTGATCTGATATGGACTAAACTAACAAGGCATAGCTTAATAATAAACTTTGATGTTATAAAAACTCAACAAGATGTACATTGTACTTTTCAGTTTCCACTTCTATCGATTATTATACAATGAACTTGAATCCTTAATTTAAATAAAGTGTAACAAAAGTAGCAGTATGTACAAATTACCATGTATGATCGGTTAATTGAATGATTCAGATATATTCACCTTGAGCTTTTAAACAATTTCAGAAACGATTAATGGTCTTTGAAGAGCGACATTGTCCGAGACTTCAGAACATAATCAAACCTAGTGCTTAATAAAATTTATCATAGATTCTGCTAATAAAATCAACATTTTTACCAGATCTCATAACATAAAAAAAATCTTTGACTGGAAAATATTAAACCGCACGTATAAGTCCACATTACAATCAACAAATTTTGACACCAAATTCGTTTCAATCAACAGAAGTAACTGATTAAAACACATTTCGAAGTTATAATTCACAATTTATGGCATTGTTATTCAACTAGAAGATAATTCTATAAACAAATTATGAATACTAATACCTTGCATTAGATCAAAGGAAATATCTGTGCAATACATTAACAATGAACCAATGCTTGTAAAAATGGCAACCTAACACATTGTACATGAAACAGCCGCAGGGCTGATGCGGGAAAGGTAGTGCTTCAAGAATTACTGTCAACTTTTCTAGCAATACTACGGCAATTTCCTGTATAGACCCACCTAAGAAAAACCAGAAAAAGCGCAAGAGTCCGGCAAAATATTCACAATTATTCATATGCCAATAAATCCATCTTTTTTTTTTTTTATTTGTACAATGTAACCACATAGGAAGACTTGTTTATTGATAATTATATTAGAAAAAAAAAAAAAAAAAAAATATTTTGGAGAAACATTTTCCCCAATAGATCGATTGCATTTCGTGGCCATATTTGAGGTGTGTTTTGCTATGTTAATTCATTAACAATGAGTACACAAGAGGTGTATTTATGCATATCCCTGTGGAACAAAAGCACAGACCCCAAAGATGGCCGCAGTGCAAAAGGTCTATAGCAAATGAACATCCTAAACTAATTATTTCCAAGGAAACTTCAATAAAATTCCTAGCGTGTCCTTTTATTACGGCAAAAGTCACTAACTTACCAGACAAAAAATTTTAAAAATAAATTGTGCTCCAAGACGAACTTAATGTTCAAATTTCAATTTCTAAGGAAGCAAATGATGGAATGTAAATCAGTCAGCCAGTTTTTTTTCCTGCTACATGTAAACTTCAAGTACCAATACCACTGCTTTCAAAAAAATATAATCCCCTGAATATCACATCCATATGGCCAAGAATAAAACATTGACTTTCCAAAAAGTGTTCCAAATTATAGTGTGAGCGCCCTCTTTTGTCCCTTGTTGGTGAGTCTAACGTTCGAGGCTGTTAAAAAAAACCCAGAGCACCCCTGGTTTTATTCTGATATGATTATAAGACTGAAAACAATGTCTTGATTTTGAATTTTATGCCTGCCACTAATAATATCAAGTACATGTAGTTCATCAATGATAACCGGCCAAACCGTGACAAATAACACAGGTTTTTTTTCAACTTTAGGAGGTAGGCTATGTACAGTCACTGAGAATTTTGGCAACTTAGTTCATTGCGAAGCAGAGTGTTCAGATTTCTGTAACAGACACAAACCATTACAAGGTTTTAAAAACTGAATTAAAATCTGAAAATGCACAAGTCTACACAGGATGCCAAAATGAAGAAAACCACTTGTATGTAATTGTTGTAACGAACAAAGATTGTATGTTAAATCCGAGATATACCTGTATTACCGGCATGCAACTGGACATTAAGAAAAAAAGGAGGAAACTCCAAACCACACAAGACTTGTACTGTATTTTCCAATTTGTAATGGCATTCATGAGAAGTCAAAAAACAAGGAAATCAGCGGATCCGAAGAAAAGCTGAATGCCTGGTATTACTGTTTAGTCCCTAATAAACTAATGCGACATTATGATTTTTTTTTTTTACAGGAATACATACGTGGGTTTCGTGCACAAGTACCCCCTCAACGGTAACAAAGGGAGAGTTGGGGGAGACCACTGGGAGAGACAGTCAACCGCATTGCCAACAACGCCCGACGCTCACGCACAAACCACAGGTTTGTTCAGTTTTTATAGCACATTAGTCATGCATATAGCAAGCCAGTGTGAACCAGTATGCACACGCAGCGTGTCTCTCCGGCCCACTGGGCCTAAAGTGGTCGGATTGCGCCCTCTATAATTCGTGCACAGAGTCATAGACAAAATATTGAGTATTGATGAAAAACATTTGCGACTTTTTTTTTGCCATCACCCGCAGAGTAAATACACATTTGCACATTGATACATGTAAATGTCTCCTGTTGATGTTCCGTATATCCCATGGCAAGAATGTCGCATCCTGACGCCACTTTTTCCGTCATATACACGTATTATCTCAACGAAGGTCAGTCATTGCAAAAAATGTTGAAAAGGCATGAGTCTGGGACTGAGAAACATTTCCAATTTTGTTGGGAAATACTTTCAAAATTCACTCAACTCTTTATGTACACAACCAAGAAGTGGCCTCTGGATACTACAATCGTTTCAAACATTCAAATACAATGATGCCAACTTTTTCACTTTTTCCACTATAAACATCCGAAGAACACGAAGCCCTGAATACCTTTGATTTTTGCTTTTATACTTCGCAAGGCACACTTGAATATTTTTTTTTCTTTTTGAGCTTAGATACACTAGTACGACAGTTTGGCAACAAGTTTCACAAGCAATTATTTCTCTTGCAATTTTTTTTTGTAATCATTTTTACTTAACACTCAAAAGCGTACCAAAGGATCAAGGTTACTTTTTTTTTTACAATTTTTGTTCAAGTCCAATCTTCCTTTCAATCTGTATCACTCTGGATTATAATAAAGACAGTCAGCAGGAACAATGGAGATTCTGCTACAGACTTTTACTATTGCAATACTTTCAATAGTACTGAAATTGATTTCTGTTTATGGATAATTCAAATCACGAGTCTTCTTGGTTCCTTATCGAAATGGAGAGATGAAAAAGCCAGACACTTTCAAATTTGTGAAGCATAATTCCTGGGCAGTTATAATATACTTAGTATTGGCGCATCAATCTGACAAAGTATTTCCTTCACAAAGTTGCCCTAAAATGGCGCCATTCGTGACGATTGTTACCAGCTATTAAATGAATACTAAACGCTTGTTTCTTTACCTAATTCTTCTCCACAGTACTTGCCGAACAGATACGTCGTCAGCTGCGATGACACTTCTACCCTCTTCATATTCGGAAGGGGTTTCCGGCCGAGCCGGTTGGAGACACTCGCATCCTCGTCGTCCGAACAGGGACCAGACGACCCGATGCCCATGTAGTCGTGCAGCGAGTCCACGTCGAGGTAGTCAGTCATTGAGCTAGTCTCGGTCTGCTCGGGCCCCGAGGGCGATTCCGAGCACTCGGGAAGCGAATTGCATGATGGGATACTGGGCAGGGGTCGGGGGTTGGGCCGGGACGTGAAGTCCGGCGGGAACTTCTGGAGAGAGTTGCATCCTGGGGATTCTTGTCGGTAAATATTGCATTGTTGGGTTGCGTGGAAGTTTTCGGTGATACCGCCCTCACTGTCCAGAGTAGAATCGTTCCATTTGTCATCAGGGGGACATGAGGCGTCCCTGTAGATAGAAAAAAACAAACAAACCATGAAAGCATTTAATTTAATAAGGAACATTTAAATTTGGAATTATAATACTAGAAAGCAGTGGCGTAACCAGGGGGTGCACAGTGGCAGATTGTAACAGGTTAAAGATGTTAAAAGCAAAATCGAAACGCTTATCGGCCTGTTGAAAAAATTGTGTGTCTGGTGGCAGTTTTGCTGAGATGAAGAGCGCCACCTATTGTCTGAAAGTGTCTATGATTGTCCGCCTTTAACAGTGCCCCCTATCAGAAGATGCACCGTCTTCTGACAGGGGGCGCTGTTAAAAGCGGACAATCACGGATGGACTGTGAATTTATCAGCGATACAAACATTTAATTTTGCGAGCTAACAAAACCCTAATTATGGGACTGCTATGAAATCTGTAACACAATAACATGTATGTGGGAACATTTGCTTTTTGTGCATTTTTTTTCCGTTTGAAAATTGCTCAAAATCTTAAGAAAGGCGCATAACAACTAACTTGTTAAAGCTTCAACTCAGCTGATACTTTACATTATGACAAAACAGAAAACGTATGCACAATTTGAGGGTTTTGTAACTGGAATCCATAGCAAATACACGCATGCCTAAGCCAACTTCAATGATCGTTTTCTTTCGAGTGAAACCTTTTCAAGAGGAATCGTTTCACAGGGCATTTTGATCAGTCCTTTTTGAGCTAAGATTTTTGTCATCAAATCGGTTTGCACTTTTCCGGGTAATTGCAAATGTTCCTACACGCCTTTAAGTACAAAATCTAGTGTAGAAATGTCAACCAATTCGTCAACATTTTGTGGCAAAAGTGAATATTTCAGGACAGGACCCCAAAAGCCGAAGAAAAGAAAAAAGAAAAAAAATCAGCCAAGCTTAGTTTAAAGAAAAAAAAATAAAGCAGGCAAATGGAAATTATATTTTTAAACAAAATCCAAATCAAAAATACTTGAATTGTACATTTTTAATTTTAGAACGAAATGGAAGTCGTGATGGGATAATGCACATACTTGATGCAATCTCATGAACCATGACAAATAAAAAGGAAAAGTAAACACACTACCATAAAAAGTTGGGGCTGGGGCAACGGATCGTCACTCCTAAAGACCAAGCAAGCAGGAATACAAAGAAAAGTTCAGTAATGTTATCAAAACTAAAAAAAAAAAAAAAGAGAGGGAGTTTAATCAATGTTCAACTGAAGAAACAATTGTTTTTTACACAGCCAGCCAATTTGTATGCACTTGCTATGTAACAAAGTTGAAAAACTCGTACTTGGTCAAACAGCTGGTTTACTTGTTCAGTTATGGCAAAATGATGTTTCTTTCTTCAAAAGAAAAACAGATGTCCACATATTGCCAAAAAATCAAAACCAAATGTCACAAAACAGCAATAAATGGAGCTTTCACATTGGCGTTAATAACAACATCCAAAAGTAAAAATTTGAACATCGACACCGACCGCGAGTCTCAAAGATGACTTACATGTCATAATGACACAGACGCTCGCCTACTAGCAAGCTATTAGGCGGCTACAGGAAGTGGAGATGGGTGTGGTCAATGGGCGTGGTCAGTGGGCGTGGTCAATGACAAAAAATAGAGAGGAGGGTTTTGTGAGTTGAGGAGAAAGGGGTTAATAGGACAAAGGAAGTGAAATAGAGAAGAAAAAAGATAAGTTTCCAAATCCCGCAGTTGTGAAAGTCACAGAGATTTTATCATTTTAGTTTTAATTACAGCTTTGGCAAACTGCTATCAAAATTTGAACTTTATGGAACTGTTACTAAAGTCGAAATGCATAAATTGTTTTTATGGACTTTACAAGTTATACTGAAAAAGCAGTAACGGCAGCCATTTTGGAAAAAATAAATAAAAATAGTCAAGTGTAACAGACAGTCCAATAAGAATTAGCTGGTAAAATGATTTCACCATGACGTGTTTAGAACATACTTTGGCTATGTGCAACAGAAAAGGGGAAAGGATGGAAACACAAACACAATTTTCTGGGAAAACACCACTTGCAAACAAGACTTTTTTTTTAACAGCCAATTTATACATGGTCCAGGGCCTACCCTTTATTATGAACCATCTTGTGTGCCTGCGTCACACTGGCATGTTGAGGAACTAGAACATGGATAACAGAAGTCAAACAGACTGAAATTAAAAAACGGATGTGCCTTGCAGCCAAACTTATAAAAAAAAGTTACACATGCACATAGCAAATACATTTTTTTAAAAAAATAATAAATCGCGTCAACCAAAACAAAAGTTTCTTTTTCCAAAGCAACAACTTCATTGCTATTGGTGCAAGGCAAACTTTCTGAAATATTTATAACCTGCACATTTTGAATACTTTTTTGCTAAAACTTATTTTTTGAAAAAAAAGATTATAAGGGGTTAACCTTGCATTTGTTATTGAATTGGGTTGAAAATTAACTTTTTTTTGCAAATAACTAAAGGTCTATTTTATTCAAGTTTAATCAATTGGAATAGTTTTAAGGGCCCTTGTTTTGAATGATTTTGGACTTTGAACAAAAAAAATCATTTTCCCCAAAAAATTAAAAAATGGAATGGGATTAGTTGACCTTCCATTTTGTTATTGAATTGGGTCAAAAGATGAACTTTTCTGCAATTAAGAAAATAAATTACCTTTATTAAATATAAACTTAAAATTGTTTTAGGCCCTTATTTTGAAGATTTATGAAATCTAATAACATCCATTTCGGCCAAAAATTGAAAAAAAATGGTAAAGGGGTTACCTTTGCATTTTTTGTTATTGAATTTTATGAAAAAAAAATTTCCCGCAAATCACGTCAAAAGTCCATTTTATTCAAGATAAACCAATTAAGGTGATTTTTGGACATCATTTTGAAGATTTATAGGATTTTTGATATAAAATTCGTTTTGGCCTAAACTTTAAAAAAGTTGTAAGGGGTTGAACTTGCTTTTTGAATTGAATCGTGTCAAAATGAACTTTTTAGCAAATAACTCAAAAAGTCATTCTTATTCAAGATAAACCTATTGAAATAGTTCTTAGGCCCTTATTTTGAATACTAATGGAAATTATAACAGAACCCCTTTTTGGCCAAAAAATTAGAAAAAAAGTAAGGGTTAGTTAACCCAAGACAATATTACTAGAAATGAACACGCCAGCAACTTTTGCCTGAAAATTCTAAGAAAATGTGTTGTTCCATTATATAACCAGAGGTGTATTCTACCTATATATATTTACCTATAAATATTTAAAAAGTGTCGTTTGAGAATGTGAATTTATATTCGTTCACCCCAACTAATTGGTACATAAACAGAGTTACTGTCTAACAAATTGTTGGTATCGTAAAACATTTTTAAAAGAAAGACGGTTAAATTTGCTCTATTGTAGTAAAACTGTGAGTTTGGTAACAGAAACTGGAACATGTATTGCATTGAAAATTGCTTTGAACCACAAGTAATATTTTGACATAATTGCAGTTTACGTATAGGCCCTCATTTTAAACATTTGTTGAATCTATAAGAAAATATTATTTTTGGCAAAATTACAAAAATAACGTAAGGGGTTAACCTTGTATTTTTAATCAAATTTAGTTCAACTTTAACTTTTCTCCAAATAACCACAAAATGCTTTTCGGATGCAAGATAAACCCAATGAAATAGTTGCTATCGCCTTATTTTGAAGATTGTGAAATTTAGAACAAATTCTTATTCAGGGTAATTAATTGTAACAAAATTGTAGGACAATTACGAACATAACATGCCGGGAAAACTGGTTTAAAAAAAATTGTGAAGTTATTTGTTGTTAACCTGACGGTTATGTTACATTACTTTCATATTTTCAAAAAATCTGTTGTTAGTGAATATTTATTCATAATCAATTCCAAATTATTTTACAACAAGTTACTCTTTGTGTGTCTCTTTAAACGTAGCTGTAATTTTTTTTTTTAGAGTATTTCATTTAGTTACTGCTTGTCATCAGTATATATAAGTAAAGTGTATTTTTGGTGTTTTAGGTTAAATTCCTATTTAATTCCTAGTATGTATCAATTGTATTCACAAATTTTGATGTAATTTCGCTCTCTAATAGAGTTTGCAAAATGTTCAAAAAAATTCACTTATTGTTATTATTATTATTAACTGAGCTAAAACTGTCCAGTAGAAATATTTCAGAGAAAGTCGGTATAATTTGCATTTTCATGGTAAAATTTGAACAGATTGTTACATTACGTTGCAGTGTACTGTAAGTTTGTACATTGATGTATATTTTTTACTACTGTTTTATGTCAACAAAAATGCTGAATTAAATTCCAAAAACCATGGTATGACAAGTTATACATGTTAGCATTATTGCACTCTTGTTCTTATTTGTTTGTCTTTTAATTTACTTTCTAAGTCCAATCTTGTAAAGAAGATATATAGTCTTGGAAGCAATTAAGTCAATTTCCATTAAAGCTAAATATCAAGGCTTAATACTTCCCTTGGAATATGAATATGATTGAGTATAAGTACAAAGTATAAGTATCAACCATCCAGCTAAATATTTTAAGTATAAAGTATAAGTATCAACCATCCAGCGAAAAAAATTCCCAGTGAGTTGATCAGCCAAAACCTAAGTCCAAAGTTCCTACCCCAGACCCAAGGCCTCTACCCCTCAGCTTCCAACTCTCTCTGGAGACTAAGTCAGAACAACCTAAGGGTTTTAATTACCGGAAACCTTACTTTTTTAAGAAAAACCCGGTGGTGTAGTGGTAAGAGTGTAAGGCTACATACCCAAGGGTTCCCGGTTCAAGTCCCACCCATGCACAATTTTGTCAGAAAACTTAGTATATATTTTAAAAAAAGTCTAAAAGCTCCTCAGGACGGCCCAGGACCTGAACCGGGACATCCCGGTTCGGATCCTGAGGCGCATCCTACTGAGCTAACTGGCTCTTGATAAAATTTCTTCGGACGTTATATATAAACCTTAGGATGACGCAATTCAAAAAATTACCCATAAGCCATCTGTACATGAATATTCATATATGCAAAATAGATAAACATGAGGATACCAATATGTAAATTTCTGGGTTGAGTGCAGCACTGACGTGTATTTATTCAGTATATTCTTCTTTACTTGATTTAAAGCGCTATATAAGAACCCTTTATTATTATTATTTTAACAGTCACAAGGGTCTCATGAAAGAAGCTAGCCATTTTTTAAAATTTATTTTAAATAAAAATTGGGTAAAAAAAATTACTTTTCCCCAGACATTCCCAAGACAGCTTTTGATGCAAAATAAATGTAATGAAATAATCTGTAGGGCCCAATATTTTGAATATTCGTGGAATTTATAAATCAAAAATCAACCGACAGAATAAATTCAGACTAAAACACAATGTTCATGTACTGATTTATTGGAACTTGATTACAATAAAATAAATAGTTGTACTTAACAGCTACCTCATATTTTTTCATGCAAAAAATCAAGTACTTACAGAGAACTACACTCAATGTTTATAATAATACCCGAGTTTGAATTATGGACAAAATAAAATGGCCGAGCCACCATGGCTTAATAGCAAGGGGGTGTTGGGGGGGGGGGGGGAGGGGGAATATACAGTATATTTCTAATAGACATTCTAATAGTTAAATATATTTATTTCACAAAAGTCCCACCCCTGCATATATCCCCCTCCTCTCTGACATAAATTTACGACAAAAAATATTCTTTTAATGGGCACAAGGGGATGGGTAGGGTTGAGGATGGATGGTGATTTCACGAAAAAAAAAAAGCTTCCCCAAAGGTATTTGTTTGTAAATAAATATCATATAATTTACATATAAAACAATGCAAAAGCTAAATCATTTCTTAAATTAAAATTCCACATAAAATAACATCACAAAAACGTACATTGCAAGGCAATGAATGTAACTGTAGGTTGTAGAACTGAAAACACATTGTTTCACTTTTTTTATATAAATATATAAATTACCTCCAAGCACAAAATGTAACATTTTAATATGAACGCGGACAGCTGGACAGACTGACAGACAGATAGACGGACAAACAGAAATTGGTATTACATAGGCTCGATATCGCATCTGCTTTGCAGCCCGCCAAAATTAAACGCTCAATAAATGAAAAAAAATACAAAATAATTTGTGCAGTACATGAGATTGCAGGTGCAGTTCAAACAAAACCCTTTCATGACATCGAATGAATGAATTAAAAAAAAAATCAATGAAACAAGTTGAAAGAGACGTAAATTCCATCAGCAAAGTTAAGATTAGGATGGGGTTATGAGTGGGTTGGGTATGAGAATGTCAACAATGGGTAATGGTTATTTTACAACTAAACCTCGAGAGTCAATTGATGAAAAAAATAGTGGCTTCCATTTTGAATGAGTGGAATCTGCCAACAGAGGGCGCTCTAAAGTGATGTTATAAATTAATTCTTGTGCTTCTTGTCAACAATTTGCCTGTGACTCCCCCTAATGCCTAATGTTCTCAATTCTGTTACAAATTCATCAATGCATCAACATGAATGTAATACAATGTAGAACATGTGCTAATGGGTGAAGATGAAGATCAAACCAGTCAGGAAAATAAATCTGAAAACCATGTAAAATTTTAGAAAAAAAGGCTGCTTAGTACAGCCTCGTACAGCAATTATCTTCCTTTTAAATAATTTTTTTTTTTTCAAAATGCAAAATCGCGCCATGGAGTGTTGAAAATGACTTTTCACGCACTTACAAAAGGTATGTCATGATCATTTATCGAGAAAATGTATTAAAAATGCAATTATCTTGAAATGAATAATTCTTCCTGTGTACTCAGGCGAGGTTTGTCAAACTTCGTAACAGCCCCCTCTGTTGGCTTGTTTCTGTCGTTACATCAATCCGCACTTCAACACAACCATCTTGAAAAAAGAATCATCTTCTTACCAAGTTGGTGTTCTTCTTTTCTTCGTGTGCTACTATGTCGTCCGTCTGCTCTTTAGAGAACTTTACGACGGCTGCTATCACCTTGGCCATAGTCTGCAACAACAAAAGTTTTAAGATAATTTTACTTAAACTTTCCAAGGAGTGAAAGTAAATAATGACTTCTGCAAGTGGTAAGGTATAAAAACCTAAACCTTCCTTGATGACTTACAGGGTTCGACCTTAACTTTTTTGTCCACTAGCCAGCCGGGCTACTGGAACAGACTCTTAACTAACCCGCAGGCATTTTCAATAGCCTGCATTTTTTTTTTTAGCTCAAATACAAAAATGGCGCATTTTCAGGCTCAATTCCGAGGCAATTTTGACAGCGTTTTTAAATATAAACAGATCTAATAATTTAACCTTTTAAAACAGTTGAAAAAACGAGACACAAATTAATGAGGTTTTCTTTCTAAATTTAATGATTTATTTCTTCCTGTCCTTTCATCTTTGCCATGTCCCAGTAATTTTTTGACTCACCAGCCGGGCTACTTAAGGAATAGTTTCACCAGCCCGCCGCTGTTTTGACTAGCATTTGGCTAGCGGGCTACCGCTAATTTCGAACCCTGACTTATGGAACAAGTTATTTTCGCTTGGTTTCATCTCAGGAAATCTTAACACTTAACAGCAAAATGTCCAGGACTTGATTCTGTACAACCTGCGGCAATCATGTTTCTGTAACAAATCGCCTATCGTTGCAGTTTGCTTAAAGCCAGTATGCTGTTTACAAGTTCAGACATTTTTATAATTTTTTTGATCATCATGTGCCACAAAATAAAACTGCTAATAATGGGACAGAATTCTTTGCCTACCTTCGTTTCTCGGCCCATCATGTACTGGTACAGCACATTCTTCAAATACTGCAAGAAAGGAACATAATAACGTTTAAATGTCCGCCTTAATCATAAATGAATCTTGTAAAAGAAATAAATAAAGCTGTGAAAATGGTATCATGATGTACATGTATGAGTTAACGATGGCTCGTAATGGCGTCGTACAAAATACATAATTGGTAACAAAACTATGAGTATTTAAATTACTATTATTATTGGTTTATTAAAAACCTTTATGTCCAAAAAGGCCAAATTGTAATGATTTACATATGGAATTATCATATTTTTGTTTTTGAAAAATACAAGATATAAAATACAAAAAGTGACATTTAAATTACTATTATTGTTGTTTTTGGTTTATTAAAAGCTGTCATTTCCAAAAAGGCCAAATTGTACATGATTTACAGATAGAATAATCATATTTTTTTTGTAAAATACAAGATATAAAATACAAAAGGTGACATTATCAAAAAGTACAAAATACACAATATAATCCACAAAAAAAGTATAGTTTAAAACAAATGATTTACAATAAACACCAATGGTCAGGAATTCCTGAACACAATTTCAATAAAATGGAACAAGGGGTAAACAGTTGAACACAACAGACTGAAAACAAAAAGACTGATAAAAAGATAGATAAACTAAACAGTCCATGAGGTATATACCGGAACAAATTTGGTCTTACCTCAATTTGCGTAGGTTCTGTCAACGTGATGGTCTTGTGTTTGCTGGGTGTACTGTTGGGTGATGCCACTGGCGACCCTGTCCGGTAATAAACATTAAAAATGTTTACACTACTTGAATGATAATTATCCAAACAAATAAGGAAAACGAAAAGTCTTTGGGATTGCTACAAATATGTATGCTGGTCTTGAAGAAATGTATCAATCTTGACTTTCCTCTGGGAGACATTTTTTACCGCAACATACTACACTGCAATTTCTTTCTCACATTGTGACTTTCTCATTTCAAGACTCCACAAAATTAGTTCCTGCAATATCATAAATGTTTTTAACATTTAAGACAATGTATGCCTGACAATCACACATTCACTGCTCAGAACGTGACTAGGAAATGTTGCACAAAAAGCGGTTCAATGGGCTCAGTGCGCAAACAAGAGAGGGAGCTTTTTTAACCACTTCGATAGCCTAGGGGAAAGGACATGTCCTGGTTCATGCACATATTGCGTGACGTGCGCACAACAAATTTTATTTCAAATGTGCACAAAGCGATGTGCACATTCACGTCAGGCGTCGTCAGCAATGCATTCCAATGTCTTTCCCAGTAGTCTTCCCCAACTCTCCCTTTCTGACCGTTGAGGGGGTACTTGTGCACGGAGCCCGTATCAGTCTGTTCCACACAAACGTTTATGGGTGCAGGGTGCAAGAACAGTTTAGGTTACCTGGTTCTGACCCCCTGAGGGCGCTGTTTTCATCCAGCAGCTGCCTCTCTCGCAGCTGGAGCTGAGCCAGGTGAGCCCTCTGTTGTTGAACCTCAGCCTAGAAGGAAAAAATGACACATTATTGATTGAAAATTGGCGGGACAGACAGCGGGGTAGTTTTTCAAATAATTCAGTATTGGATTTTTTCCAACTTGGACTTCATCAAATATTCAAATTTTTGATTTCAAAATGTTAAACGTGCACCAGCCTATTAACTGACAGCCGATCTGGACTTGTCGGCTTCAAAAATAATATAAAGAACAGGCAGTCGAATGGCCGACACTGGACCAATTTTAAAGAACAACTTTGAGCTAATATTCCTCATGGAACTATGAGGATTTGGGAGGATTTGGGAAGGTAAGGGATAAAACAATTTCAAGTCATGAACAGAATTATTCAAAGCTTCAAAGAGAGTAAACGACATGGCTGCAACGGCACACCAATTTTCTCAGATTTAAAAACCAACAACACAAACAATTTCCATGTAAAAATATAATATGCCATGAAAATGATATCAAGTTCATTGTAAGTTTAATGAGCAGCAAACTGGTTAGAAAAACTTCAACCCAGCATTATTGGTTAACAAATCGGAAAGAAACATGTCCCAAAAAAGCATCAAGTCGAGCAGTAAAGGAAAATGCAAAGATGGAAGGACAGCAAAGATGAAGCCCTTCAACACAAGTTCAAGATTGCCCGCAGTGTTTTTGGTTGGACTGGCAACAGAAATAGCACCCAAACCGTGAAGAAAGCTTCTAGGCTAACTGTATGATGAAATTCTGCAGTACCAATCTTTTCTCCAAATCATTAACTACAAGCTCTACAGTACAAAACCTAGCGCTGTTCGGAATATAAAAATATTCGATCATCGAATGAACCTTCGAATAGTGTTTTTGCTGGTTCGAATAAAAAAAAAAAAAAAAAAAAAAAAAATACAAGCGTACATCCACAACTGTGATGTTATTTTAATCATTAAGTGGCAGTGTTTTATTGTCAAGTGCGACTTTTTTGTCTGCGGTTCATTGCAACCATCCTTTCAGCAGGTTCAAGTCTTTGAGTTGACAAACAAATTATGAAATACTACAAAATATTCCAGCGGCCAATAAAATAGATCGCCGCATGCAAATTTTCAATGACGCGCCTCGCCTGCACCTTTTGACCAGTGCGACACCAAGTTGCAGCTGGTTGGTTCGAATATTTGAATAATCGAATAGGCCTACAGTTTGAATAATCAAATACCATATTATTCAAAATGGGCAGCCCTAGTACCAAAATGAGTTAGCATGAAACTCTACCATTAATAACTACTCTAAGCCCTGTTTTAATTGCACAGTAAGTGTGGAGGATTGAGCATAGTTAGGGTGAGAAAGTAATCTCTTGCAAGGACAAGAGGTGACTACCGCGGTGCTTAGTACCTTCAACATGATATTGTTTTGATTCAGCTCCTCAGGATTCAAGTTTTCAGGACTAGCTAAGAGGGGATCTAAGGACTCCACAGAGCCCATCTCGTTGCCTCCCTGTGGAGAAATTGTCAACACCTTTCATCTTAAAAAATGTCTTGAACACTAAAAGTGTGTAGCACAAAAGGTCCCTCCCATCCAAATCTTGTTCAAATCTTGATTCAATTTAATAAAAAATTAGTTCCTACTTTTGTACATGAAACAAATTTGTTATCCACAGTCAAGTTGACCAGACATGATTGATAAAATAGACCAAATGCAATATGGACCAAGTTTCTAGAGGGTGTATGGCAATTATAATCCACTAAAAAAACAATTTGCAGGGCTCAAGTAAAGGTACATCTATGCGACACAGGAGTATGGAGCATGTTTCAAAATTTGACAACATTTCTTGAAGTAAAGCAATGCCCAAACTATTCGGGATCAAGACACTGTACCCTCATCTAAGAAGGCATAGTGGTGTATTTATTTGACTCGTATCAAATATAGTAGGCATGATTTAATTGACAAATATCTCAGACTTAGCACTTTCAGTACCTGACCTGATGGCAGTGACCAACAGACAAAGACCCACTGACCTGCTTGCCAGCGCTGAGCGACTTCTGGTAAGCGGCAAACTCCTTCCTGAGCTTCGCCTCCAGGTCCGACAGCTCGTTCTGATGGGTGGATTCCTGGTGCTCCAGACGGAACTCAATCTCGTTCAGCTGGGCCTTGTGGTCCACGTTCAGCTGGCCGATGCGCGCCTCGTACGTCTGCTTGACCTGCTTGATCTGCTCGCGACATTCCTGTGTTACAACATGTAAAGAGAGTGACAGATAGGCTTGGGTGACTCCAACATTTTTGGAATTGATTCTGATTCTATCCAAGAATCGTGATTACATTTGGAATCAATTCAAGTTCTCCCCAACGAAAATAAGATTGGAAAAAATAACGAAACAGTCTAAAATGTGAGGCCTTCCTGCAAAATGAGACACAACTTGGCATTGGTCGAAATGAGGGTTTACATGTATTAGGAAGGAGAATAAAATTCTCCTGAAGCCCCGTTCATACTCGGCGCAAAAGCCAAAGTGAACGTGACTTTGTGATGTCATGGCAAGTATTCGCACTGCGAATTCATAAAAGTTAAACATATCTCAGCTCGGGCAAATTTCGCAGCGAATGTTTCATAACGTCAAATTTGCTTCGCATTAGCACACACATGGAGTATCTAACAGGCTTTACAATACTGTTTGTTGCACTTCAAGCCGACATTCACTGGACAAGTTAAGGCTGTTAAAAGTCTGCACTTATCGGTATGTCAAAAAGTAAAATACTGAGAGAAAGGCCTTTGAAGTTGCAGGTTTTGTAGTCGTGCAAATGAAAGATGCAAATTGGTTTTCCTTAAAAAACACTTTTGTACCACAATTTTATACTATTTCCTTACAATAAATAGGCGGTAGACATCTCAAAGGTTATAAATATCAATAAATCTGAAAATTGAAAAAAAAAAAAAAAAAAAAAATTCACCCCATTCGTTGTTTTTCATTTTTCTCGAATATGGCCTGTTCCAAGTTCTGTCTCATCTTCCCACAATGCCTCACGTATGTGAATAGTAATTAATCATCAATTACAGACATGTTATAATTATCTACCTCAAATAATTCATTTTGCAATCTCAGTTTTAGCACACACTTCAAGACAATTGGAAGCATTTGTGCCGCTCAATGTTGAGAACTTAACCCTAACTCCCTAGCATGATTTACTAGGAACCATACCCATCCTGGCAAATTCCAACACCATATGGGAAACTGTGCACACATATTTCTGACTTAGTTTCTGGAGGTGTGCCAACCCAATGTAAAAGACTGTCAGTTTAAGGGGTACTGTACCCATCCTGACAGATTCCAACAATGCATGCTGTTGGGGTTTGATGGGTGGAGTTATGTTAGGGTTTTAGAACTTTCCAGAAGCTTTCTCCCTGTACATGTAGTTGTGAAACTTACAGCAATTTCCTCTTTATGTCTATCATTGATGCACTCTAACTCTCTTCCCTGCTCGTCAATCTCTCGTTGCAGCTCCTTGACCATCCCCCTATGCTCCTTCTCGATCCGCTGCTCAACATTCTGACCTTTATCTGGACGAAATAACAATTACAGTTATCACAATACATTGGTAATGGTTACTTTGGAACTAAAGGTATTATCTTCAAGTAAACTTGAATCCTCGATCCTGATTGGTGAATCCATGGCAACAAGCCGTGCTACATATAACCCTGTAGCACGGCCTCGGTCCATACCGCACTCCGCGTATTACGCTTTTCTAAGATGCGTTGTGTACGCGTTCCATCTTAACTGTGCGTCAAGTTTGCTGGAAGATAAATTCGTTATCATGCTCGCGCTCGTGGAACACGAAAAATGTAGTGCGTCTGCGTCCAATATTGGTATGTGGGACACAGACGCATTACATTATTTCGTGTTCCACACGCGCTCGTTGGATAACTTATAATATACAACATTTGCTTTTGCTGTAATTTCAGAAATGGATGGATTTAGGGGCGAGTATTTCATAGCAAATATTGTTAAACAGACTTGTTTTATAAAGTTTTGTGTTCACAGAAGCTGGAAAACCAAGAAAAAAATGCTGTTCTTGCAGTCTGGTTCCCTGACCCTACTTCAGACGAACAGAGCAATTTATAGACGTCGTGGAATTGTCAGGTCAGGGAACCAGACTAGCTTGGTTGCACCCGTTCACAGATGTGTAACCGATTGCAAAAAAAATACGGATTAACTAAACTTGGTAAATTCGGGGCAGTATTTGAAAAAAGGCTGTTTTATTTTCCAACGATGGTGGGCTGACCATCATTTGAAATTGATACAAAAATACCTCTTTTCTTGAAAATGACAGCACACTAGGTGCCATGATTTTACATGTGCTTAAAACTGCCATTCACCAAAAGTCCAGTGAGCTATTTCATAATAATTTGGTAGTTTTGTTTTTTGATGTTTGTACATTCCCTTTAAGCGAATAATTCCTGAATAAAGACTTTGAAATGATTTATATATCAAGACACGAAATAGACAGACTGACAGTGTGATGAGAGACAAGCACTCACAGATGGCTTCGTGGAGTGCCTTCTCCGTCTCCTGCTCCTTGGTCGCCATCTTGGTCGTCATCTCCCTGACCATCTGCTTGATCTTGGAGTGATGCTCAAGCCCCTGCTCTTCCAGCTTCTTGTCACACTCCCTCTGGAGGCTTGTCAGTCTCTTCTCGCTGTCTGTGGTGAGCTTGTCCAATTCAATCTTGTGCTCTTGCCTGCGAAGGAAGTTGAATGAACATTGCGATATTTTTGCAGGAATCAGTTCGAAAGGTTATTTTCTAATTTGTTTTAAAATCATGTAGTGAATGCACAGTTTCGGACATCATGCCGCATTTCTGATTTTCAATTCTGATGACTCTCCATACAATATATACTTGGATGCGACCAACATTGAAAATGGTAAAACTTTCAAGGGTTGAAAAGTTTAACTACTCACTTAAGTAAGTCAATTTCTTGCTCCAATTTCTCGCTGGTTTTCCTCAGTTTCTCTTCTAGTTCTTTCTCTCTCCTCCTTGCATCCTTGTCAACTTTATCGCCATCACCAGAGGGAGGAGCAGCTCCTAGCATCCCCTCCCTGGCTACCATGATGGTTTCCTCCACGGGTTGCGCACTTGAAACTTGGATCTTCTCGCGTTCCTGCGTTAACTCTTGCTGGAGTGTTAAGACCTCCAGTTCATGAGCTGCTTTTAAGGTGTTGATCTGCTCTTCCAGGGCTGCGACTTCTTCAAGTTGGGAAGATTTAGCGGTAGACAGCTCGTTGGTTAGCGTCCTGCATCGCTCTTCGATGGCATCGAATTGCTTCTTTCTGGTGTCCAGATCATCACGGTACTGTTTCTTAATCTCTCCCAGTCTTCCCTCGGCCTTCTTCTTTAGATCTGCAACTCTCTGCTTGGTTTCCTCTTTTGCCTTCTCAATTTCTTGCTTCACTGTTTCTTCCATCTCTGCGATACGGTTGTCCTTGGTGTGACAAAGTTCTTCTAGTTCCTTTATCCTCTCCGACTCCATTTTCTTGGAGTCATTTTCCAGTGATAGTCTCGCTTGTTGCTCCTCGGCAACCTTGGCCGTTTCCTTCTTTAATTCCTCCATCAACTGTGAGATCTTATCATCTTTGGTTGAACACAACTGTTCCAGTTCAGATATCTTACCCAATGTCTCACCCTTGGAACTTTCAGCAGATGATCTTAAATGTTCAACCTCTTTCACTTTCTCCATTTCCTGTTTCAACTCCTCTTCAACTTCGCTGATCCTGTTGTCCTTCTGACCACAAAGCTGCACCAATTCATCAATCCTCTCAAGATCTTTGTTCTTGCTGTCACTCTGTGAAGATAAGTTCTCCCTCTCTTCCTCCAATTTCCTCTTGGTGTCCTGAAGCTCATCTGTCAGCTTCTGTCTCTCGGAATCATAATTGGCCATCAAGGAGGTGATCTCAGTTTCCAGCGCAGTCGACTTCTCCTTGTGGAGTGCCAACAGGTCCTGTGTTTGTTTCTCCATGAGTGCAATCTGCTCTTCCGCTGCCTTCACCTTGACCTGCATCTCCAAGTCGTTATCAATCAACTCGTCGATCTTCTGCTGGTGCTCCATCTCCATCTGCTCGATCTGCTGCTCATACTTGGATCCCTCTTGCCGAGTCGACCCCTCAAACTGCTTCTGCATCACCTCTACCATCTCAAAGTGCTGTTGCTCCAGCTGCTCCATGTTGGCCTTCAGCTCCTTATCTTTCTTCTCCAACTCCTCCTTGTGGCACTTTTCTAGCTTCTCGATGAGCTCTGTTGTTTTCTTCTCCTCCAGGGCAAGGCTCTCTTGGTGCTCCTTCTGCAAAGAAGAATTGTTTTCTCTCAAGTTTTCAATCTCTGCAGACTTTTCCTTCTCCAATCTCTGCAAAGTGTCATCCAACTCTTGTTTAAATCCATCCTCTCTTCTCTTGGCCGCTTGTTCCAACTCTTCAACCCTCTCTGCGTATTTCTTAGCAGAGCTTTCAAGTTCTTCGGTGTGAATCTTCTTTAGGTTCTGTATCTCGGCTGAGTAATCACTTGAGGATCGTTGAAGAGTCTCTGTGACTTGTTTTTGATGTTCCTGGCTCATCTGTTCCTTTTCCTGTTTGAGCTCCTCCATCTGGGACTTGAGGGAAGAGATCTTGGCCTTGGCTTGGTCGCGGAACTCAATCATCTGCTTTTTGTGAGTTTCCTTGTCCCTCTTCAGTGTTTCTTGATGCTCTTGCGTGAGACGCTCAATCTGCTCTTGTTGTGTTGCTTGCAGCTTTGACATCAGGTCCTCGGAGCCTACTTCCTTCTCTTTGACCAAATCTGACAGCTGACTCTGGAAATCAGCTTCTCTCTGACCAAGTTTCTCTTCAGCATCCTTGCTCAGTCTCTCTACCTCTTCTTGGTGATTCTTTGTGATGGCTGACATCTTTTTCTCATTCTCTTCCTGGAGTTCGTGCATGGTTTCCTGAAGAGATAGTATCTTGGATTCCAGGAGAGAAACTTTCTCTGAATGCTGGTTGCTGAGCTCTAATCGGTCAGACTCTGCTTTCTCTTTCAGAGCCTTTCTACTTTCTTCAAACTCCTCTTGCAAGTGTTTGGTCTTCTCTTCTTGAGCTGCTTTAAACTCAGCCAACTTTTCTTTGTTTTTCTCTTGCAGGTCCTCGTAATGCTTTTTGACAGTGGTTATCTTTGATTTTGCCTGATTCCTTAATTCAGACATTTGGGTCTTGTGAGTCTCTGAAATCTTCTCTATTTGGTCACTGTGTTCCTTAACAACATTCTGCAGTTCTGAATTTCTGTTTTGAAGCTCAAGAGAAAGAGATTCTTGGGCCTGGGTTTTGCTCTCAATCTCTGCTTTGAGAGAAGTTTCAGCGTCTTGCAATTCTTTCAGCCTTTCCTCTTGCTTGGATGTAAGTTCTGCCCTCTCAGACGCTTCAGATTTTATCTGCGCCAGCTCTATTTGGAGTCCTGCTACTTTTGCTGTCAAGACAGACTCCAATTCCCTCAACTCTCTCAAACTGTTATCCTTTTCTGTAAGCTGGATGGACTTTTCTTCAAGGTCTTGTCGAAGGCTCCCTAGCTGCCTTTCCTGCTGCTCAAGTTTGCTGCCAAGAGCCTCAGACTGCCCAGACTTCTGTTGAATCTCAACTTCAAGCTTTGCCATGCTAGCCAACTGCTCTTTAAGCCTTCCTTCTTCTTCACTGAGATTTTCATATGACTTCTGCAACTCCTGTAGTTCAATTTCTTTGCTTTCGAATCGAGAGTTCAAGCCATCAAGTTCAATTCTCAGGGCATCCCTTTCTTCAGAGAACTGGGCATGTTCTTTGGTATGGGTATCCTCCAGCTTTGCAATTTCTGATTGGAGATCTGACTCCACCCTTTGCAACTCCTCTGACTTCTGATCGAACTCCTTTCTCAAGGCATCCAAGGATGTTGACAAATCTGCTTCTTTGCTTTTGGATTCCTCCAGCTGACTGTCCTTCTCTGTTCGGAGGGTCTCCAACTCTGCTTCCTTTGCCTGCAACCTGACCGTTGCGGCTTCATGGTCATTTCTGAGCTCATCCAGACTTTGCTGGAGGGAAGCAGAGCTAGACTTGAGATCCTGTATGACCTTTTCTCTCTGACTTATCTCATCATGAGCTTCGGCGAGCTGCTCTCCGAGTTTTCCTGTTAGCTCATCAACTGAACTCTGTTTCTGAATCTCAACCGACTCCAACCTCCTCTCCAAATCCTTCTCGTGGTTGGCCCTCTCCTCCTGTAACCTCTCTTGGAAACTTGATTCAAGTTGTGCAACTGTTTCTTTATGTTTGTTTTCATTATCAGTTAGTTGCAGTTCAAGCGACTCACACAGGTTCTCCTTTTCCTTATAAAGGGATACTAATCTCTCTTCTTCGTCCTCTTTACTTTTGAGTTGTGATAGTCTTTCATTTAGTAGAGATTCAAGTTTGTTGTTGGCCTCCTCGTGCTCATGCTGCCTAGTTTCTGCATGTTCTTGTATTTCTGAAACTTGGTTTTCAAGTTCAGCAACTCTGGAAACCTTGGCGTCAAGTTCTGCTTGAAGTTTCTGAGTACTTTCAGCATATTCACTGTCTAGTCTTGCCTTCTCCTCTTGGATGGCAGAAAGTTGATCTTGGAGATCTGAGGAGAGGGTGTCTTTCTCTTCCAGGCTTTTCCTTAGAGCTTGGATTTCCTCTGAATACTTTTCATTGTGAGAGTTCACTTCTTGTAAGGCTGTATTTATTCTGCCTAACTGTTCAGAGTGTTTCTGTCTTTCTAACTGCAAGCTTTCGTTAACTGCGGCCAGATCTCCATCAAGTTTGAGTTGAAGAGCTTCCAAAGAGTTCTGTAACTCCTTCTCTTTCAGCTGCAGGTCCTGGATTGTCTTCTCTTGTTCAGCTACAGTGCTGTTAGCCTCAGTAAGCTTGTTGCTAAGCTGGCTGGCAAACTCATCAGCTGAGCTCTGCTTCTGGATTTCCAACGCTTCTAACCTTCTCATCAACTCCTTTTCATGGTTATCCTGCTGGAATTGCATCTTCTGTTCAAACTCGGCAATCTTGTTCTCATGCTCTTTGGCCTTAGCTTCCATGTCTCTGTTCAGAGCATCATTCTGATGCCTCAGCTCATCCATTTCAGAGAGACACTTCTGGATTTCATTTTCCTTATCCCTAAGCTCTTTGAGATGAACTTCGGCTGCAGCCTTCATCTGCTCATCCAATTCTGCAATCCGAGTTTCAGCTTCCTTGACCTTCTGATCCAAGCGATCCTGAAGTTCAGAACTCACTCGCTTCAGGTCTTCTGCTTGCGCACAGGATTCTTCAAGCTTTCTAAGCTGTTCTCCAACATCCTCTGTCCTGGCAGATTCCTCCATCTTGACCTTCTCCTCCAAGGACACTATCGTCTCATTCTTTTTCTGCATTTCACCAGTCAGCTCTTGGATCCGCTGCTTCATCTCGGAAGCCTTTGCCGCCAGCTTCTGCAACTGGTCAATCTTCTCTTGGACAATCTTCTGATGGTTCTGATTCAGCTCATCCACTTTGGCGTTGTAACGAGCGTCGGCATCCTTATTGGTTGTCTCCAAGACCTCCTCCTGTGTTCGCTTCATCTCATCAATGTACGACCGCTGTTCCTGCTTCATCTCCTCGATCCTTGTGGAGAGTTCCTCCTGATGGGCTGCCTTCAGGTCTTCCATGGCCTTCTCGTGTTTCTCTTTATTGTTAGCTATGGCTGTGCGGCTGCGCTTCACTATGTCTTCTATCTTGTTACGAGCTCCCGTTTTGTCAGTCTCAAGCTTGTCTTTCAACTGCTGTAAGTTGCCCTCCATCTCAAGCTTTTCCTGTGAAATGTGAAGAGATGAAAAGTTTCAATGATTGGATTAACAGGAAATCAGTCAAACCCAACACACAGTATACCATGATGTTTCACTTCAATTTTAGGTAAGTCCACACTGTGTTACTGAACATAAATTATTTGGGGATTGTTCTTTAGTAAATCCTCATCTAGGATTAGGTTTCAATAACTCGCCATATTTGCTTGTCACAGACTTTACATCAATTTTGCTCCGGACTGTTTGAATTTGAAACGGTTGCCTTACCGTGGTCATGGCATCGATGGTGCGTTGAAGCTCATCCTTCTGGCTGTCCTGAGCGCTCACGGCAGCCATCTTTTGCAGTTCTCTCTCCTCGATGGCCATCATCATCTCTTGCTCTCGCTCCTTGAGAATCTTCTTCTGCTCTTCGTCTCTCAGCTTCATGGCCATCTGGAGATCTTTCTCCTTTGATTGAACAAGACAAGTTAAAATTAGACAATATGTACTTCAGGTTTCTTCAGGACTGGAAGCGGTACCTGAATTTCTGTCTTGGACCTACCTTGGTTGCCAGGGCATTCTCATGCTCCTGCTGTTTCTGCTTCAAGATGCCCTCCCAGTGGCTGTTCCTCTCAGCTATCGCATCCTCCTTCATCTTCTCTAAATCTTTCTTTACTGTCTCTTTCTCTTCCTAAAAGAAAAGATAAACATTATTTTAAAGTATACTTTCAGACCATACCTTAAATCTTCCAAGACCTTTGATAATGGTATCTCTTGGCAAATTTTAGGTCAGTTATCCATAGGAACAGCTAGCATACCTGCATGAGCGAGATGACTGCTTGTTTGCCTCTGGACAGCTCCTGGGCAAGGTTCTGCTTTTCTTCCTCGCCTCGTTTTTCAGTTGTTTCCAGCTGCTGCCGCAACTCAAGAACTGGAAGAAATAAACAACAACAACAACATCAATAAATAAATAAATGAAATATAATTTTATGCCTTACCAAATATAGAAGTGTGTGAAATGTTGTATCTATAACAAGTAATGGTTGGTTTTTGTTTTGTTTTGTGCAGGAGCAAACAGTCCTGTTTTACATAACTCCCGAGGACAAGCCATTGTCTTTTCCTTTGTCCCCGTATTATAACACTCTCCAGCACATAAACACAGGATCGAGGACCGTTTTTGACAATCGATGAACGATTGATGTCAACAAAGGATCTGTTGTTCTCCAATTGTCTGTCGGTTCTCAGAGTGTATGTAGTTCATGCACACAGAGGACATGTCTACACAAGGACTTTTGCAGTACTTCGTTATTGTTTTTCTTGTTTCTTAATACCGGGGATCAAAATGGTTATCAAAATGTATGGGAATTCCCACACATTTCTATTATTTTTCTCAGAATTGGAGTTTTCAGGAATTTGGGAACTTCTTGCAAATAAAGTATCTATGAGTATATGGTGAGAATTTCAAATTACATGTGCAAACATCACCATTTATACACAGTCCCAAACATGTATTTTTTTCCTGAGGCAAATTAGGAACATGTATTTATCCTTAATAACAGTGAACCCAAATCTTTCACCCTAGTAACCAAACAAATATCACTCAAAACATACATTGCCGCATGCAATCCCGACCAGAGACAAAACGGGGCTATTACTGAAAAACGTTCGCCATGAAAATTCAATTTTTTTTTTTTAAAAGCTTTGTAAAACTGCACAAAGAGAAAAAAAAAATGAATGTTTTCTTTCTGCTGCGTGCAATGAATGATATGGTGTGTGGTGTTGCACGTCCAGTTTGCGCTTGTAATGTGAAACTGCATGACAGGGTTTTGAGCTGCCTTACATGAGATTTGTTTTGTTAATCAGCATGGCAAAAAGACGTGGTTGGGTGTCATATTTCTAGATGGTACAATGCTGAGAAGTGAAGGAAAAAAAAAAAAAAAAAAGCCTTGTGTTTATTGAAAACAATGCTTAAACTGTCAATATATTGCGATGCAGAAAGGAAACATCGATAGGTATTTTTTGGGGGGTGGGGGGGGGTAAAATTACAAAATCCTGCAGAGCTTTGCCAGCAATATGGGGAAACAGACAGGACCTTCCAACAAAACTAAATAAAATGTAGAGCTGGTCATGCCAATTCACATACAGGTGTTGACTGCAATCGCTTGAATTTTCAAGTTTTCCAAATTTTGTTTTTGATTTCAAAGAAGAAGGGAAACCCATTTCATTCCGTTTTAAAAGGCCATTAAAGGCAACTGTGTTAATGCAATTATTGAAAATACACGTTTGTGTCCCATGAAACCCGATTTTCAATTTTTGTTTTGCCATTTTCAAGAGTATTTAGGTACTTTTTGTTTTGGTTTGATGCTAATGCAAATTTCTTTATTCATGAGGAAAAGTGTGATGTCACTTCAGGCAGAAACCTCATGACTGGTATTTCAGCACCAAAAGTTGCCAGAGTTTTGGATATTTCGCTGTCGTAAATTTTCTTTTCTGTGGTGATTCGTTGTTGCGTTCAGTACATGGCAGTAAGCCAATGAGCAAAATTTTGTGACAAACATTTTCAATGAGCAGACTTTGGGATCACAATTTGTACAGAAAACCCCGAAGCTGAACAGTGTCTCCCTGAAATGACATCACAGAAACAGCGCTCTCAGTTGTCCGGAAAAGCATTTTAAAAATGTGTCATAAAAGTGCACTTTTCAATAAAATTAACCAAAAAGGATGTCAAACAGTTTTCATACATTGAAGAGGAGTAGAAAGTTGCACAGAATATGTTCCTTAGAAAGATTCACTTCATGGCCCCTTAACTGCTGCATAAAAAATGAAGAATATAAACATGTAGCCAAAAGAGTGCACAAGGAAAGCTACCAATGAGGGATAGACAGGACCACCTTGCAATAAAGTTGAGCAAGCTAGAGGGTCCTAACCTGTCCTCCTAGCCTCTCTGATTTGTTGCAGGTGTCTGGCTTTGTACGCGGCTGCTGATTGGCCGGATTCGGAGGGGAAAAAGTGTTCCCGTCCAATCGGGGAGGGGGATGGAGATGGGGAGGGAGTCAGGCCTGATGAGGAGAAATTCGTTGTGAGATTTATTCATCTATGTTTGTGAAACTTGGTTTAGGGCATATTTCAAGACCTCAGAATCTCATACTTTGGTTTTGTGGTGTCTTTCCTAGTCTGTACCCGTTATAATCGCCTTATCTCAGACCAATGATGCCTTCAATAATGCCTGAGTGGCCCCAACACATTAACTGAACTGATCAATAAAGCCATAAGTTTCTTACATGATCTAGCAACTCAAATATCATGGAATTTGATCAAATGCCATAACACTCCCTGTTCATCTCAGGAATGCAAACTTTCTCACTGTACAGTCCAGGAACGCCAGCTGAATGAAAATGTTGTATGCATGCACACTCACAAGGAAAAGCCACTGCCGACGTACATCTGATACATGGTGACATTCCAGGTGTGAAATTGCCGTGATTACTGAAGGAATATTCCATATTTTGAGAGCATCCCTAATGCCCAAATATCCAATAGGGCTTATTTACACATATGCGATATGCAACTTTTTCACGCCGCAATGTCTCAGATTCATGCATTTGTCCACAAATATGCGATATTTCACACAGTTTTTTGTCCATCTTTTACAAGCAATCAGTTCAGGCACAGGTTCCAGGTAAAATACATATATGCAACATTTTGTGCCGCGTAAAAATGACTACAAATTGTCTTACAAAATTTGTGCGATAATAAGTCACGTGCCTTTGTCGCGTACATGAAAACATGCTCATTGATTTCTGCGTATTTATCAAAACGCGCGACATGCAACATTTTAAAATGACTACAAATTGTATTACAAAATTTGTGCGAAAATAAGTCACGTGACTTTGTCGCCCATGAAAACATGCTCATTGATTTCTGCGTATTTATCAAAACGCGGGACATGCAAAATTTTGTGTCGCGCAAAAAAATCACTACAAATTGTATGTAAAAAAAATTGTGTGATAAATCGCATGATTTGTCGCATACATGAAAACATGTTCATTGATTTCAGCGTATTTATAAAAGCATGTGACATTGTGGCATGACAAAGTCGTGTATGTGTAAATAGGCCTTAAGGCAGAATTAAATAACAATGGGAATTGGATATTTAATGACCATTTACATCGTTTGGTCACATTCAATACTTCTAAGTGAATGTGACAACTCAAAATCGGTTGTGCTAGGTCATCTTTGTCAGGACAAATTTTCCAACTAAATCACCGTTTGCAGTTTTTGTAATACTTGTCATTTATGATATAAGTATTGAACAACAATCGATATACAACTACCTGTTTTCTCAGTCTCGCCCAGCTTCTGTCTCAAGTCGTCTCTCTCATGCCCCGCCTCCCTGGCCTTCTCCCTATGCTCCGCCCCTTCTGCCTGGCTCTTCTCCAGCTCCCCGTGCATGTGTTGTTTGGTCTCTGCGATGGCTAGGGCCTTCTCCTCCCCGGCCTGGTCTAGGAGAGACTTGGCCTGGCTCACTTGCTCCGAGAACTTGACCTGTTCGGCTGACTGTCGCTCCTGAGTGACCGAGAAAAAAAATATGGTATTTTTGAAAAATCTGGTTTGGATGCAAAAATGTCAGAAGTACACTGGGAAAAAATGGTTGTTATTGGTTTCCACTGAACTGAATGCCAATGTCCAAAAACAAAATTTATTGAGTAGCTTGACAAATGAACTGTATACATGTAAATTAAGGGGGCATTTCCTTTCACACAAAAGAAGAGCAAGATGATTGTATCTCTTTACTCTTAAAGAAACATTTCTACTATTCTAACCACCCAAAATTTATAAAAACCTTTGGGGAGAATTATTCTGATACTCTGTCGCAGTACTTAAAAAGTAACATCTGTCACGGGCCAATATGGCCCATCAGGCCAGCGTTTATCTCTGGTTTCAGAGGCATGAAATGACTGAAAATAATTCTATTCCCCCTGGATGGGATGCCAGTCCATTGCAGGTTACTTCCCAGCTAATGCCAGTACCCATAATCCTGGGTGGAGAGAGGCAAGTGGAGGTAAAGTGGCTTGCCCAAGGACACAAAATATGACCAGCAGCTGGATTTGAACAGCTGACCCTCTGATCACGAGTCACAAATCCTAAAACCAAAAAAGTTCACACCTTGAGTTGTTCCAACTCCTTGGCATTCTCCTCCAGTTGCTTCTTCAAGTTGTCTTTCTCCGTCAGCAAGCCGGCTGACTTCTCTTTGTTGTTGCGGATTGTGTCTTTGCACTTGGTCAGCAGCCCCTCTAGCCTCTTCACCTGGAAAGGGGAAAGATGAAGGGTTAAAGTTGAAGGCCACATATGGAACTCTTACTTGTCTTACAGTAAAATGTTCAATTGTGAGTGCTCTGATTTGGGCACATCTAAATCAAGCCCGACGCATTAATTAGGCACACAAAACTGTTGAGTGTTGCTTTAGAGAAAAACACATATGCGTGTGACAACACAACTAAATCGGGAAAATGTTACTGTCACCTTTTCTTTGAGTGCGTTGACGGTCTCAGCTGAGGAAGCCTCTCCGGACCCATCAGTTGCTTCTTCACTTGGTTTGAACTCATCAGGCACGACGCCTTTCTTCAGTAGGCCAACCTGAACAGTGGAATAAGATAAGGGTCAAGATCTGGCATGCGCAACTCGCTAACATTGGGTTCATGTAGACGCACACTCAAAGTTGATCTGTGGAGTTAAGGCCCGTCTCGATTCATATCTGGGACGAGTTCCGGACAAGTTGCAAATATTGTATCAAGTACAAGTTGCAGTATTCTGAACAACTTCCCCACAATCTTTTTGCGATGAAGTTATCAGTATCAGTGAGTCAAGCAGTTGTTAAAGTTAGGTTCCCCGGAACATGTCTGGGGCAAATGCCGAGCTTCTTCTGGACAAATTGAACAATTCCACCCGCAACTTGTCCAGAACTCGTTCCGGGTATGAATTCAGAAGAGCCCTTACTGTGTTGCTACATCAGGCACGCCCCAGACTGAAAATTCAGGGGCCATCATGTGAGATGCAGAGGAAAGTTGTTAAGTTTGCTTACATTTCAGGAAACATAAATTGAAAAGTTGGGGGAAATATCTGCAAAGTTAAGTTTGATTTTATTTATTGAATGGCATTATTTAAAACAAAAAGGGAATATTTTGAGGAAATACCGAATTTTAGCAGGGTGGGAGAGGATTGAGGTCATGCCAGCTACCCCCATCCCTCAAAAAATCTTCCCTATATATACTTAAACCCTAACCCTCCAGGGTATTTTGGCTAGAAACCCTGCAAAACACGGCAACATGCAACACTTGACTAAGTGACAAGCCTGCCCAGTGTAGCAAGATCCATCAGGCCAAAAGTCTCAAGGCCAAACTGCCTCAGAGTCTGTGGTCACCAACTGCAGCAGGATACAACTGTGGCATTGTTCAATGGGACTTAGCTCTCATTGTTTCAGAGCTGGCCATTCATGCACTGGTGTTGGTAGCTGAATGCATCAAAGTGCACCAGTTCTTTTCCACCTGATGCGCTGTTGCGTATGGCAGGGTTAGGGTTAACAGATAATAGATAATTTATAATTTCACCGTACCTGAGTTTGTAAAACCCCGATGATCTCGTCCTTCTCATCCAACTGCATCTTGAAAGACTCCACCAGATGAGTCTTGGCTTGACGATCCAGATCTGCAGCCTGGAATGAAAAACACAAAATTAGTTGAAATCAATAAATCAAGTTTCGTGCAATACATGTACACTTGCATTCCTTCACCCATTAGCGCCTGTACTACATTGTATTACATTGTGTTTATTCACTGAAGAATCAATGAAACCATACAGTACTCAGGTGGTTTCAGGGGGCTACAGTGAGTAACAGGTGCTGTTCCAGGGCAGTTTCAGGCGGTACAGAGACTGGGTTAACTCTCTCGGGATTTTTTTTCATCACTCCAATAGTCCCCTAAAATCTTCTAGGGCTGTCCCGAATATGGCAAATATACCAAATATTTGAATAGCTTTTTGCCGGTTTGAATACATGAGGATAAAAAACCAAAAAAATAAGCAAGATTGTGATGTTGTTTTAATCGTAAAGCTGCGGTGCTTTATTGTCAGATGCCAATTTTTTTTTGTCGACGATGGTTCGTTGTTCCCATCCTTTTAGCAGATTAAAGCCCTTTACTCTTTTAATACACTTACTGTAATATCAATCACCGCATACACATTTTAACTGGCGTGCTTTACGTGCAACTTTTGACCAATGTGGCACGCAGTTGCAGCTGGCGTACAACTTGATCAGACAGTTTAAAATAATCAAATTTCCAGTGAAACGCAGGTTGTGAATAATCGAAGACTAAATTATTCAGAAGTGGACAGCGTTAAAATCTTCCACTGTGCTGCAGAAAACCAATGCATTTTCACAAGGCTTGAAGCCCCACGTTAGGCAACAATGACGGGGCCGTACCTCTGAAGGATCTAGGAGTGAGAAGGTTAGGTTCTGGACAGGAAGTCTGAATGATAATGAGATGATAAAAGCAGGTTACCTCCTTGAGTTCTGAGATTCTGCGCAGCGCTTTGTCTTGACTCTGTGCCATGATGGTCTGGGGAAATAAGGCAAGGCAAAAATGGAATGAGAGGTTCAGGAATGAACATGTAGTAGTCCAGGGGCCGATTTCCAGAAACTCGTCTTATCTTACGACTCATCTTAGGACTCAAGACGAGTCCCTACTCTAAGATGGATCCTAGCTAAGACGTGTCCTAAGAGTGATTTCACTAAACGCATCTTAAGCAAGATGCATCAAAATTACCAATTTGATGGCCTTTTAATGTTTGTTTTTAACGCTTGACAAAACAGTTGTTGAAAAGAAACGCACAACACAAATTTCCAGAGCGCGTGCATAGAACACAAACTTTCACCTGTAAAATGTCTCTACTCATTAAATTTCACACGCAAACAAGGTCTACATAAGACACGATACAGTCATTAATACCCTTATGACTAAACGTCTTGCTCCCCGGTTCATCACTCTATTTCGAGAACCCAAAGTACTTTATTTCAAAAAGTGTACTGACGTATAATTACATTTTGTGCAACTAAGCTGTTTTATTCAAACTACCCACGTGTCACTAATCTTTTCAAATCTATTTCTACAGCGGTTTTCTTCTTCGAAACTATAGCTCTAGGCCGACACTCATCTTAAACGAGAAGACATTGCAATGATGTCCAGACGATATAAAAATATTAACACACTGTTCATGAGATAAGACAACCCTAAGACTGATTATAAATTAAGTTAAGACGAGTTCAGCTGCGTTGCTAAGGAAGGATATGTCCAAAGCATCTTAAAATTGGTGAAACCGATACTAAGACGAGTTACCCTTCCCGAGACACGTCTTAGCATTTCGTGAAATCGGCCCCAGTGATACCAAAGAGGGGTTATATGTATGTACGGAAATAACATGAACGAAATGAACAGGGAAATGCTGGGGAGGAATAAGTTGAATTGGGAGAACCAGATTACTGCATAATGAATTAATTTATTTTGACCTAAAAATACAATTATAATTAGCATACCTTGACTTTGTCATTATCCTTTTGCAAATCTTTGTACGCTCTGATCAGCTGAAAGCAAAAACACACCCCAAAAAACCGCATTAATTATTATCTCATGAAAATTCAACTATGGAACTTGTAACTTGAACTTAAAAGCTTACTTTGCTAGGTACCTTCTTTTATGTGCCCTGAAAAAAAAAATAAAGACTAGGCTGTACATGTATATTCCACATCTTGCAAAATATTCCAAATGATCTTTAAGAATTTTCTAACATCTGGGAATTTTAGAGTTAAATAACAAAAAACAAACAAGCACAAGAAAAATCAAATCACTACCTGAATAAGGAAATATATTTCTGCTTTGCCGGTTGTATGTTTAAAACCAGTTTTTGGGCCTGGTTGCCGATAATGGCTGCAGCTGAACCACTACTTGTTTTAATAATACCAGTCAAGCACATACATGTATTTATTATCATTCATAAATACCTTTCAGTTACAAAGTCAAAACAAGTCAGGTGTGTTTACAAACACAAATGCCCCGCAACCGTGACTGTTTCCATGACATAACACCACTCTAACATCAACTTACATGTACCTTGGTCAAATGGAACGTTCATTGACAGCATTAGTGTCTTCTGTAGGTTTTATATGAATTAATCCCTAATCCCTATGATCTCAGAATAAATACAAGATTTCTATTGTTTTAGCCACTGTGACCTTGACCCTTGACCTTTTGACCCCCAATGCGATAGGCTTCTTAGGATTGCCAAGGACAATCCACGAACCAAATTTGAAATTCATATGTAAAGTATTTCTCAAGTTATCGCGCTGACAAAATTTCTATTGTTTCAGCCACTGTGACCTTGACCCTTGACCTTTTGGCCCCAAATGCAAAAGGCTTCTTAGAATTGCCAAGGACAATCCACAAACCAAATTTGAAGTTCATATGTAAAGTATTTCTCAAGTTATCGCGCTGACAAAATTTCTATTGTTTCAGCCACTGTGACCTTGACCCTTGACCTTTCGGCCCCAAATGCAAAAGGCTTCTTAGGATTACCAAGGACAATCCACAAACCAAATTTGAAGTTCATATGTAAAGTATTTCTCAAGTTATCGCGCTGACAAAATTTCTATTGTTTCAGCCACTGTGACCTTGACCCTTGACCTTTTGGCCCCAAATGCAAAAGGCTTCTTAGAATTGCCAAGGACAATCCACAAACCAAATTTGAAGTTCATATGTAAAGTATTTCTCAAGTTATCGCGCTGACAAAATTTCTATTGTTTCAGCCACTGTGACCTTGACCCTTGACCTTTCGGCCCCAAATGCAAAAGGCTTCTTAGGATTACCAAGGACAATTCACAAACCAAATTTGAAGTTCATATGTAAAGTATTTCTCAAGTTATCGCGCTGACAAGATTTGTCCGGACACACACACCCACACACCCACCCACCCACACACACACCCACACACCCACCCACCCACGGAAGGACAAGGCGGAAACAGTATGCCCTTTCGGCTTCGCCGCGGGGCATAATAAGCCAAAAATCCACTCATTTCCAACAATTTTGTTCAACAATTCACCTCGTGTTTTGTGAAACACCCATCTGGCAATGTCTATGGTATGTGCCTCACAGGTGAAGTGCTAAGAATGACCTTATATGGAAATTGACCAGCGTGGTGTGTACCGCGCAATGTGGCACAGGATAATAATTAATATAATAATTAGATTTTATTTAATTAATTATCACTTTTAAAAGATGATTTATCATTTTAAATCAGACTGTATAATGGTGTACTTGTTTGTATTCATATTGTGTTTGAGTGTGATTGTAAGCTGTTTTGATAAATTGTTTTGAACACACGGGGTGTTGATTTTCATGTTTTTAATCATGATGGTTAATAATAAATTGAATTGAATTGAATTGAATTGAATTGAGGATCAAAGTGGTTAAAATTAGCCAGTGTTTCATCAGCCGTTTTAACTACCCACGTGACAGGTTTTTGACCAATAGGAATGGGTAAACTGTCCTAGGCATTTATGAATAAGTGCTTTTAAGAGAAAACAAGTTCTTGGCCCCCGTTTATCAAAAAATAAGCCTGAAATAAACTGACCTCAGAGAATTTGCCCTTGTACTTAGCCAGGCTTCGCTCCACCTTCCTGAACTTCTGGAACAACTCCTCCTTGCTGAAGGCATCCAGGCTGACCACGGGCTCGTCCATCTCGCTCTCCGTGTCCGAGGGGGCCTGGTAGGTACTCTTGACTGGGGTCTGGTACTGGGGGAAGAGGGGGCTCTCGGGGACAGGGGTGGCAGCTGCTGGATGGGTGGAGGGCTGGGGTGGGGTCTTGGTGGGCGTGCTCAGGAGAGGGGTGGTGTTCTCCTAAACAGACGAACATCATTCGGTTAGTTTTTTGGTGATTACTGAACGTAAGTTGATTTTTTTAGCAGAAAATCCAAGTTTTTATCAAAACCGACAATACAATAGACAATTCTGTAGAATGCGATTTTTGTAGCCAGAAAATGGTTAGACGGCAGATTTGGGGAATGATCAAATGCTATTAGTGGTTGTAAAAGGTTTGCTTTCCAGCAAATGACACTAGTTTTCTGTGGAGTGACACCATACATGACACTACACAACATTTCTGACAGAACAATGTGTAGTATCATTTTTTAAACACGCAACATTTGGATAAAACAAGTAATCTGATCTATTTACTTTTGTGAAATTAACACTCTCGGTATCATATTTCTGTATTGACACTATGCTATACAAACTCAACAAGCGACGTTGATTTCCAACATAGGGCTGGATAGCTCAGTTGGTAGAGCACGGGAAAAGCAACCTGGTGGTCACAGGTTCAAACCCCGCTTCAGTCAATTTCTTTACTCAACTTGAAAAAATACTTTAATGCACCTAGTCAGTTTCCCTTTGTATTTTTTTGTTGTTGAAAATTTCCAAAAAGAGTAAAATGGAAAAGTAAGGTAGCATTTTAAATGACTAACGAGTGAAAGTGTACATAAGCTTTCATAGCTACATGTACAGTCAAAACAGAGGGTAGTGATCGATCAATTATCAATGGTGTAGTGTGACAAAAAGCCATGATCCTTTTATGGCCTCATTGAATACAGTCTAGTCTATGAAAAATCTTTTGTTCTGCAGTATCCCCGTCCTCCCTTGATTTGAATTCCATCTGTTGGGGTACAACTACTCTGAACTGGCTTAGTGAGTGGCCTGGTGAATTGAAATGTTCAGCAACAGGTTTCTGGATATCCTTGTTCCAAACTTGTGTCCGGTCATACATTGGTTGTCTTATTGACTGTCCAGTTTGCTCAAAGTATACTGCTGTGCGAAAAGAGTTTGCTTTTGGATGACACATGAAATCTACAACTTCCAAAGGTTTTGAGACCATGACCGGGATTCGGACCTGCATAGAAGTCACCAAACCACAAACCATCATTATTTCTGAAATTCGTCTCCTTGTGACGACACCCACCTTTGTGATTTCAGCAGCTTGGTCCTGCTGACTCTGCATAGCTGCGGCCTGCTCAGCCTCCGGGGCCGAGGACATACTGGGGCTGTCCTCAGGGGAAGGGCCTCCCCGACCCTCACCGTTCTCTGCCTGTTTGTCACCGTCTGCGGCATCTTGTGGGTGGGGTTCTGGCTTGGGTTCTGGCCTGGGTTCTGGTTTAGATTTTACTGGGGTTACCTACCGGTAAAAGCGAATATAAAAGATATTATTTTTAAACTGATACAAGATTTTAATCAACAGGAAAGTTAAAATGAAAACAACATTTAGTTTCTGAACTATAAGAGAGTGCTACTACACAGTGTTATTCTGCGACGAACAGATAGTTTGTCCATTTTCACATTTAGAATAATGTTGTCTTGTTCATGTGTTTAACAAATCTCAAATAAGGCCAAGTAAAATACAAAACAAAACAGTTGATCGTCCGGGCTTATTCAAAAAGAGAAGGATAAGGGCATATTTTTTTTTCCCCCCAAGATGGCCGCCAGGTAATTAAATTAAAATCAAAATCTTCACAATGAAATAAGGTCTTAAAAATATTATTAAAACCTGACAGAAGTGCAGGTTGCGGGGGGGGGGGGGGGGGGGGGGGGGGGGGGGGGGGGGGGAGACCGAATTGATAGGTAAAAAGCTGTCACATAAGCTGACAATTTGTGAGAAAAATATACACAGTGATTGTGAACTGAAGCGTTTTTTGACTGTGTTCGCATTACCTGCGGCCTGCGCGAGTTGAGTGAGTCTCTTGGTGGGTTTCTCTCGGTAGTAGGATTGCCTGGTGATGCGGCAGCACCAGGTTGCTTGGAAGCACCTCCCTGTAAGAAGCAGATCACTTAAATTATTGAATACTGCAGTTGGAAATTCATGTTATGCCCCATGAAGGAATACAACTGTTGGAAAGAAAAGCTACACCAATGGAAAGATCAAGTATAATTTGGACGGCCAAAGGGTGTTAGACCTACAGTATTTCCTATTAGTTAACCCTTCTATAGAAAACGTGCATTCTGAGCCTTGTTATTACTTGGGTCAATATTGATCAAGTGACCCATTGGTTTGCCAGGGGGAGAGGAAGGAAATTTTGACCATATGTGACCTTTTAAAACAGCAGGAGGGTTAATTCATGTACAAGAAACATGTGAAAGAATACAGCACATCCTGTGACCATTTTCTTTTCGTCACAAATACTTGAAATATGCCCATATGGACTTTGTTTTATTTTATAACCTCAATCACCAGTCATCATTATGTTCAGACATATAAAAATATCCAATTGTGGAAACAACTGCAAACACATGTTTGTGGATTATGTAAGCATGACCAAGGTGACCCAAAATATTAATTGACAAAAAATGGTTGCTCTAACTCCTATTTTGTTAAAACATTTGCATACATGTACGTGTAGGTGGGAGCGGACATGCAAGATGTTTTCATCGGATGACATCACTCCGCCCCAATCTATTATTAACCCCATACATTTTGTACGTGCACAGCCCCTCAAGAAAGGAAGAAAAGCTACATTCATGACAATAGACATGTTGAATGAACTCATAAGTATATGCCTGGGAAAGAATGTTGCATCCTGACGCCAATTTTTTTTCCGTCATATATTATTTCAATGAGGATCAGTTATTGCAAAAATGTAAAAAAATAAATAAATAATATTATGGGACTTGGAAACATTTCCAGTTTTGTTAGAAAATACTTTGAAAATGCACTTGACTCTCCATATGTAGACTTTGTACAAAGAAGCTGTGTCTGGATACTACCTTCTTTCCCTTGCCTGATCAAAATCAAATAAAATAAATATTAATACAAATTCAGAAGTCCAATTCGAGTACTCCTAGAACTATGAGGCTCCACGTAGTGCCCCGACGTACAAGCGCCCTACCTTCCGATTCTGATCATTGATGAGAAGACAAAGTGCATTCGCTGTACTTAGCACTTTTTGCAGGTTTGCATATAGCTGGAGTTACCCAGCCCTGAGTTTTATCATTGGGTTGTCTATTAGGGCTGGAGGGAATTTTTCTCGTAACTTGTAGTATTGGCAAATTTTTTTAGAAAATGTTCAATTTTGTCCCCGTTACCAGGTTACACACTAATTGCAACTGCAACTCACCCCAAACTTGCCTGGAATAACCATTACACAGGTCCTTGAAGTAAAAAACGATCCACGATGAAGATTCAGCCTACAATTGCAGTGAAAACAGGAGGAATAACCGCTAACTTGACAACCTTGCTGGATTGGCCAGGACCGCAATTGGTTTGTGCAAAAAAAAAATTGTGTACAATGAATGGCGGTCGATTAACAGGCACAGACATGACAGAGAGCGATCGCTGTCAACTACTCGTTTTTGCCGGCTGCGCTGGCTGTTGGCGCATGACGTCACGTGGAAGCGTAACACCCGATGACTGTTTCATGCACTAATAAGGTTTACCACTCGCATCACAGCTTTGGTACTGGAACCGCAACCAATAGTGCATGAAACAGTCATCGGGTGTTACGCTTCCGCGTGACGTCATGCCAACAGCCAGCGCAGCCGGCAAAAACGAGTAGTTGACAGCGATCGCTCTCTGTCATGTCTGTGCCTGTTAATCGACCGCCATTCATTGTACACAATTTTTTTTGTGCACAAACCAATTGCGGTCCTGGCCAATCCAGCAAGGTTGTCAAGTTAGCGGTTATTCCTCCTGTTTTCACTGCAATTGAAGGCTGAATCTTCATCGTGGATCGTTTTTTACTTCAAGGACCTGTGTAATGGTTATTCCAGGCAAGTTTGGGGTGAGTTGCAGTTGCAATTAGTGTGTAACCTGGTAACGGGGACAAAATTGAACATTTTCCAAAAAATTTTGCCTATACTACAAGTTACGAGAAATATTCGCTCCAGCCCTAATAGACAACCCAATGATAAAACTCAGGGCTGGGTAACTCCAGCTAGTTTGCATATAGTATTACTCCTATCCTCACATCGCCGGCCTCCATCCACGCCTCCAAGCAAAATAAAAAACCCTTGCTCCGGCGTGGCCCTGCATTCTATAGTTGCTCCCCTTTTTTTCAGCATTCTCATTGTCATGATTGTCTTTGAAGGTCAGTCATCATGGTCATTGACAATGACATTGCAAATGTTGTTGAAAAGACATCTGGGACTGAGAAACATTTCCCCCAATTTTGTAAGAAAATATTCTTGACTCTCCATAGACTTTGTGAACAACCACTGAACTGGATACTACATTTTCCCAAATTCAAAATATCCTCCATGTAAAAAAATGTGGGCGTGTGAACTAACTGCGATATTGCACCTCCATTTTCACTTGCCACACGGCCCATTCATTTGCACTGCAAACATTTGCATTCACTCCCACAACTTCGTGTTCAGCGTTTGTGTAGTCAAAACCAACACGAAAAAACAACAAACCTGCTCTCCGTCCTTACTGGCTTGAGTGGGCTTCAATGGCGACTTGGCCACATCCTCTGCAATCTTCTTTTTCAGGTTTTTGAACATTTTTCTGTGGATTTTGTGTTACTTATTTGGGGAAGTCTGCTCACCCAGTGAAGGTGGCCATTATTTTTGTGAACCGGAACTGTGCGCATGCTCAGGACACGTGGAAGGAACATTACGTCACCTGAGGGCGCAATACAATATTTATTATTATTTTTTTGCACCGGTGAGATGGTTTTTAAACTCCGGCTTCGTCTCAGCTTTGGCTTGGGCTCCAACTACAATTCAACACGGATGCCTCACTAGTATTGCGTAAAAAAAAGACACTCATGGTTCGGGCAATTTCTCAAGAAATACTGAATGTATCAACTCAATATTTCGTCGAATAACTGTTTATAATGTGCCCCGACCGCCAGTATAATTTCACGAGAACTCGTCAAACAACAAAAATAATATGACCGAAACAACTTACTCATCGTACGTGACAAAATCACCCTATGGTTCGGGTGATAAGTCACGATTTACTGATTGTATTTAATTGAAATTCAGTCCAATAATTCTTCATGATGTATCACACACAGGAGTATATTTTCATGCGAATTCGTCCAACAAGAAAGAAAATGAGATCGGAACAATTTACTGTTTTAAACGTTAAAAATTTAATCCGAATGAAAGCAATGTTCATGGAAACAAAAGTCACACTCCTTTTCGAGCAATAATCCAAGAAATTCCAAAGAAGTTCCTTTGTTTCCCCCTTTTTTTTTACAAGTACATTTTTCCCAAACACTTTTTCCCACTACACTTTTTTGTCTTTGTTTTCTCGAATGGAGACAAAATGCACCACGCGGCGGGTTTAATACTATGGGTTTTTTTTCAATAGAGGGCGCGGCGCAACATGCACGCGCTATAGGCACAGACATATAAAAGTTTTAGAGAAGGCAAAATGGCCGGGGCGGGGCGGAGGCGGGAGGATTTTTTTCCCGTAGGTGAATGAAGCAAAATATATGAATTATTCATCACACCCGTCCTGAACTTACAATGACTGCGCATGGTCGTTAAAATTCTCACCACCTCCCCCCCCCCCAAATGTAAAATTCTTGCTTTTTTTGGTTGAAACACATTTTTTTTTTGCTGAAACAAATTTATTTTAGATTAATAAATTAAGAGAACAAAAAATATAAAATAAAAAGAGTGAAATACTAAACGACAACAGCAACATAAACATGCACGATTATAATATGTAGTTTCAGGTAGGCCTACACTGAGAATTAGCAAGGAGAATCACTGTTCTCATTTAAGTCAGCATCACGAAGCATGTAGGCCTAATCTTTAACTAACGTAACATGTTTAACTTTAAAAGCAATCTTTTAACGAGACCGGGCAAGCCAAACAAGCTTTACTCTCGCTGGATGAGTTGCCCTCTAAACAAAAGTGATCAAGTTGAAAAGTAGTTTCAATGCAACTCAAGCTAATCAGCCTGCTGGTTTGCTCTGCAAACTAAAACCCAGAAGTTATGTAACTGGTCAGCTGTTTTAAACTTCTCAGCGTAGTATTCCGATCTTCTTCTAATTTTTCTCTCTTTTTTCTATAAAATTGGTTGTGTTCTCATCCATAACAGTTCCGTGCCTCTACTATAAGTGGTATGGATATCGTCTTCCCGCTTTTATTTCAGAGCACAGCAAGTATTCCAAATTCCTGTCTTTAGCGTTCGGCATCTGTCATCAACAGGCCTGGCGTGGCTCGGACCACACGCTCCAATCACTGGGAACACCGTCCACCCTCGTCCGTTCCGTCTGGCTCTCACTCGCTGCTCTCACCCTCCCGGTGGTTCTACCCGTACCCTCGGTCCCCGCTTCCATGAGCCGTTCCAACCCGTCCGGTCCCGACGTGCAAACAACGCCACCAGCATCACCTCCGTCGTCAGACTCGCGCTCCAAGACTCGCAGGCCCATGTTGAGCGCCCTCCATCGCCGGGCCAGCCGCAGACACGTGTTCTTAGTCTCGTACATCAGCAGTCCCAGCGAGACGAAGCTCAGGCTGCAGTAGACCGGTAGGAGGATCTGCGCCGCCAACGAGGTGGGGTCCGCCGAGGACATGAGGTCCGACTTGAAGGCAGTCCAGCCGATGTAGGCCGTGGTGCCGGCGAAGAGGACTAGAGACAGCAAGAAGACGGTCAGATGAAGCTTGTCAACCACGTTCAGCTGGAGAACCTTCCACTGGAACAGAAACAAAGCAGACAATCCAAAGGAGAATTGGTTTACCTCGGTCACTAAATAGATAAGGAGGGGCTGCATAAGATTCAAGATGATGTATCGTTTCGGTTTGCGGTAACACTATGTGGTAATAACTACTGCTCTGTTGATATTTAGTTCTGAAAAGAACTTGTCCTGCTTATTATCCACTTTCGCTAAGTAGTTTCTGTTCTGATAAGAACAGTCCAGCTTTAAGTTCTAAAAGAACTTGTCTTTGGTCTCAACGTTTCGACTAGCCTGCTCTAGTCATCGTCAGGAGACTGGATATGCATGTAAATCTCTGTGGACAAGCCGAGTATGCAAAATCAGCAACGTCACAACTGAGCAAAAATAAACAATCTGGTATTCATGGGTTTTAACAACACAGTCTTGTAGCGATGTAAATGTTGTGTTGTTTAATAGAGGATACCGCGCGAATTAAGGCGCCATCAATGCACCACAAACTTTGGCAAATCTACATCACACGCTACCCTTAGCTAACCGTACAGTTCTGGTATAGCGGTAGATTCGGCAGGGTGCGACCCGTTACAGCTAATTTGAGAATGTGAAACACGATGTAAATTGACGACGGGAATGTTGCTTCGCGTTTATGCATGATTTTCGTCCAAGAGCAGCTATAGACTGGCTCCCCTCCACCCTGAAAAATTATAAACACAAAGGATACTGAAGGGACAGGAGACAAGTTCACATTTTAATATGCGTTGTGGACGCATCTCGCACAGCGACGTCACAGACCAACAATGACGCAATACGCGCATGCTTCACGTTACCAAGGAAGTAGCTAAGAGAAAAAAAAGCAAACAAACAAATTCTCCAAAACATAGAAAAGCACGAATCTGTCATTATCGAAACACGGTTTAATAAACCTCAACAGTGGCCTATGGCATTATCGTATGACAGTCGAGCGCATTTATGAGGAATGTGAGCGGACATAAACATTGTAACTTTGATATCGGCACGAGTACAGTCTACGCCAGCCAGAGCGATCGTGAATCAGGAAAAGCGTGAGTAGAATTCGAGTTTTGGTTAATAATTTCCACCCACGTTGTTTGTGCATGACTGGACCCACGTTTGCACTGCGGCTATCATGTTTAGTAGCAGCGGGCCTACATAAAAAGATAGATTTCTGATTATGACGGAGCAGCGTGATTGTTCAGACAAAATGGATGGGTAGTTGATCTCTCGTAGACTGGCCGGAGAGCAAACAAATGACAACATTTCTATCGGTTTAGATTGATTGGATGAGATCAACAATATTTCTGTAGCCAACACGAGTGGGACATTTTTGTGAGAGCAAAAACACTATGCCACGCTTACAATGATAGATCATGGCAGCTGTGATGTCACGCCGGTGCGCGCGATGCCGACAGGACAGCCAGCAAATCCTTCTAAGGCCGTGCCCAGATTACTTGGCTACGGCTTGTAATTACACACGAGTCTATGGACTTACCGACTTGATACTTGGTTAGTTTCCTCCTGAAACATCCTCTAGGGATCTTGACGTGACTAGGAGGTCGAGTCAAAATGGATGGACGTGGTAGCAGTCGCTTCCGTAGACTTGTGTGTAATTTCAAGCCATTGCTAAGTAGTTCGGACGCGGCCTTATTTCCCCTCATTTGATAAATTGTAACGTAAAATCCAATCTAAAAACCAATCGATATCTTATTTATGGTATAAGTCGGCGTCAGGACACCACGCCATGCAGGTTTATGAGTGCAAAGGAACTCACGTTCACTGAAGCGCTGTCAGATTCGATTAGGAAACTACATGTAGTTCAGTTTAGTCTCAGACTATGATAAACTTATATAACTAAATCGACTTATTGGTTCTTGGTTCTCAACTGGGCTTTGAAACCAGCCTACTTTTACGCGTATAGGCCTAGGCTTATAACTTATTTCGGACGTTTTATTGTTGAGCCGAGTTCACACTTGTGTGTAATTTCCCCTTAAATTTCTATGATGCCCACGTCGCATGGGCAGAGCCGAACAATATTTTGTGAGAGCTTAGCACAGCCGGTAGCCTAAATTGAGTACAGACAGCCTTAATCGGCTTATACTAGTCAGATAGTAGGCCTAGGTCTAGTCCAGGTAACGACATTCCGTAACGTAGGGAGGTAAGGGAGTCCACCTGGCCGCTAGGCCTAGGTCCATCTAACGTTATGCTTCGTAGATTTTGTCCCGTAGAATTTAGTAACATTTGCTACGAGTTGGTCTAGCCAGCTGTTTCCCTAGAGTAACCCTGTACCAAAAGAAACCGTTCAATGTTTGAATACCTGGAATATGTTCCGAGATCCAACCATCTTGGTCTTGAACTTGTAGCCGCAGAGCTCGCAGCGAGATCGCCCGCTCTGGGCTAACCAGGTAGTCAGGCACCTCTGATGGGTGTATCTCATCGACCCGGCACAGAGACAGGGTCCCAGCAAGGGCTCGTGACGTCGACCGGTGTGGCAGATACGACAGATGTCGCCGGTCGGTAGGCTCAGCATGGAATCGCTGACGATACCGGTGACTCGAGGGTGTCTGACGGACGAGGATTGACCGGCGGGCTGGTGCGCGGAGCTTGGTTGGCATCTGGCTTCATTGGTAGACGGGGCTTGGTGGGAATGTCGGGTGGTGTGGTCAGAAACAACGAGAATCGCGGGTAGGGATTGGCTGGCCTCCAAACCTAGGCTTGGTCGATCGGGTGGACTCCCGGCGGTCGCACCGGCAGAAGCTGCTGCGCCATTTTGGAACCGTCCAGTTCTATTCCAGGTGCCGTCGGATTGGGCAGCTGCGGCCCTGCAAGGGTCATGGTCGTCGCCACCTTCGCAGCACATGCAAAGGGTGACTTGTTCCGTGGTTTGGCCTCCGATGTTGATCGATTCCGTGGAGCCTTCGTTGAACGAAATCGTGGCCAGTGGGGCGCCGGCTGGTTCGCGTTGTTCCGACTGACTTGCTGAAGGGAGCTTGTGGATAGAGCCAACTGTCGACTGAATTGGTGGATGTCCACTGTCGCTGGCATCGTACTGAACCTCAAACAATGTATCATCCGCTGTTGGTGTGGACCCATCACTTCCTTCTGCCAAAAGTGGCGTGTGAGATGAGGTCTCCATTTTAGCACTCGCTTCGCGCTCAGCCGGTTTGGCAACCAACTTTTGGTTGTCCATCAAACTCAAACAAAACTTTGTACGACGCAACTAAGAAATTTAAGTCCATCGTATGTTGAAACCGATACTGAACTCGCTCAGGCAAATCAGCTACCATGTTGGAAGAAGTACCTCATACTTAACCGTTAAATGATTTTTGCTAAATAAATAGGAGTCCTTTGAATAAACCGGCCGCGCCCTAACCTTAGCAGGAAAGCTAAGACACCTCCGCGTGCTTTTTCGCGAACTTTCTGGATACGCACTTCTATTAGAAGCTTCCACCAAACAGCGTGAGCTAGCCCGCGACTAAAACGCACTTTAGCTTGATTGGAAATCCATAAATAGAACTCAACAAGTTCTGTATCTATGTAGGAGAGTCCAGGTGCGTCTTGCGCATTTCGGTTACTACCAACCATAGATACAGAATAAAAAGACTATGGTTGTAGTTTGTCATTGTGACGCGCCGTGGAAAGACGCGCGTGTCTGTGCCAATGTCACGGGGTTCCGGAGTACATGATTTTTCTGCTGACGTAATCTTCGCCTATTTTTACCGAGATTGTAAGCAGTTAAAGGAGTGAAAACACAATGGCGTATGTGATTTCTGAGGTAAGTCTGAAACAGTAATACAAAAAGAAAGGCCCTATATTTCTCTGCAAGTCAAGCAAGCGTCAGCAGGCTGGTTCACACACCAACAGGCAGCACAATTTTACATTTTGGCTATTATCGGCTATTCCCCATCACAATAAAAACAGAACGTAAATTGTGACAGCGATATCTTGCAATTGTGTAAATGGTACCCGTTTTTGACACAGAAAGCATACACTACTAACATTTAACCTTAATTTCAAATTTTAAGGACTATAACGCCTTGTAATAGACATGCAGGCCTATACCTCATATGATTATAACTGACAAGCTGATTTAACCGATCACAGTCGGGTAGGGCGTATTTGTGTTGGGGTTTAAAATGTAGGGAGCTTTGGTTGACAAGACAGTTTAAGAAATGCAGGAGATACAAAGTAAGAATCTAATAAGCTAACAGATTATCGTGTCAAATTAAAAGGTTTGTTGGGAAGTAACAACAGTAGAAGACGGCTCCGGTTTGCAGGGGCCAGCTTGATTCTCTGGCAGCCAACCCAACGGAAGCAAAACGTGGGACGACCAATGACCACATATGGTGATACACTGTGCCAAGACACCAAGCTACAACCAACGGAAATTCATAGCTGCATGACAGAAAGACGATCTCGGAAGGCCATCACTAATGTCCGACAGAAGTCGCCGGAGTAACAAGAAGTGTAAACTGGGAAGTGTAATTTCTGGGAAGATTGGTGCTGGAAGAGTAACTGCATTAAAAATCAAATCCCAAGAAATGAACTGTAACTCTAGAAATGAAAAGAGGTTTGTTGGAAAGCTAAAGCAGCTCCCCCAAAAAAACCAAACTGGAACCACAAAAAAATAATTATGGACCCTGTATATCTGTCTCTAATTTTTCCCTTTGGTCTGTAACGGTTAAATTGACATTTTGTTAGGCAGTGGCATCTGCGGATAAATGCAGTTGAAAGATTTACCGTAGTTTTTAATTTGCTGGAAAACGGGCCCAAAGAGTACACGACTGGAAGGGCATAAAACTGGTGAAGGCTGCATGATTGTACAGGATGAGTCAGAATGATCTCGACCCAAGTTCACCTTGGTTTTGGTGGCAAATAAGAGTATATTAAGAACAAAAACTGAGTGTTTCATATAAATGGTTATTACCTAGTCTTCCACGTCAGGAATTTATAATTTTTCAAATTAGTGGCTGTGGTGAGGAGTCATGCCGTTTTCACTGAAGTGCCTCATTTTCCAGTCTGCACACAGAATTGGTTTTGCCTTTTTTTTTTAAAAATGTGTCAATAACTTCAAGTGAGTCAGTCACCATGACTAGGTTTTTATTTGTTATTACACTGATTCCCATCAGTACGCGATTTCAATAAATTTGTTTAACCATAGAATCGTGGTCAGAGTGGTTTTTTTAAGCGTGAATTCTTTGCTAGCGCTTTTCTTCAAAATGGTACATTGGATATACATGAAACTTTCACCAATTATGTCCATATCTCATTTGCACTTGTTTTGATAATTGCTACACATTTATAATATTTTCTTTAATTTGGGTCCAGATTAATTCTGGGACAATAATTTCAATAAAATGTGCAGCTACAATGCACTGGGCTAAATAACTTAAGACATGTTGGAAGTTAGCCAATATAATTGATTATCGCATGGATGGTCTCGATTATTTTCCTGGGTTGGTACATCGATGCAAACTATCCATCAGTCTGAAACCTAAAAGTAGTAGCATCCGAATTACGAAGACTCCGTACTCCAGAAGACAGATTATTTCAATCAGTAAAACAGTTTGTTAACTTAGCAGTGCAATGTTCTTTTCCCAGCTCGCAAACCAGAGTTTTCTCTCTGTCTCCAAAACCCCAAGTGATTGATCACCTGCGCCGGTACTGTGTGCTTAGCCATTAGCCAGACAGTCCCGTACGTCGTCGTCTGTGTTTCACACGGACAGCAGTTCACTTTACCTGCGATGCTATTGTTTAATCTCCTTTAATTAATGCAGAGGACGACAAAACGAAACTACTGATAAGGCTTTACAGGCCTGTGAATTCCCAGTATCAAGTTATATTATATCACTTACGTCTAGGCGCGTGTGCTACAAAATGCCAAAGCGTTGATCGTTAAGCCTATTTGATAAAACAGGGTAATTGAGTTGTGTTTAATTAATAAGTAACTGATTAGCCAAACCATTTGGAAAAGGCAGGATCGCACATTTTGACTTCTAAGCGAGAATGTGAATATCGTTTATAAAAAAAACCTACCCCAGCCTGTATAACCTTAATATCAAGCTCGGTGCCGATTTCATTTTTCTATAGGGGTATCGTCAAATGATTTAACATGATCTGCACTACAACCGCAAAACACTAGTTTCTTTGTAATTAGGGGGAAAACTCTTCGTAAGGCAAAGTTGACACTTTGTAACTTCAAAGTCAAAATCCCTGGAACAGAAAAGTACACTTTTATGCGGAAACTCCTGTCACTAACATTTAATTGGATTTGTCTTCACTTTGTAGATGTTCGATATCCTCGTCACTGATTTACCAGCTTGGAATTAGAGTTCTATCAACTGTCATTTCAACATCCTTCAACAAACGCCTACACGATGGCAATCACTCCTTTTGTACACAATACCACTCTCCAATATGGCGTGGACAATAATTATCAAACCATCAGGGACACAATAGGATAACGTGTATACATAGAGAAGAGCAGTCCCCTCAACCTTTTCATCAGTTATCAACATACGTTACAATTGTTCGCAATTTACGTTTTTGGATCAACTAGATTTCAAGTTCATAATAAGGGTAAAATTGACGATTATGGGTGGCTAGTGCTTCAGGTGCTGGCCTCTCACCACCGTGGCCCGGGTTTGATTCCCGGCTCGGACCATAATGCGAGTAGTGTTGTTCGTTGATTCTCTCCTTTGCCACGGGGGTTTCCCCTGGGCTCTCCGGTTTTCCACCCTCCGAAAAATCAACACTTTCGGTCTCTGGCTGTGCTCCGTGGTCATACATGGATCGTATGGCGGAAGCCTAAGGCGCCTTTGCATGCCTTCGGCTCAACCAGGATGATTAGCCCCCCCCCTTCCCCCGAAAAAAGTGTGATTTGTATTCGCGTTCCAGTGGTGGTCAATAATGGACGTGGAGTCTGCTCAAAGGAATCGAGTTAATATTAATGCTGCCTTATGCTAATATTTTATTTTTTGTTTACTGAAGGTGCCACTAATCTAATTTACAGCCATTATCATAAGGATTTGACATGAACATAATACAGAGCTTTCAGTTTCTGTGAAATATTGCACAAAGGTAACTCATTACTGACACCTGTGTTCAAGATAGGAAAGCCACTGCAACAATTTAAAAACCGTTAATGATGCGCGCGTCTCAAAAGAATAAACAAAATACAATATACATGCCTTTTTAGTTAAAGTGTGTCAAGTTTCACCTTTGCGTGCACGAAATAATTCAATTTCGAAAATGTCCAATGTTGGCTTGTCCTTTTCATTTGTGTTGCCAGAGACTGAAGCATTTGAGGAAAATTCAAAAGCTTGCTTGGAAGGGGGGGGGGGGGGGGGTCGAACCCACGCCTCTCTGCCTACACTAATGACGTCTGTAGGACTCCATCAGTAATCTTGCGGGGGTTGGCTGGCCGGTTCGATTCTGATAATGCTTTAACCTTGATGAAGTTTACAACAATATCGATAACTTAATGAAGAGTTGTAAATTTCGACACTTAGTTTTTGCCCTTCACCGACGAAATTCTATAGGCGCTGTTTACAAGCTTGATAAAACAATTGTGGTTTTACTAAAACTGTAACAAAGAACTTAACATGACAAGAAAAAAAAGAAAACAAAACAGTACTTTTCGTCGCAAAACTCTTACGGAAACTTGATTCGATCGGGTATCTTTGAAAACTGTCCTCTCAGGATACACCGAAAAACAATTTGAAAATGAGGGTGCTTTAAGGCATATATGATCGGATTGAGGCAACTGTTGATAGTCAATAACGTAGCGGTGAAAGGTAACGCCCTGCCGGTACCGGAGATGTCCAAGGCCGCGAGGGCAAGGGAAACTCCGAAGGGGGTCACGCAAATCATGAAGAGCACTAAGACCAGGAAAAGGTTCTTGGTGACCTCATACTGGAGCTTGAAAGGCTGACAGCGCCGGGGCAGGGGTTCCTCCTTCGTTTCGTCTCGGCTGCTCACCTCGGATACGTGGAGGGTCGTCGGTCGTGGCTTGGCAGCTTTCTCTAAGTGGGCCACTGATTTGGTGTGTCTTCGGATGAAACTGAAGACCCGAGTGTAGCTCCAGATGATGAGGGTGAACTGGAGCGGGATGCAGGTACCGAAGATGACGTAGCTGTAGTTGGGGCTGGACTTGGAGGCAACCCATGAACAGGAGGAATCCTTGGGGTCAAAACCGAGGGTGATATACCCGGTCAAGGCCGGGATCGCTACAGTGGCGATGGGTATCAGCCAGGTGGCTAGCATCATGAGGACGGCGTTACGGAGCCGGTAGATCCGACGATAGGTGCTGCGATCCTTGATGATGAGGAAGAAGCGATTGAGAGCGATGCACAGGAGATTGTTGATGCTGCAGGACAAGCAGGTGACACTCAGGAACCCAACAAAGGCGCAGACGGTGCCCAGCAAAGGCGAGACACACTCGCTCAGGACTGCCACGGACTGCACGGGGAGGAAGGCACAAGTAAGCAAGTCCGTCAGGCCCAGGTTCAGGACGAAGAGGTTGGTCGTACGGTGAAGACGCTTGGAGAGGACAACAGCAATAATAACCAAGGAGTTACCGAAGAGTCCCACGGTAGAGACTAGTGCAAGGACCGCTGCGATCACCTGCCTCTGCGCGTAACTAAAATACACCTGGTTTGTGAAATCGTCACTCGGTGCAGGTTGTTGGTCCAGGGTGACGTTACAATCCGAAGTCATCCTGTGTAACGGTAAGGTGCAGCTTAACGCAAGACCAAATTGAGCAGATATCCAACGGCGACCATCAGGATCACAGTAACACGATAGGCATATCTATCTCACGTCTACAAACGGAATCGCAGAATAGCCACTTGTAAAGCCACGAGAAAACATCTGTCATGCAGTTTGTTTTACTGTAGTGTGTTGCTCATCTCATCCAATCATAGCTAGCACGCACGATGAACAAAACAATACACACAATGCGCAGAGACATCGAAGCACGTACGTTTCGGTGTTCAATATACTGCAACAATAAAGACGCCCCAATTTCACATCAGCGGACCCATTTGGTTAAATTTGGTCCGTGACCACACCAATAGAGTCACTGTGATGATATCTTATCCCGATAACGGCACTCTCACGGCGAGCCTCTTGAAGGCAAGATAGGCTGGACATCTCACGGCAGACTATCATCCGTTTGATCACAAACTCAATTAGAGTGGATACAAAATCACTCACGGACTTGCGATCTTTTCATGGTCCGTGCATCAAGCCAGGCACTCAAAGTGCAGTACAGAGTTTTTTTTCATACAATGTAGGCTGATCTTCGTACCACGGACCGTGTTCTCCGTGCCAGAACCACGGTTATACATCGATGCCTGTTACCTCGACAGGTGCGGCGCACGCACGACCCTCCGTTAGCCTATACTCGTGACGTCCCTCACTTAAAGTAGCATGATCATGATAAAGTATCGCTGGGGGCATCAGCATCAATTAACGATAAAATGGCCAACAGGTTGCAATAAGTGTTTCAGGTGACAGGCAATCAATCAGAGAGTGTTTGCTTGAAAGGTCAACCGGAATCCAGGATTTTTTTTCTGTTTGCTCTATGAGGAGAGAGGAAGAGCTGGATGTAATTGAGAAAATGACAGCAATTTAAGGCCAATTAGCACACGCAAGTTCAATAAGCTCGCTCGCATACATTGCCGATACGCTGTCGAAGTGTGACGTCACTTTCTCTCCAGTCAAGGCTGGCTTTCTGGACAACTACGGTTCACGCTCTTTTCCAGGCGACACATTTACAAATAGGCCTACGTTTTGTATATTCATAAATAGCCACTTTACTTTACTAAAGAAGAGGAGATTAGTTCTCTGCAGATGGTTGTCACTACACTACTCACTAGTACATATCAAAATCCCGAAGGAATTTTTATGCCGATTATATATCTTGGGTTTACGCCGTAAAATCGCAACACGGAGTTCACATGAGCCGCCGACAGTCAACGCGTGAACGCTAACCAAAGAGTTACGTCGAGTTGACCACTGAGTGACGTCACGACTTCAAAGCGTAATCAAGAGCGTTGTAGACCTTGTATTTCGTTGGCTCAGAACATGTGACACATTTTTTTGGTTCGAGTGACACGGGTTCCTTGACCAGACGATCCTGACGTCTCACAAATAGATTGTGTAGGTCAGGTAACCGCCACATTCAAGAATAGAACAATAATACAGACCGGACATTACGTTATGCATTGAATTTAATTATGACATGCACTTGCACTTCGATTTTGTGAAATAAAACTGAAATACGATTTATATTAAACAACAGGGCCCAATTTCATAGCATTGCTTAACAGTAAGCAGAAAAGTTGTGCTTAATATAGCAGAAAATCATGCAGCTGCTTAAGCACTATTTCATGCTAACGGTTGTGCGTGCATGGAGATTTCTATTGTTACGTCACTGATTTAAGCAAAGTTTTCTTCTGGGGTTAAGCGTGCTTTTGCTGTGCTTACTGCTTAACGTCCCTGTGAAATAGATGGAGGCTCTGTTAACACAAAGTCGGCTGTTAAGCAGCTCTATGAAATTGGGCCCAGCTATTTTACACACGGAAACGCCCGAGCTATCGCGAGCACGTCCGAGTGACAACAGAAACCTAATCAAATACTTTCGGACATTTGGTCACCGTCCGTGCCGTGGCGCCTACTTGACCTAAGGCCGTGTCCGAAAGTTGTGGCTGCGGCTGGAAATAACACGTTCACCTATGGAAGCCACTGGCTTGTGGCTACAGCCACTTCCCATAGACGTGTGTGTTACTCCCGGCCGCAGCCAGTTGATTCGGACACGGGCTAACATAGTTTATTCTGAATAGTCAGAATCGTTTGGTCTGGGAACCAGACTTCGCACGGAGCCAACCACAGTCGTCTACAAGATGTTGTACAGTTCGTTGACACGCTTAAAGTGCAACGTGGGCCCACTCCAGGTGCCATGCGAGGTTATGTCACTAATGCCAAGACTATTTGTGGTAAGCACAAATCCGAGAACAATCAAATTCACCCCACGCCACGCGTAACCTGATACCGTTGAGCAAATGTTTACGAGTAGGGTCAAATTTCTGCAATCAAAAGCTACATGGAATTGGTCGCTTGGTACTTATATGGCATAAGAACAGAATTGAGGAGCCGGCCAAGCCTTATCCGCGGCAGCCGGAATCGTAATCCCTCTTATCCTTTCCAATCCATCACAAGTATCATGAAGATGTAGGCAGTGACATTTTTAGCGTTCAGGTATCTAGTTTGCTTGAAGAGCGTGTAAGACCGTCCGGATGTAGACTTTAGACTGTTTTTTTGTGTATCCTGTGTATGAAAATTACCCTGGGGACTGACAAGCTTAATAGACTGACGAAGGTTATTTTTTCCTTACTTTACGATTTTGAAGGAAGCATTTTGGACTAAATTTCTTTGTGATCGTTTTGCTCATCTCAAACTAGAACGATATATTCCAAGTTTTTTTTCCCCATGCTGTGCATCTAAAGGTCATTGCCTTCTGTGGCTGAAGTGTCATACCATTCTTGCGTTGTGGTCCAATGGTTAGGGTGTTCTACGCACGTGCCGAACATGGTAGAGGAGTTCGAACCCTGACAGGGAACATATGGCCTTGTGATCTTGGGCAAGACACTTTACTACAATTGCCTCTCTCCATTCAGGTATATAAATGGGTACCTGTGACGGTAGAGACCAAAATGCGCTGATCTCGAGCTGCTGCAAAAACTGGTCCCATGGCCTGATGAGCAGGGGTAATATCTGTGAAGCGCTTTGAGACCTTTGTATAAGCACAGCATTATGATTATTATTATTCTCTTTTTAAGCGATTTTGAAGAATCATTATTATTTTCAAGCGTAACTTTCCATGCCAACCTTTTCACTTAGGAAATTTAATGATTGATACTTTTTTTAGTGTCAGTTAAATCGGTTTTAAAGTTTGTTTTACACTATTGTTGAATCATGTTTAAATAATTCATATTGCATAAGATTGGAATTTGAAGCAATATTTGCCTGTTGGATAAGCAGGTCAAAGTACGTAAACACTTTGTCCGTTAGAGCAAGCGTTTACCAACGTACCAGAAAATGGAAAAAACAAAAAACAAATAAAATCCTCTGGCAGCCTGGCATTTGATCAGGAAACCGATAATGTTACACAATTTTCGTGAAAATTATATTAGGCGGACCCTAAAGTTCATCTGATAAAACGCGTGCGTCCAGGTTAAGGTCGATCGCGCGATACACGCACGAGTGACAAGTTGCACTTAGCAGTGTGGTGCGTGTATATACCGCTGACTTTCCGTCTGGTAACCCGACTCGTTAGGCTTAAAAACACAGAGCAAGCTCAATAATTTTACCTTGTACTTGTTTGTATTAAAAGCACACTAGCTGCTTTTCCCGGGTAATTGCAATTTGCATTTCTATAGCAACACAAAATTTACTATTTTGAATGAGATATCGAACGCATTGAAAACTGCCCTCGTTTAGCTCTTGATTTTTTTTCCTTCCAAAATTCTAGTTATACTATTTTTTGCGGTCTGACAATAGTTCAGGCGAGTCTTGATGTGCACTAGAGGCGAAGAAGCAACCCCCAAAAGGCTTTGTTTCACATGGTTGAAGACAGTCTAAATAGGTAAGCTAGGTATTTAAAGTTAACATGAAATAATTATACGAATAGTGATACAACCACCCCCCCCCCCGAGAATAAGTCATAAGAACCATAATTTCATCGCACATTGACCCTTGCTGGCGTTACATTGTAACTCAGAAAGTAAAGATTTTGACTCTAAAATTGGTTCGGTTTTAAGTATTGCAATCAATAATTATTGGTCGACTCAAAATCATTATCACAATTTCCACCCTCAAACAACGAAACGCATAATTTTAGCAAGGGGGACATATATCACCTTGAATGTACAACATAAATAAAAGTGACATGTTATTAAGTATTGTGACATATGCACCCGAGCGAAGCTTTACCTTAAAGGGACACTAGGTCCTGGAACAGCCCAATTGGGCTACAAAACGCGCTTTGAACGAAATGATTTCAATCGGAAATAACATTTAAAAGTGGGATATAAACATCCACACAACTATCCTTTCAAAACTGGGCGTTTTCGTGTAATTCCTGAATTATGCGTGCGAGAACGAATTTTGGGGTCCACTTTTGCCATCCCATAAATTCGAGCTGTTTGTATGCTAGATGTGATTTCATTCGCCGGAATCTTTTGTCTTTTGCGGACGTTGAAGAAACCACTAGTTTTGCATTGGTGATTAGTCACCGTTTTCCCTGAGACACACAACGTGTATATCGTAACCTGAGAGCGACACGAAAAACGTATTCGTGCTCCGTCGTGTCCAATGTGAACAAGCGGTCTTTTCCGTCTTTTCTTGGGAACGGTAAGACATTGGGTTGGTTTCCTTTCAACCAGATGTCTGAAATAGGCTAAGTAAACAATCTAAAACATACAATTTTCGAGGATTTCAGGACCTTGTGCCCCTTTAAATGCACAATATGCACAAATTAACATATGTTATTGTCAAGAACAAGAAGACAGAAGGACCCATTACAAAGGCTTTACCTTTAATGCACTATATGAATTAATTAACATGTGTTTATTATTAAGTATTTTGACAGAAGAACCAGGTCAGTCGCCAGCCTTGATCGTCGGGGGGGGGGGGCATAGTGCCAACTAGAGGGGCCCACTATCATAAAAATACTAAAATACACATGTATGGCTTTTGCCGATGGGGGGGGGGGCCAATTGGTCGCCAAGGGGGGCCGGGCCCCACCAGGCCCCCCCCCCTCTTTGCGATGGGCCTGAGAAGAACCCCATGCAAAGGTTTTGATCAACTTGTAACTGCATCTCTACAAATGTTCTACTTCCATACAAGTCACATTATGGATACAGTTTGAATGACCTTGACTGTGGTGACGGTTGTCGTAATGAGGACAAAAACGAATACAATTTTATGTGAGGCGTGTTGTCGCATTATCACTCAAGCCAGACAAGTAATTACAATAGGCTTTGTGGAGGGGACAAGGTAATTAATATGTTGGTGGAGATGGTATGAAGAGGTGTTGGTGGTGGATATAATACAGGCGCATTAAAGTAATACTGCTTATTGCTGCTGGAGTTCACCATCCAGCGTCAGTTTCCATTTGTCACACTCGACAACGTTTGATGGACAATAGAAACTCAACCCAACTCAATAGTAGGAGGCATATTTTTAACGGTAAGTTAAGTAAATCGATATCTCATCAATTGATGTTACGTCTGCTGAGAGACTGCGCAGGCGCAGCCCATTACGACGAAGGCTTCATGCGATCTGTTGAAGATTACAATCGATGTAAAGTGTTACAAGAAGAAATACTTCGGGCAAAATAACTTCATGTCATCCGTTCGGGTATAAGTGACAGCAGTTTCATTTCGCCAAGGATGATTGGATATTTCTCCTCAGTACAATCCTACTGTAATGACGTAATGGGAAGTTTGTAGTTCTCTCTTTTTTTTGGGGGGGGGGGAGTACGAAACGTACGTGTATGACAGGGCACCAGCGATATGACAGCCGTAAGTGGAGGCCGTCACGGGTACTGTCATTTCACTTGAAAGAGTTGTGCGTTAAAAAAGCAGATGCGCGCCACGAGTACTTCACACACGGACAGTGCCACGACGAAGCTACATACAATTCTGACATACTCAAGGAGAACACAGTACAACAGGTAGAAACGCTTAATGTAGAACACATTTTTGCAAGTGTTGCTGCGTCTACCTGGTATATAAGACAGTAATTACCTTTGAACTTAAAAAAGATGATCAGCTTGAAAATGGAAAATACCACCGAAAATGTTTCATCGGTTGAGGAAGACACTTGGAGCGCTTACAGTGCAGAAGGTGACGATGAAGGAAATCAAATATATCAGTATTTCTCCGTGAGGCAGGCTTTGGCGGGAATGATTATTACCGGTGGCATCCTCGGAACAGTTGGTAACTGCTTCGTTGTCGCGGCTGTCGTATTGTCAAAGAAACTCCGGACGACCACAAATGTCTTTGTGGTCAACTTGGCGGTAGCGGATATCCTGACTTCGCTGTTTGTTCCGTGGCAGGCCGTGGGATTACTGGGCGGGGAGGAGTGGCCCATCCCGGGGGCGTCGTGGGTGTGCGCCATGGCGGCTTTCGTCATCGTCGTCACCTTCGGATGCAGCATCAACAGCCTGGCTCTGATCGCCGTCAACCGTTGGGTGGGTATCACCAAGTCTCGCGTCACCACCCGTCGCATCTACACCGCCCGTAAGCTCGCTCTGATGGTCATCTTCTCCTGGGCTATACCGCTCGGCTGCGCCTTGTTGCCTGTCCTGACAGACTTTGGCGAACTGGGCTACGAGAAGCTTTACTCCAGCTGCACTTGGGTTATAGAAGAATCTGTCTACTACAGCATATTCATAAGCGCGATGTACTACCCCATCCAGCTGATTCTGATAACTGTGTGCTACACCTCGATATTCTGTTACGTCTGCAAGACATCACGCAGGATGACTCGAGCAAACGCCCCGTCCATCTCCGAAGAAGTCTGCGGTCAAGGAGCTAACCGCGCAATGAGGAGAAAGCTGTGGAAGAGACAAGTAGACGTCACCAAGAACCTGCTCTACATCGTCTTGGCTTTTGTCCTCTGTCTCACGCCTTACTTCGTGACCATCGTCTTCAGCAGCGACTGGAGCCGTCAGTTGGTGCCCTGGGCAGCAGCAATCTTGTTCTGCAACAGCTGTGTCAACCCCTTCATCTACGCCACCTCGCACCCAGTTTTCAAAGAGGCTTTCGGGTACATGGTCAGATGCCAAAAGATTCCCACTAGCGGAGCGAGTCATCAGACCAGATATGCCGCGACAACGAACACTGATGTGCCTGGTGCAGATACTGCACAGACCAAGAAGTAAACAACACGCTTCTAAGGCTAGCCGGTAGGCAAAAACCACTGCATGGGTGAAGAACAACTTAAAAACCTACATGTTCTTGTACACATTTGCATTATATTGAGGAAGTCTAATGATCCGCGCAGCGCCTTTTAAGAGGTACCATATACAGTAAAGATACATTTCCCGTGCTATTTCAAGTTTCACCCGGAAAACAAAATTGATATTTTTTTCCAATTGCAATTTGCCATATACAAATTATTCTTTTTCGAACAAAAGTATTACAACGACGTTTAGTTATTGAACTATTTCTGTACAGAATTTGGATTATTTGCGGCCCGACAAAAATGCGGCTCACGAACAAAGACGAAATTCGTAAGGACAAATATTTTGTTTGAATAGCATGGGTATGCACCGAAAATGAGTAATTATTGTTTGAAAGTAGTTTTCTACGCTAAAGCACAAACATTAACATATCACTGAAAAATAGGAATCGGATTCGTTTGATACTCTTAAAATGAAACATCATGACAAATTGAACATGTTGATTTGATGTACTCAACCAGGAGAGAGAGGGAGAGAGTTGAGGCGATTTATTTAGTTGGTTCCCGTTACAAAGATTCAACAATCAAGAAATATAGAACAATAAAATTCAAAGCTATGAATAAGATATTATTCGTCAATCAAGAACCAAGAGGCTGAGGTTGTACAACAAAAGAACTATCGACTCTTAATACAGATTGAAATACTATCAACGTTCAATAAAATAAATTTGATACAGTGTGTAAAAACACCTTAACTCTGAGATGGGAGCCACACACGTCGCAAAGTAAAAGAAGTAAGAACGATTTTAAACGACAATTTCCACATACTTCGTCCAATTTCTTGTGGGAGGTTTGGGAAATGTTTTATATTAATATGGCTGTTAGAGTCTAGATATTTATGTGTAAATTTACGCTCCAAAATAACCACTGTGCAATAGAAAAACGACACGCTGTGAAAAAGCTGTTTTAGTTTTCGAGTTGTAAGTTAATGTGCTCTGTAGATATTATGCACTTTTAAGATGACGTCACGTAATCGATTATAACGTCATCATGACGTCACTCTTCGACTCGGAGACATATCTATGCTATAAGGACTATGCCTATGTTAACTTTGAATGATGTATGACAAAGATATATGCCAAAAGTGGATGTTACAAAAATCATGTACAAAGTCTATGGCATTTTGGGTAGAAGAAAAAGACAAGGGAAGAAAGAAAAACAATCAGAACTAAAAGAAAAGCTTTCCGCAACTATGCTGAAAAGCCAAACATAAAAAAAAGAACTGGAAAATATAACTGTTATCCCGACTTGAAGGTTGTGCTTGCTCCTTTGTTTTGCTTTCATCGGTAGTAGTTCGATAGTCACTGACGAAGCTCAAATACAGGGCGAGTCAAAAGAAAATACGAGATCCAAATGTCGGGACAATTGTTTTAGTGAAATTCTGCATGTAGCACTTTCAAAATGTAGGATATGGCAGCCCAATTCATAAGCTTTCTTTTAGTACAAGAATCATTTAAATCACTCATGTACTTTTCAAGTTAGGGAATTTTAAACACAACCGCCGTTTTAAAGTTCTGTCCACGGATCACTAAAAAGTTCAGTGTTCTTTCAACAAAACGAAAACAAATTGTATTTTTTTTGTGTGTGAATTGTTTTCGTTTTGCTGAAACAACGCGCACCTTTTTGTGATCCGTGGACAGAATTTGAAAACGGCGGTTGTGTTTAAAACTCCGTTAATTGAAAAGTACATAAATGATTTGAAAGATTCTTGTACTAAAGAAAGCTTATGTGTTAGGCATTCATATAGATTTTGAAAGTGCTACATGCAGAACTTCACTAAAACAATGGTCCTGACATTTGGATTTCGGGTTTTTTTTGGACCCACTCTGTTAGCTTTAGAGCGATGAATTTCATTTTTTTTTGGGGGGGGGGGACGGGTTCAGGAACGCGTGCTGTGACACTGGCGTCTGGGAGCCAGACAAAACAAGTCGGCTACCGCGGCAAGTGCCGTGGGTTATGGAATGGTTATTGCTAATTAACGAGAATTCTACGGCCATGAACTGTTAACAAGCGCTTGCCTTAATGACTAGCAGGCATAGTTCCCAATCAATCATCTGCTCCCGTAAGAGTTCGATGTGGGAATAAAATGAACTTTAATTCGAGAAACTGAATTGCCAGGAATTTCCGCGGGAAAAGAGCGGGTGATTATGTTGCTGTTCGATGGAGCTCATTACTTCCGAAGACCCGCGGAATTGAAAAAAAGATTACAAATTAGGAACTGAATGGTACTATTTTGTTTTAATTACCCAAGGCCTAAAAGCTTGTAGGTGAATTGAATGACGAATCCCCGCGGAACACGAACGGGCAGTGTTTCCGAGATAATTGTGCGATTTCAAAGCCGGTGATTTAATACAAATTTCCGGAATTGTCTGCAAGCTGCCATACGGGAGAACAAGGCAATACCATTTTAACCACATGAGGCTCAAACATCCTGTCTTTGCAGTTTGAGTTCAGGTACGGCATGTTCAGTTTATAAAGAACATATACGTAATGAAAATGTAACTATGGCATCGGTAGAGGGCAACGTCATAATTATGGTTGTGGCAAATTCACAAGTCACAACCATTGTTTGGAAGATGTTACCGTTAGGGCGTTACAAACACAATACAGGGTAACCCTAACCCCCCCCCCCCCCCCCAAAAAAAAGAGCAACCCTCAAACATTTGCCTTTTTTCCACAAACGTGATCGTGAATTTTAATGTTTTAGGATATCGTGTTAAAGCTGAGTTTTTTCTTTCAAATACTGAAAAAAGATAATGAAAATAGCACATTGGGTTGCTGAGCAAAATGCCAATTATATAGCACAACTCCTTTTTGGTCCATTCCAATGGCATTACCACAGTTAAGGGATTTACACTGTACATTGTATGCATATTTGACGAAAGTGCATGAACTGCATGTAGTGCTTGTGTCCTAATCCTTACAAACAAGAATATGACAAGAGTACAAATGATATTGATGGAGATATCTTTTATTTTCCATCTGAACAGGTATGTTATCCTTTTTAGTCCCATTTTAAACCTTTTCAGCATCATACATATGTCAAAATATTAATGAAATTGTTCAAATGAAAGCTGTTTGAAGCACCATTGGAAAGGATTAAAAAAACACTGCTTTTACATATTATTAGCTTTTTCTCAGTAACCTAAAGTGCTGTTTTCAATGATTTGTTCGGTATTTGAAAGAAAAAACTCTCAGCCTTAATCTGATATCCAAACCATAAAATTCACAGATCAAGTTTTTGGAAAAAAAAGGAAATGTTTCTGGGTTAGTCACCCTGTACATGACCGCACTTGGTTGGACGTTAACATACTGAATTTCTTTTTGACTAAATAACTTTGATGTGACTGGGCGTGAACATTGTGTAAACGCACTGAATGATACGTGCAAGTACATTAATTAATGTGTAAAATGAATGGATGATGAACACGGAGTGCCAATAATCACTCAAACCAGACGGGAACCACAGTAGGCTTTGTGGAAGGAACAACAATTAATATGACCCGTGATAGAGATGGTATCAACGGGGGCGCGTGGTGGATGAAGTACAGGTGCATTTATACTAATTATTGCTGCTTCTTCACTATCACACACGTTAACAACAAGAACTACACAAAATGTACTCCAATTTGCGGTTGTGTTGGTGTATTTCGGCACACTCTGTGAGATGCGTACACCGAAAAATTGCCTGGGTTAATTTACCAAAGAAAGGGTGAAAACTGGAACTACCCAAACTTGGGTTGTTCTATAACCAATTGTTTGGGTTTTAATTTATGTTAAATTCAACCAAATTAAATTTGGTCTTGAATGACCACAAGTTTTGGTTGAATTTAGCAGAAATTCTAACCCAAACAATTGGTTATAGAATAACCCAAGTTTGGGTAGTTCCAGTTTTCACCCTTTCTTTGGTACAATTAACCCAGGCAATTTTTCAGTGTATAAACGCATGCATGCTCAACATCTTTACATATAACAGTATACAGCTAATGTATTTTATAGCATAATTTCCAAACTTCTAACTAGATATCCTTCACAACATAAATTTTCACACCTTTGTGAAATTAAAGACCTTGCCACAATCAGACCTGTTTTCGTGTATTTCTGCACACACACCAAAGTGAGCTGCGTTTAAGACGCAATTTGCTCAAACATTATGTACATAACAGCGTACAGCTGATTCTATCCTTAATACCTGCTTCCACCAGATTGCTGTCATCCTCTACTCTCCCTTCCAGTGCATGAATAATCTCTCTTGCTTCTCTGTATATAATTACGAGAAAAAACACAAACATGTGTCAGAATGTCTACCTTACATAAATTTACAGCCTATTTTCTTCGGAGGACATTATATACTCGTTAATTTATAACTCTTCAGGACGTGAGAGCCGTGTCTGGTATATCGAGAGAAGATTTGTAGAACGATGCGGGGCCTGTGCCTTACCAACGTGAAGTGAGTGGCCTACCGTGCCACACCTCAATTCCATGCAAAGTATTTGCATGGTTACGTCACTCCTGAAAGGACCTGCATTAACGTGCCCGTACACCGTGAAGAAAAGAAGTATGTTCTAATTCGCCCCGGTCGCTCAACCGAACATATTTATATTAGTTCACCATCCAGCGTCAGTTTCCATTCGCCACAGTAGGAGAAAAAGTATGAGACAAAGTAATGGTAAGTTAAGTAAATAGATATCTCATCGATTGATGTAAGGTCTACTGAGAGACTGCGCAGGCGCAACCCATTACGACGAAGGCTTCATGCGATCTGTAGAAGATTACAATCGATGTAAAGTGTTACAAGAAGAAATACTTCGGGCAAAATAACTTCATGTCAATTACTTACGCGGATAAGTGACAGTCGGTTACATTTGGCCAAGGATTTTTTGATTTTTTTTCTCTTAGTAAATCCAACTGAATTGATATCATCGGCAAGTTTGTAGTTCTCTCAGTTTTCGTTATGTTTTTTTTTTGTTACGAAACGTACGCGTAGCTGATGACATGGCGCTAGCGATATGACAGCCGTAAGTCAGTAGAGGTCGTCGCGGTTTTTTTGTTTATTTCACTTGAGAGAGCAATGCGTTTAAAAGCCGATGCGCGCGACGACTACATCACACACCGACGTCGGCACACATCGCTCCTTTTTAATCGTATGTTCAACAGTGCAGCGTCAAAAGTGGTACACAATTTCTGACATACTCCAGAAGAACGCAAATATCCAAAAGGTGGAAGCGATTATTTTTGAGTTGAGTGCTACAGAACGATTAACTCGGAACAAAAATTGACAAGTTTTGCAGTGTCTATTTGATATCATCTCGCTTCACTATCTAAGGCAGTAATTAGTTTTGTCTTTACAAAGTAAAGGTAATCAGCTTGAAAATGGAAAATGCCACCGAAAATGCTTCTTTGGTTGAGGTCACTTGGAGCGCTTATAGTACAGAAGGAGACTCTGAAGGGAATCAGATATTCCAGTATTTCTTCGAGAGGCAGGCTTTGGCAGGAATGTTTCTTACAGGTGCCATCCTTGGAACAGTTGGTAACTGCTTCGTTGTCGCGGCCGTCGCTCTGTCTAAGAAACTCCGGACGACGACTAATGTCTTTGTGGTCAACTTGGCGGTAGCGGATATCCTGACTTCGCTGTTTATTCCGTGGCAGACTGTGGCATTTCTGGGAGGGGATGCGTGGCCCATCCCGGGGGCGCCGTGGCTCTGTGCCATGGGAGGCTTCGTCATCGTCGTCACTTTTGGTTGTAGCATCAACAGCCTGGCTCTGATCGCCGTCAACCGTTGGGTGGGCATCACCAAGTCTCGCTTCACCACCCGTCGCATCTACACCGCCCGTAAGCTCGCTCTGATGGTCATCTTCTCCTGGGCTATACCGCTCGGCTGCGCCCTAACGCCTGTCCTTACAGACTTCGGCGAACTGGGCTACGAGAAGCTTTACTCCAGCTGCACTTGGGTAATAGAAGAATCTGTCTACTACAGCATGTTCATTACTGCTATGTATTACCCCATCCAGCTGATTCTGATAACCGTGTGCTACTCTTCGATATTCTGTTACGTCTGCAAGTCAGCACGCAGGATGACTCGAGCAGGCGCCCCGTCCATCTCGGAAGAAGTCAGTGGTGGAGCTAACCGTGCCATGAGGAGAAAGCTGTGGAAGAGACAAGTAGACGTCACCAAGAACCTGCTCTACATCGTCTTGGCTTTCGTCGTGTGTCTCACACCTTACTTCGTGACCATCATCTTCAGCAGCGACTGGAGCCGTCAGCTGGTGCCCTGGGCAGGAGGAATCATGTTCTGCAACAGCTGCGTCAATCCTTTCATCTACGCAACCTCGCACCCTGTTTTCAAAGAGGCTTTCGGGTACATGGTCAGATGCCAAAAGATTCCCCGCATCAAATCTAGTCCAACAGCGAGCACTGATCTGCCTGGTGCAAATACAGCAGAGACCAAGAAGTAAACAACACCCTTCTCAGGCTGGCCAATCCATTGTGAAGAACACCTTACAAAAACACCTACTTATTGTGCTTGTAGAAATCTACATTATATTGAGGAAGCCTAATGATCCATGCATATACAAGTGTGTATTTGCCTGCAATCGGGGACCCCCTATTGTCCCTCTTTTGTTTGTACTAACTTTCTATGAAGGCCTCCCATTATGTCGAGTACACATCGCCAAATTGGGGACCTTCGGGAATTGTGGACCCTATATTGTCCTCATTTGTTCAACGTCCCCTGAAGGCAGAAACAAACTCGGCCACTTTTAACAGCCTTGTAACGTACATATTAAAGATGCACTCCCCGTGTTTTTTTTTCGAGTGTTAACTGGAAAAGCTCATTTTCAGGGGGTTGCAAATGCCCAAGATCGGGGAAAAATTGACATTTGACTTCGTAATAAATAACCCTACTGAAAATTCGTTGGGAGAATTTTTCGTGAAGAGCATATGCACGCATCTTTAATGAGTAGTTTTAGCTTTGTACGTCAAATTAAGCTCAAATATTAAAATATCACTGAAAAATGGAACCAGATTCGTTTTTTACTGCTACAATCAAACATGACGAATTAAACGACTTAATTTGATGTACTATATCCACCAAAATGGAAACAGAGAGGGAAAGAAAGGATGTGTTCTGAATCATGCAGGCGAGAGTTTAATCAGTTGGATCCTATTACAAAGATTCAACAATCAAGAATCAAGAACAATTGAAAGCAAAGCTATGATACGAAATTATATGTTAATCTCGAACCTATAGGCTGAGGTTACTGTTGGTACAATTTATGTACTTATTGACTAGCATAGTTCAATAAACTAATGTGGTATAGTGTGTAAGCATTTGTTCTTTGCTTATACGACAGACACGTCGCTAAGCGACATAACTGTATTGATGGTATACCTACGAATCGCTGTATTGCAAAATTTGCACCGTACACTGCATAACACTGTATATATATTATTTACACGTGTCTATCTGTGTTTCTTTATTCATGTCCTATTTAAATTCTGGCAGCGAGCCATGTCGGCTTCACCGATCTAGTTTTCATTTCAAAAACACAAGTTACAGTTTGGTAAATGTATATTGATTTTTGAAATAGGCCCATTACTGTATAATAATCAATTTTGAACTGAAACTCTACGAACTGTCTGAGGTTTATTGCATCCTCCCCCGAAATTTGAATAAATAAATAATGCTGCATATGTAACATAATCTTGCCATTAGTTATAGAAAAGCAAAACGTATAATGGCCGCCATCTGGCCAACGATTGGATGGAGCCCCAATGGGAGGTTCTTATTGTTTGACACGACTTTCTATTGGATAGGACACGTCTACCGTTTATACGAGTCAAAAATACGAAACCCAAATGTCGGGACCATTGCTTAAGTGAAGTTCTGCATGTAGCACTTTCAAAATCTAGGGTATGAAAGCCCAATTCATAAGCTTTCCTTTAGTACAAGAATCATTCAAATCACTTACACCGTTTTAAAGTTCTGTCCACGGATCACACAAAAAGTGTGCCTAAAATCACTGGCAAAACGAAAACTATTCACACACATCCCTATGTGATTTGTTTTCGTTTTGCTGAAAGAACACTTGCTGTGATCCGTGGACAGAACTTTAAAACGGTGGTTGTGTTAAAAAAACCGTAACTTGAAAAGAATATGAGTGATTTGAATGATTCTTGTACTGAAAGCAAGCTGATGAATTGAGCTTTCATATCCTAGCTTTTGAAAGTGCTAGACCATCCAGTGTTAGACCTTCCACAGTTTGGCAACCCGTGGTTGGCAAAATGTGCCAATTTCGCGTCGGCGATAGAAAGGTCAATACCGTGCTGATGAAAAGGTTTAAAACGAAAAGAACCCTACTTGGTCTCATACAGTACATTACTTTGGGTCGAAAATGACGCCTTTTCGGGTCAAAAGGACTCTTTGTTGTGTCATTTTCTGATGACTTGGGCCCAAAACCTGTCATTTTGCAAACTGAGTGTCTATTGACCCAGAATAGCGGCATTGTTTTACCCTGAAAAGTATTAAGTCAAATAGAACTCATATTCCCGCTCAATCAGACCAAGGGCATTTTATAGTGTAATACAGTGTTTGGACTTGTACGTTTTAATGCTGCATTTGTTTTGCTTTCAGCAGTAGAATCTGCATAGCAAGTTACTAAGCTCAACATAGAGCTTTATGGCGATGAATTTCATTTTTGTGTGTGACGGGTTCAGGAGAGCGTGCTGTGACATTTGATGACTTGGAACCAGACAAAAACGAGTCGGTCACAGCGACAAAATGCCATTGGTAAGACCAACAAAGGCTCCGGTTTCTGGTATGCGCGCGCGTCGCCGTAGCCATGCACGTCGGCAAAATGAAAAAGTTTTGTTTTCAATGTAATGATGTCTCAAAACCGCCAACCTCACTGGTTTGACTGGAATCCTGCTGCTGCACAATTTTAACCTGTGTTTATAGAAGGGGGTAACGATCGAGTATAAGCTTTATGTGGCCTCTCTGGGCTCCCATATATTTTGCGCTAAATTTAATCGGGCACCATTTGCAGTCATCAGCCGACAATCGAAGGAGGAAAAAAAAGGGGAAAAAACCGCGTCGCCGCACAACTTTTGAAGCAAGCTCCATACCAGAAACCGAAGACTTTTTTTGGGCTTGATGCAATGGTTATTCATTGATAATTAACGAGAATTCTGCAGGCTTGACTTTTAATCAAGCGCTCGCTTTAACGACTAGCAGATTGTCTCCTAATGATCATGAGAGTTCGTTGGCCACAAAGTGAAGTTTAATTCGAGAACGTAAATATAATTGCCAGGATTTTCTTGGGGAAAAGGGCAGGTGTTTTTTTCGGGTTTTTTTTTGGGTGTTGGCTTGTGAAGACCTCCGGAATTTAAAAAAAAAAGAGATTACGAATATGATAATGAATGCACCAGAACGAGAAAGTATCATATAATTATTACACAAGGCCTAAAACATTGTAGGCGAATTGAATGGCGAATCCCTGCGAGACATAAGCTGGCAGTGCTTCCAAGGTGATTTCGCTCATAATACGCCGTCGATTTAATGAAAAATCAACATTACCCGCGAGTTACTTTACAGGAGAACATGAAGTAGCAGTTTTATTGCATGAGGTTCAAACGGCCTGGCTTTGCATTTTGAGTTTTTGAGTCAGTCTGGTATAAGGTATGTTCAGTGTTTATAAAACATACGTGATGAAAAATCTATCCATCGCATCTGCCTTTACTATCGAGGGAGTGAGCTCAATTTCAAAGGCACCGTCACTGCAAAAACTATTGTGTTAATTTAACACCATTCGGTATCCATGAAGGACAACACCAGTAAAATTTAACACCAGATGATCCCATTTAGATACCAATGGTGTTCGTTTAGCACCGCAGTTTTTGCAGTATACGTATGTCACTTTCCCAACGATTGTTTGAACGATACTTTATAGTTAGCGCTTTACATATTGGACCGTGTAGTTTGAAGCTAAATTTTACGTGAACATTGTGTACTGCATTTAATGATACCCACAACTAAACGTTAATAAATATGTATGATAAATGGATTATTCAAGCAATTGGGACGATATGTATGAGTTTTGTCATTAAAGGGGCCCCGTGGTAGCAGTGATGCGCTCTTTGCATGGAATCACGAAATTTAAACAGAGGCTTCACGTACGACACAAAGAATCCTTCTTAGAGTGGAGTGTCTTGGCCGCGTTATCTGAAGCATCGTACTCGCGTTCTACGGGTAATTTTGCAGCTTATGATGTGTGTGTCCTTGTGCAAGGCGCTTGGGAACTCAACTCCTCGACCCATCAGGAGTAAATGGGTACCAGTGAGGGCAGAGGTGGTTATCGCGATCCAGTTAAGCTACTTTGCAACGAATTGGCTGCATCGAGAGCTGTATACTCTCTAAGCAGCTGAGATTATGTTTGGAATGCTTCATTGGCCCAGCGAGCACGTGCGCTTTATTAATACAAGTTTTGTTATTATTCAAGTTATTCCGCTGTATGCTATGGCGACAGATTTTGCTAACTGCGTTCACAATAGGGAGACACACCATATTAAGGCGACCGTAGGCCTATAACTGTTGCCCTTTTGTGGTTACGACCCTTAGGACAAGGAATTTTGCTGCCGCAAACCATCTAGATCGATTCCTCGTGGTCTAATTAGTAAAATTACTGAATGTTGTGGGAAAAAGGATAAGGCAAACATGGGTTAGGTGACAGTTTAGGTTTGCGCACAAGTCTTTGGGAAAGTCGCCCTATTGTAACAAAAGGAATAATTATTTTAACTATGTAGGCTGCTAAGCTTTTGAAAATTATATTCTAAATTGTATAAGCCGTAGCTAACCAGTCCACAATAGTTACGTTATATAACACAAACTTTCAGGAGTTCAAAGTATCTTTCTGGTTTGATCCGATGCAATTGTTTTTCTTCTGCATGTACACATATTTTATGTGCCAACTTGTTAATAATGGTCTGCATTTTTACAGTGAATAACCATGCGAAGGCACGTGTTAAGTAAATTCACGCATGAAAGAAATAATGTCCTTGCGATTATTCCGAAACAATGTTGGTAAATGAATGATGTTATGTTGGGCATATAGCATTACGTTCGTCTATCCCATGGATTCTTCAGATGTGAGGAACTGACAGGATTTACATGTACATCAACTTCATTGTATTCAACTATCGGATTAAAATGCTCTTACGGTCGTCCTTCACTCTGGGGCTTTTCAAGTTCGGAATTTACTTGTCAATTTTTGAGAAACAATGTAGCGGTCACTTGTCATATGTACGCGATAATCTAATCACCTGCCGTCTTAGCAGTCGGCTACGTTTTGCTCGCTATACCTTTGTATCGTGTGGGTGCTGAATTCATTTTTCTTTTTTAAACAAGTGCCCTTTTGTTTAGAACAAGTTCCATTTTTAACCTGCTGCCTTTTAAGAGTGCCTTTCTTCGAATTTCTAAAAAAAGCGCACTGAAAAGCGCACTTAGTAGTATGATAAAGTGTGAATGATCGTCCGGTTTGAACAGTGCCCCCATTGAAAGATAGTCCCCCATTTAAATTTACGGAGGCCATGTGTCCGTAGAAGAGACCCTGTCTACCTTTTAGCGCAAATGTGAGAGTGCCCTTTTCACGACCTTCTTACCCCCACTAAGAATGACCTTGCTACGCCTCTGAAGCCATAACAGAATTTGGCACTTCCTAGTTTTGTTATAATTTTTGTTTTTAATTGGCAATGCAATGTCAAAGATATTGCACAACGTTTGCAAACATAAAAAAAACCCGAACTACCAATTATCATGAAGTATAGCTTACTTGACTGTAAGTGAATGATAGTCTCAACATCGTAAGAAATCATGGCACCTGGTATGCTGTCATTGTCAAGAAAAGTGGGGTTTGTTTATCATTTTTCAATTATGGCTGCACCACCATTTTTCCTTGTCATGCCCATCATAGTTACTTTTCTGCAATATGAACAATTAACAATCGCGTACCTGCCAGAGAGTTAGTAACTGGTGGGTACCGGCTCAAGTAACAGCTAGCACAGCAAAATGGCTACAGATATGGATTACTGAAATAAATTATCAATGACACTGATATAAATACGAGCGCGTGTGAACATTTGTTAATTTTTCGAAGAACATTATCTACAGCTTGTATTACATAAAAATAATCAAACTTAAGAGTTGAGCTTATTTAGCATAAAGCAATGAGGATTTTAATAAGCCACAAAAATACAATACTGGAGACACCTATTCTCAGCAACTTTCATACTGAAAATATTCAAATACCGTCACTAAAACATACAACATTACTTTATAAAATTGGTTTTGAAATTGAGCTCACCGAAAGGTACTTCTGTACGAACAGGGGCCGTCAGAAGCCAGATACAGCTGGGCGAGGTTTCGTTATGGTAGCAAAGTAGTGGCAATGGATGTAAATGAAGATAAGTAATGTGGCTGAACTCAGGAACTGCAAAGAACGAAGAAAGAACAGCGCTCTACGTCGATCCTTCTCTCAGGACGACATGTGCATGGATTGACCGTCTGGAATTCCGCTCTGCACAACTAACACTCAACTAAGCACATACATTTCACTTGTTCAAAATTCCTATTCCCAAATAAGGAGAACGTCAGGAAGGGCAATAAGTATTTAAACGTTCATTAGAGGACTTTACAAGTTAGCCTACTTGGAACTATTTAAACCTTTGTAAGTAAATCAATTATTGATTTTATGAAGCCAGGAATGAGGTCCAGGTTTCAAAAATTCCTGAAATGGTCTTTAAACGCGTAGGAGCGAAAGAGAGACTCCAATAGCGCTTTGTGACAACAATTATGGAAGCAGGTGTCTGTAAACAGTTTGCATGCTATTTTAGTATCAACCTATGGTGTGGGAAAGTCATTTAGACTAACATACATCGTTATTATATGATCTGACCAATTCTGGCACCAGTGACTAAAACACAATAACGGAAAGCACATTTCCTGCATATCTTTTGTTTCCACGAATGCGTATATACTGAGGAAGAATAACAGTATAAATCAGAAACGTGCAGTAATAATACCCGTAGTGGCTGAACACGTTCACAACAGCAGCACATACTTCATTGTTTGTTCAAATTTTGATAACATACAGGCAGGTGAAGCTTGATTAGAGAAAAAGTTTGCTTTGGACACTTGACTTTTTCAGCGTGCGGGACATGGGAACGATAACCGACAGTTAAGTTGTATAGAAGGAGCTTTATAAAAAGCAGAATCTTTAGTATTTCAGCGGTACAAATTTTGTAAGAAGATTCCTCGCTACACAGAATGCATAACGGGTCAACAACTACAGAGGGCACGTGGTTTGATAATTGCACAGTCGAATCTGATGCAGGAATGGGAATCTTTCAGTCATTCACCCAGAGACAGATTCTTGCAGCCATTTTAATCACCGTCGCCATCTTGGGCACCGTTGGTAACAGTTTCGTCATCGTTGCTGTCGCTTGGACCAAGAAGCTTCGGACGGTAACTAATGTCTTTGTGGTCAATTTGGCCGTTGCCGATGTCTTGACCTGTGTTTTCATGCCGTGGCAGGTTGTGGCGATCCTGGGAGGGAATGCGTGGCCCATCCCGGAGGCACCGTGGCTCTGTGCCATGGGAGGCTTCGTCATCGTCGTCACTTTCGGATGCAGCATCAACAGCCTGGCTCTGATCGCCGTCAACCGTTGGGTGGGCATCACCAAGTCTCGCTTAACCATCCGTCGCATCTACACCGCCCGTAAGCTCGCCCTGATGGTCATCTTCTCCTGGGCTATACCGCTCGGCTGCGCCCTAACGCCTGTCCTGACAGACTTAGGCGAACTGGGCTACGAGAAGCTTTACTCCACCTGTACTTGGGTCATAGAAAAATCTGTCTACTACAGCATGTTCATCAGCGCGATGTACTACCCCATCCAGCTGATTCTGATAACCGTGTGCTACACCTCGATATTCTGTTACGTCCGCAAGACATCACGCAGGATGACTCGAGCAGACGCCCCGACAAACTCGGATGAAGTCTGCGGTCAAGGAGCTAACCGCGCCATGAGGAGAATGCTGTGGAAGAGACAAGTAGACGTCACCAAGAACCTGCTCTACATCGTCTTAGTTTTCGTGTTCTGCCTCACGCCTTACTTCGTGACCATCATCTTTACCAGCGACTGGAGCCGTCAACTGGTGCCCTGGGCAGGAGCAATCTTGTTCTGCAACAGCTGCGTCAACCCCTTCATCTACGCAACCTCGCACCCTGTTTTCAAAGAGGCTTTCGGGTACATGGTTAGATGCAAAAAGATTCCCATTAGCGGAGCGAGTTATCAGATCAGATGTGCCGCGACAGCGAGCACTGATGTGCCTGATATACATACATCACACACCGAGAAGTACACAACACCATTCTAAGGCTGGCTGGTAGGCTAAAACCAATGCATTGTGAAGAACAACTCCAAAAACCTACGGATTGTGCTTGTACAAATTTGCATTTTGTTAACGAAGCCCAATGATCCGCGTATAGTGCCTTATAACAGAGGTAATGTGCAACATTTGCTGTTGCTGCAGTTTTCAGAAATAAATGAATTTGGAGGATAAGTATATTATAGCAAATATTTTTAAACTGACTTGTTTCATGTTTTGGGCTTGTAAGTGCAGGAAAAACATAGAAAACCAATCATGTTCTTGTAGTCTGGTTACCTGACCCAACTTAAGATGAAACAGAGCAATTTGTAGACTTTGGGGAATTGTAAGGTCAAAGAATCAGTCTAGCAGGCTTGTACCCATTCACAGGTGTGTAATCAATTGCAAAGAAAATGCGGAATAGCTAAATATGAAAAGCTAGGAGCAGTTTTTGGAAAAAGTTAGTTTTTTCCAACGCTGGTCGGCCGACCAGCGTTGGAAAAATACAGTTTTTCTTGAAAATGTCAGCACATCAGGAGCCACGATTTTACAGGATGCTTTAGACTGTCATTCCCTAACAATTCAGTAAGGTATTGCGTGATAATTTGATCATTTCGTTTTTTGATGTTTGCAAATGTTGTATCTTCCCTTTAACATGATTTCCCGTGCTGTTTCGAGTTTCACCTCAAAAAAAAAATCAGTTGCAGTTTTCCTAGCGATATAAAAGTTATTCACTTTCGAACAAAAGTATTCCACCGACGTTTAGTTATTGAATTATTTCTGTACACAATTTGGATTATCTGCAGCCCAACAATGACGCGGCTCAAGCAGGTTTTTTTTCGTAAAAAAAACAAACAAAGTGAAAATTCGTGAGGAGAAATAAAATATATTATTTGATGATCAAGCTTATGCATTTTTAATGAGTAATTCATTGTTTGAAAGTACACATGTAGTTTTCTACGCTACAGCACAAACCTCAACATATCATTGCAAAATAGGAATCGGATTCGTTAGTTACTCCTATGATCAACATCATGACAATTTGAACATGTTGATTTGATTTACTCTTTCAGCCAATTAGAGTGCAATATAGAGGGGAAGCGTGGTCCATACCGGGGTCGCCGTGGTTGACTTGGTGTGACTCCTTCTGGGAAAGCTGGTAAAATGTCTGCCGTGCAACCCTTTTTTCTCTGAACAATGCATAAAATTGATTACAACAGTATTTTTTCCAGCAAAAAATAACACGCAAAGTTTTTTCCATGATTAGCTAATTAAGAATGAAAATTCGATAAATATTTAAACATTTACATATGGCTCAGGAGAGTCATGGATGGATCTACGTTCTATCTCAGGAACATATAATGCTGCGATATGATGCCAGAATTTCCCTTGGGTACGTAAATGATAGGCTTCTTATTGATTATGAAGCCAGGCATGAAGTCGAGGTCGCAGAAAAAAACCCTGAGGTTTTAAAAACGCCGGAGGCGATTGTACACAACTGAAGCGAAAGAAAAACTCCAATCGCGCTTTGTGACAATACCAAATTATGTATGCAGTTATATATATAGATATATATGCATGCCATTGTAGTACTGGCCTTCTGTGTGGGAAAGTCATGTAGACTCACATATAGTTATCATACTGCAGTTATACAAGGAACTAAATCATAAAAGGAACTAATTTAAGGTACCATTTCCTGCACTATGCATCCTTGGTTTCCGTTGAGCTAGAGAAGAATAATAACAGCATAAATATAAGATATATGCAGTTATAAAGCCGTAGTAGTGGAATACGTGCACAACTGCACAGACTGTATTGTTTGTGATATGAACAGACAGGAGGCGAGCCTTGATTAGAAAAAAAAGTTTGCTTCTGACACTTGACTTACTCAGCGTACGGGACATGGGCTACGGAAAGATAACTGATAGTTTGAAATCGAGTGAGTTTGTAAAGGAAGAGCTTTAAAGCTGAATCTTTAGTATTTCAGCGGTACAATATTTGTTAGAAGATTCCTCGCTATACAGAATGCATAATGAGTCAACAACTACTGAGGGGACATGCTTTGGTAATTGCACTGTCGAATCTGATGCAGGAAGGGTTGTGTATCAGTCATTCATCGAGAGGCAGATTCTTGCTGCCATTTTTATCACCATCGCCATCTTGGGCACCGTTGGTAACAGTTTCGTCATCCTTGCTGTCGCTTGGACCAAGAAGCTTCGGACAATAACTAATGTCTTTGTGGTCAATTTGGCTGTTGCTGATGTCTTGACCTGCGTTTTTATGCCGTGGCAGGTTGTGGCGATCCTGGGAGGGAATGCGTGGCCCATCCCGGGGGCGCCGTGGGTGTGTGCCATGGCGGGCTTCGTCGTCGTTGTCACCTTCGGATGCAGCATCAACAGCCTGGCTCTGATCGCCGTCAACCGTTGGGTGGGCATCACCAAGTCTCGCGTCACCACCCGTCGCATCTACACCGCCCGTAAGCTCGCTCTGATGGTCATCTTCTCCTGGGCCATACCACTCGGCTGCGCCCTAACGCCGGTCCTGACAGACTTTGGCGAACTGGGCTACGAGAAGCTGTACGCCACTTGCACCTGGGATATCTCGAACACATATTCTGCCTATTACAACATTCTACTCACAGTAGTCTGCTATCCAATTCAAACTACCGTGATCATTTTCAGTTACATGTCAATATTCTGTTACGTCCGTAGAACAACTCACAGAATGGTCGAAGTAGTCGTTTCATCAGACTCGCATGAAATAGGCGATGAAAGGATGCGACGGAACTTATGGAAGAGGCAACTAGGCGTTACAAAGAACTTACTGTACATCATATTAGCGTTCATGGTATGTCTCACGCCATACTTTGTGGCCATCGTGGTGTATACCGACTGGAGCTACCGCTTGACGCCCTGGGCGGGCGCCATCTTGTTCTGCAACAGTTTCGTGAACCCCATCATTTACGCAACCTCGCACCCAGACTTCAAAAGGGTTTTCAGTCACGTGATAAGGTATCGGAGGATTCCCAGAAGCGGTTCATTTAAGCGGCCAATATCCCCAACAAACACGGGCTCTGATGCATGATCCCGGATCCCGGATGATTCTGAAGAACATAACTTTCGTATTTACAAGCCAACAGGGAGTCCCCTAGCTTTTTTGTTTTATTATCGAACACAGACTTTGTTGTTTGTATTATACAGTATTTATACAAATTGAACTTGAAACCTTAATAGGTTTCGATAAGTGTTGACTGTGTACAATATCAAAAACTGTGGTAAACTTTGATTTGAAAGAGTCAAACTTGAAAAAAAACCACCATAATTCAAGCTGAGAATAGCTGTACTCAGAAGTGTAGCAGGATACAGTGGGATACCAATCGCAATTTTACTAGTCACAATAAAGACACTTTGGCGTTTATTTGCTCCACTGTGACGCGTGATGCAAACGTCTTGAGGAAACAATAAAGATATGTATGGCACCAAATCCCCATGGCTCTTGTACTGGCATCAAACGTTGTATACTGGTGAAACTGGCATCATCCTAGTGTTATACCTGGATGCGTCTGTATGGGCTAGCATTCTGATTCCAATTGGCATGCCTTCAAATCTACTACACAAATTCCCTTTGCCTCAGAAATTTACAAGCTGGTAAAAGTGTTATGTTTAACCCGTCCTAAGTTCACTGCCGTCTCTAAAAATGTACTTCAAAGTTTACAATATAGAAAGATGTTTCAGCAAAACCATCACTTACAGTATACATAGCGCGTCAACCCAAACATTAAACTTTAATCCCTTGGGCAAAAATGGAGTCATGCACTCAGTTGATAATTACGGTACATCATTACTCTCTGAGACACCCACTGATATAAAGGAAATTGAAGTATATTTGTAAAGTATCCTGCCCAAGAACACAAAGTACAACCCACTGCTGAACATGGACCCACGATTCAGTGCCAGAATTAACCACAAAAACCTCGAATCCTACGCATCATACCACTGAACCACAGCATTCAAACAAAATTGATAGAATCGAAACATCGATACGTCACGGACATGGAGGTTATCCGGAAACGTTTGTTTCCTCTTGCAACTGAAGCACATCCTCATATAAACACAATGGGAAACAGTCATCATAATGCAATGGTACATTATATATACGTGTTAGCCTTCACGTTGGTGTAATATTATTAATATTATCTGATTTCCATAGACTGTGCGAGGTTGCACCACATACGAAAGCACCATCAAAACTAACATGTCAACGAACTTAATGACAGGAAGGCATAGTAATGGAGTGAACCGTGGAAACGGAACACGCTTTGAACGTGCTGACTGATGAGTCAAGTGTTTGTGGTCAAATGCTTCAGGTATAAATTGAGAGTATTTGTTTTGATGTAAAAATTCGTAACTGGTAGGTTAATCCTGAAGTAACAGTAGCCAAGAGAATGACGTGTGGCGAGTGACTCTTCTCAATTTGAATGAAGGACTCTGTGCAGAAGGATGTTCCCAATAAGCTCTCTACTCTCTGGAAGATATCTTCTTCGACATACCGATGGATTATTCATTCGTAAAGTCACGGACGGACACTGTAAAGATGTCGCGACATTGATGTCCTCTTGACTTTTTCCTCTGGGTCCAGTTTTTGTAATGAAAAAAATGAATATCGCCTCATCTCCAGATGTGGAAGATGCTGCGGGGATTGTTGTTTACGGATATTTTTATGAGCGCCAACTTTTGGCGGCAATTCTTATCACAGTTGCAGTTCTTGGTACGATAGGCAACTGCTTCGTCATCATCGCCGTCGGTTTATCCAAGAAACTCAGGACGACCACCAACGTCTTTGTGGTCAATTTAGCCGTTGCTGATGTCGCGACGTGTCTCTTCACACCGTGGCAGGCCGTGGCGATCCTGGGAGGGGATGGCTGGCCGATACCGAGAGCGACATGGGTTTGCACCGCCGCCGCCTTCGTAGTTGTCGTCACAATCGGGTGCAGCGTAAACAATCTCGCTCTAATCGCAGTCAACCGTTGGGTGGGCATCACCAAGTCTCGCTCCACTACCCATCGCATCTACACCGCCCGTAAGCTCGCTCTGATGGTCATCTTCTCCTGGACCATACCGCTCGCCTGCGCTTTGACACCAGTCTTGACAGACATCGGTGAACTTGGCTACGAAGTGCTGTACAAATCCTGCACCTGGGTAAGATCGAATCCCCACACAGAAACTTACAATCTGATTATTGCGGCAGTGTACTACCCAATACAACTCTGTTTGATAACCGCAAGTTACCTGTCCATTTTCTACTACGTCCGTAAGACCTCACGTGCGACGATTGAAGCAGTACGAGGAGACAAGGCAACTAAGAAGAAGGTATCAAAGAGACAACTCGAAGTCACCAAGAACTTGATTTACGTCGTCTTGGCGTTCGTTTTCTGCTTCACGCCCTATTTCATTTCTCTCGTAGCCTCTGCCGATTGGAGTTACCGACTCGTTCCCTGGGGTGCCACCATTGTGTTGTGTAACAGCAGCGCCAACCCCATAATTTACGCAACCTCGCACCCGGATTTCAAAGAGATTTTCGGATACCTCATTAGGTGTCGGAAAATCCCCCACAGCGGCCAAGGTAACAGGTCCAGGACAAATACACTCACGTTCACTGGTTCCTCTGTGAACCAAGAATACTCAGTCACCAACCATCATCGTGTGTGATTGTGATATGTATGGGCCATCGGCTCTGCACGCTCTATGGGTTTTCAACCCAAGGCAGGAGTTCTGGCTGCACTGGAGGTTCACATTATAGGGAAAATACAACATTTGCAAACATCGAAAAATAAAACTACCAAGTTTTTACGAAATACCTTACTAGGATGTTGGTAAATGACAGTCTTAAACATCCTGTAAAATTATAACACCTGGTGTCAAGTCATTTTCAAGAAAACGGTATTTTTGTATACATTTCCAACGGTGGTCGGCCGACCACCGTTGGAAAAACCTAACTATTTTTCAACTACTGCTCCAAATTATACATTTTTTTTCAGTCCAAATTTTGTTTGATGTTGGTTACATGTTCATGAACGGATGCAGGCCAGCTAGACTGGTTCCCTTACCTTACAATTTTCCGACAACTATAAATTGATCCATTTTATCTTTAGTGGAGTCAAGGAACCAGACTACTTAAACATTTTTGTTTTTCTTGGTTTTTCAAGCATTTTCGAACACAAAACTTCAAACATGTCGGTTAAACAATATTTGATCTATTATACTAACCCCTCAAATAGTTCATTTCTGAAAATTACAGCAAAAGCAAATGATGTACATTCCCTTTAATACTGTTGGACAACTCATAGCGTAAAAAACAATTTCCTGTTAGATCTGTGCCTAAGGCTAAGTTTGATCTCGAAAAAGGTCAATTTAAGTATGACCTTAAAAAGGTCAATATAAGTATGACTTTATATACAAACATGATTTAAGTGTATAACCTTATATTCAAACAGGATACATCTTGTATTGTATTGTATCTTATCATACAAAATCAAAACAATTCGCCACACATCTTTGTTTTTAGAGCAACAATCCAGACGGGTATCCGTCACGACTTAGACACTTAATTAAAATAATAATTCAATATGTGTTTTGCCCTTCACAGAAGTATAAACTGTTTTTTTATAAACACTGTAATATAGCCTACTCAGTATAATAACTTTTAATTAAAACTCATGAGCCGAATTGTTGCTACATGATGCTCAATACAATTAAGATATTTTTAGAGTATTAAAAGAGTATTAAACCTGTTAGACAGACTGCATGAAATGACTGACGCGTAGAATAACCTGGAACTCAACAGAACAAAGACCTCTTTGGTGTAAATAATGCATGTAACAAAAGACAAAAAAATAAAGTACATTTTGTGTTGAGACAAAAGGGTAAAACCTTGGGTACAAAAGGCTGCTCGTAAAGTTATTTCAAATGATCACCTTTTGTTTTCATTGTCGTTTGTCTATTGTCGAGCAGGTGTATTAGTCGTCAATGGACCGATCCAGTTAGCACCGCCCCATGGTATTCTGACCAATCACAGTCGTGATTTATGTCCGACGTGCGTGCACAAAAGTCCGACATGCGTGCACGCGTGTATGGTGCGCGCGGCAGGAAAATGCAGTGTGGCATTGGTTGCCCAGTGCGCAGTGGGTGAGGCTTACTGGATCGGTCCATTCATCACCGACACCACAAACTGACAATCAGTTGCGCGTGAGTTCCTGGCACGCGCTCGTATTTTGCAGAACCGCGTTATTTTCGTTTTCACCAACTGACACCCGGCACAGCGCGGCACGGCATGCGCCCACCCCCCAAACATTTTCGTTTTCAAGAACTGACACTGATCTTAATTTCACCAGTTAAAAAGTTTTTAAAACAATTTTGTGTTAGCACACGAGTAGGCCTATACGGATGGATTAAATTCGTGTCAAACCTTTCAAAATGTTTTTTATTTTCTCCTAATTGTATTGGTGCAACATGCTTGCGTGTCCGTTCGTGACAACAAAAATAGTTGATTACGTGGTTTTCACGAACTGACAACCACTAACGCGTGAGTGTCAGTTCGTGGTGTCGGTGACGAATTTTATATCTTCGAATTCGGGCTGAGACAAAACTCGTTTACTCGTTGGCGAATCATTGCACGCCAGTGGGAAATCGATTAATAAATAAAGAGACAATTAACAGTTTCTTCTGGTGTAACAGTCTCCGGTTAAGGAGTATAATTACCAGTGCGACCGGTGCGAGCTTGTACCGGTGGTGTGTGAAATATGGGCCCTATGAACTACGGACTCATTGGTTGTACTGCGCATGCTCAACTGAAGATAATAAGGACGGTGACTGATCACGTATGAGGGTTGCAGTCACGTGTAAAGGCAAAAGAGACCAGATTTCATGGGTAAAAATTTCATATTACACCGGTGCCACCATTCCAATTTGTATGGGTCACCGGGATGAGACTTATTTTGGCATAGGCTTACGACAAGTCAGGTGGGGAGGGGTGGAAGAAGATTGACATCATGTGATACTTTAGCGAGCGCTGTTAAACGAGCATTATACCCTGAAATCTCCCCAAAAGTCATGTTTTGATTAAATATCAAAGTAAGGTAGCACTTTAAATGACTAACTAGAGTTAAAGTGTGTATAAGCTTTCAACCTCTTCATCAGATGCAATGAAAGGATTGTTTAGCTTTCTTATCTTATTTAAAAGGCCTGGTTTAAAGGAAACTAACCTAATGTCTTACCATTCCCGAGAACAGACGAAACCTGACCCCGTAGTTAACACCGAACGCGTCGGACGTTTTTTGACATACATATACGTTTCTTTCAACATATATCTACATCATACACGTTCTGTGTGTAAATATCGAATACACACAGCACCACTAAACAAAACGTTATTTCTCAAACGTCCGCATAATGCGATACCGTGCGGCTTGATTCACAACTAGTACTCAACAGCCCAATTTTTTTTTTTGGGGGGGGGGGACAAAATTGTGACCCCAGAAACTCGTTCTAGCATGGTTCTCGCAAGAATAACACAAAACGCCCAGTGTTTAAAGGAATGGTTGTGTGGAAGTTAATATCCTACTTTTAAATGCTCTTTCAAATTATTATAATGTCGCTTAAAACACGTTTTGTAGCCCAACTGGGCTCGTTCCGGGACGTAATGCCCTTTAAAGTTAGACAGGACGTTACATGTAAAATATATGGTGGCGCTGTTCAAGGTATAGTCTCTGTTTTGCTTAATGCGTATTCTGCTACAATGCCACCCGCTAATAAACACTTTTGAACCGTTGTTTAAGAGAAGTAATTGCACTGTTGGAATATATGCAACGTTACAGGTACCAATATCTGACTGGTTGATGAAACCCGTGGCAGAGCTAGCTACCAGCAAACGGACTTATAACGGCAACACGCGTACACGTCTTGTTCTCAAACCGCACAATTGAAATCTATGTACGGTAGCATGTTGCAAAGGCAAGATCTTCTGAGTACAGCAGATTCTTCTTGAAATGACGGTGCCTGATGAAGAAACACTTACAAGTTTTGTTGCGTTTCGATATATAAACATGAATAAGTCTTCGTCATTTTCAGAGGCAGAAGAAACAGGTTATGACATCCGGATTGTGGCGGCAATTATCATTACTGTGGCAATTTTGGGCACAATTGGTAACAGTTTCGTTATCATCGTTGTTGCTTTATCCAAGAAACTACGGACCACCACCAACGTCTTTGTGGTCAATTTAGCCGTAGCTGACGTACTGACCTGCCTCTTCCTACCCTGGCAGGCTGTGGCGATCGTGGGAGGCGATGACTGGCCGATACCGAGGGCGCGATTTGCTTGCACTGCTGCTTCCTTTGTCATTTTGGTCACAATCGGATGCAGCATGAACAACCTGGCTCTGATCGCAATCAACCGTTGGGTGGGCATCACCAAGTCCCGCTCCACCACCCGTCGCATCTACACCGCCCGTAAGCTCGCTCTGATGGTCATCGTTTCCTGGGCTATACCGCTCGGCTGCGCCCTGACGCCGGTCTTAACAGACTTTGGTGAACTTGGCTACGAAAAGCTGTACAACTTATGCATATGGGTAAGATCAAATCCGTACACTAATACTTATCGTATGCTAATTGCAGAAATCTACTACCCAATACAAGTGATTACTATCATAATCAGTTACATTTCAATTTTCTGCTACGTCCGTAAGACGTCACAAGAGACCATAGAAGCAACACGAGGAAACACATCAACGAGGTTGAGAATCTCTAAGAGGCAAGTGGACGTCACCAAGAACTGTGCGTACGTCGTCTTGGCGTTCATTTTTTGCTACACGCCATGTTTTGTTGCCATAACAATCTCGGATCTCGAGTGGATCTACAAAGTCGCGCCTTGGGCTGTCGCCACGATGTTCTGCAACAGCAGCGTCAACCCCGTCATTTACGCAACCTCGCACCCAGACTTCAAAGAGGTCATCGGGCACCTGATGTGTCGGCAAAGATGTCGGACAATACCCCAAAGTGATCCAAGTCCGAGAGCCAGGGCAGCAGTATACGCCATCAGCTCCCCTGCCAACCAGGAATGCCCAGAGAACGAAGACCACAGAATGTGATTTATTGATAGATGGACTTGTCTTTTTTTTGGATGGGGTGGGGACGTAAATGTTAGAGGGTTCAATTTTTCGGTAGCACTGGTAAAGGTGGATTCAAAGGATTTGTGGTGTTGCGGATACGTGATAATTCTGTCATATTTGTGGAATTGGAAAGGAATTTGAGATTTTGATTTTAGTTTAAAAAGTTTTGTACTCGCATATTTTGGTGATGTTGGAGACGGTTGGTGAATCTTGGGTAGATTCAATTCAGATACATCTTTACTGGTATTTGGCCCATGTGGATTAACTCCGTATTTTTTCATTAGCTATTTTGGATGTGATAGTCAAACACAGCTGTGACACTTAGTATTTGTATATTATATTTCAAATTTACAATTGGTGGAATTTAGAAGTATGATTTCAAGCTTGAGGTATTGTGTAAAGAAATACATTTTAATTTGTGTGGTACAATCATTTCATTAACATTTATTTAATTTATTTATTTATTTATTTTTAAATTCTTGTTTCCCCCACTTAATTATTAATATTATTTTGTGAACATATTGTATAATATATTTGTTTTGTAGCCACTGGTATTGGAAGTGAAGGCCATATGGTCACAGTTATTAAGTTATATTTTTCAATTCCTGGAATTTGCCGCTGGCTGATGTGTGTTTTAATTGTATTGTACCATGCTGCATATATATATTTTTCTATTAATGCAGCATAAATAATATTAATAATAATTCACTCTAACCACACAGCCATGTTAAGCGCGCAATTGGTTACTGAGTCATCAGTCTATTTATGTCTATATTTACTGGCACACACCCTGAAAAAATTCATTCCCCTCGTTTATGTCACTTGACAGCTAAACAATTTGGACATTGTTCAAGTGCGTGTGTTCAATTTACAAAGCTAAACGCAATTCTGCTGGTATACCAAACAAGATAATAGGTGACAAGTGTTTTCGCAGAAGCAAATTGTATGGGAAAATACCTGCGGTGTGGGAGTTATTTTATTGCAATTATAACACCAAGATCTGGAAAATAGGTAAATAAACAGCTTTAAACCCGAGCCAGAGCTACCAGCTTAGGCCAAAAAGAAGTCTCCGGTTTCTGGTATGGAGCTTGCCCCAAAAGCGGTGCGGTGACGCAGCTTTTTTTTTTTTTTTACCTGATTTTTTTGCTTCAAATGTCGGCTGATGACTGCAAATGGTGCCCGACTAAACTTAGTGCAAATATATGGGAGTCCAGAGAGGCCACGTAAAGCTTATTCTCGATCGTAACCCCATCTAAAAACACGTTAAAATTGTGCAGCAGCAGGATTTTAGTCAAACCAGTGAGTTTGGCGGTTTTGAGACATCATCTTTCATTGAAAAAAAACTTTTTCATTTTGCCGACGCGCATGGTTACGGCGACGCGCGCGCATACCAGAAACCGGAGACTTTTTTTTTTGGCCTAACGGAATCATTACGACAACGCGTCTTGTTCTCAAACCACACAATTGAAATCTATGTACGGTGGCATGTTGCAGAAGCAAAATTTTCTGAGAACAGCAGATTCTTCGTGAAATTAAGTTGCCTGGTGAGGAAACAATAACAACTTTTTTTTGCATTGCGATTTATAAACATGAATAATTCTTCGTCATTTTCGAAGGTCGATGACAATGGTTATGGCAGCCAGATTGTGGTAGCAATTCTCATCACTGTCGCTGAAAAATACGTGAGGGAGTTCAGATAAACCGGTTTAAGCCAAGCAGAATGTTTATTAAATCATGTAAACCGGTGGGATGAAAGTGGACCAATTGCACCACTGCCAGCTATTCCGGCCAGTTCGGTTTATCTCGTGAGATTTCCCGTGGTTCTAGAATAAAATAATGAAAGAAATAAATGGTAATTCTTAGTGGACCCATACAAATGTGTGTCTTGTGTCCTAATTACATATAATAAAGAATAAGAGGGATCATGTGATCTACATGTACATTGTCATGGGCCTACGTGTCCATGTATCAATAATCACATAAACAATAAGCTGAAACAAACGTATTGGGTGTCTAGCTTCAACACTTTAATCACTAGTACAATGAACATGGCTTTAATATAAACAATAGCACTTTAACCGTATACTGAGTGGGTAAAACGGGCCCTTACACTATATACATGTACATGTATTTATAATTGTACACAAAATGAACTCAAAACGGGTAATCAAAACAGCTACGAAATCACTGCAGAAAAGTCCTCATCAAAAATCAGAAATAATATACTTACTACTTAAAATCATGATAGCTTGGGATGGAATTTTAGTCATCGTGGTTTGTTTTAATTGGAAAACGGGTCAATTTTAGATTGGAAAATGCTGGAACGGAACTTTCGGTTAAAATGTGACTGGAAACTGAGGATCTGATTGAGGGCACCCTACATGCTGACTGGTAGTAAGGCCTTGATTAATATAAATCACAAGAGGGCGCTAGTCAGCACAACCAATAGTTACTGCCTTCTGTCAGTGGCCATTTTTTTGCACAATTGGTAACAGCTTCGTTACATTCGCCGTTGGTTCGTTTACGTTTGTAAGATGTCACAAAAGACGATGGCCGCTACACAAGGAAACACATCAACGGTTACATGAAAGAGACAACCTGACGTCACCAAGAAATTGATGTACGTCGTATTGGCGTTCATTCTTGGCTTCACGCAACTTTCCAATTGCCAACTTTCAATTGAAATAAGCCAAAACGACCATTATTATTAAAAATTCTATTGGTCATTCACATATTTGTCAACCAGTTATTAAGATAAAATTACCCGTATATGTTTTATAATAATTGTATTACATTTAAGTTGACAGTTCACGGTATTAATGCTATATAGGGCGCACATCAACAAAGTGCGTATGAATCATGTTCATTTGGACCCGGTTTGAAGTCATACCATTATGACCATCATTACCATAATTGCTTTTGAGTCGTGATGTGAGAAAACTGCGCTATACGGTACAGTACACAGAACTGCACGCTGCTGGTTAGTGATACCGGAGACAGAGAATGGTGCCATAACAACAACTCTTGAACTTGCAACCCAATGTCTATTCAGAAGGATTCTTTTTGACATTATGATAACTGTCGCTTGGTAAAGACATCGTCAACTTTTACGTGTGAGTTAATTTGGTTCCTCACACTAAAATGAATAATACAACGTCAAGTCCAGTGGTAGAAAGTGAACCAGAAATTCTTGTCTTCGAACATTTCTACGAGAGACAGATTTTTGCGGCAATTGTCATCACTGTGTTCATTCTTGGCACAATTGGTAACAGCTTCGTCATCGTCGCTGTTGGTTTATCCAAGAAACTCCGAACGACCACCAACGTCTTTGTTGTCAATTTGGCCGTCGCTGACCTACTGACCTGCTTCGTCCTGCCCTGGCAGGCTGTGGCGGTCCTGGGAGGAGATGACTGGCCGATACCGCGGGCACCATGGGTTTGCACTGCTACTGCCTTCGTCATCTTGGTCACAATCGGATGCAGCATGAACAACCTAGCTCTGATCGCAGTCAACCGTTGGGTGGGCATCACCAAGTCTCGCTTCACCACCCGTCGCATCTACACCGCCCGTAAGCTCGCTCTGATGGTCATCTTCTCCTGGGCTATACCGCTCGTTTGCGGCCTGACGCCTGTTATGACAGACTTTGGTGAACTGGGCTTCGAAAAGCTGTACAAATCCTGCACATGGCTTTTATCAAATCCGTACACTAGAACCCACAGTCTGGTAACTGCAGGAATCTACTACCCAACACAACTGATTGTTATCACTGTCAGTTACATTTCCATTTTTAACTACGTTCGTAAGACGTCACAAGAGACGATGATATCGACACAAGGAAACGAAGCGACGAGAATACGAATCTTTAAGAGACAACTTGACGTCACCAAGAACTTGGTGCTTGTCGTCTTGGCGTTTATTATTTGCTTCACGCCCCGCTTCGTTTCATTTATAATCTCCCCAAAATGGATCTACAAATTCGAGATCTGGAGTGCTACCATTTTGTTCAGCAACAGCAGCGTCAACCCCATCATATACGCAACCTCTCACCCAGACTTCAAACAACTTATCGGTCACCTGATAAGGTATCGGCAAACCCCCCAAGATGATCCAAGTCAGAGGATAAGAGCAGCAGAATACACCATCAGCGCCTCTACCAACCAGGAATGCCAAGAGCACGAAGACCACAGAATGTGATTCACGCATAGACCGTCTTTTGTACCAGCACAAGCTGGATAGACCGATGTCAGACGGCTCAAGCTTGTGAATGTTTCCTCAACAAGAAGCCAGTTTGCATGATCAGCTTATGAAGGCATTACAATGTGCAAGGAATCCAATTGACATTGTGCTTAAAATGTATTATCAGTCCTGTAAACGGTCCATGTTATCTTATTTCTGTAGGGGGAAGCGTAAATGATATAGGATTTAAAGTTTGGTGGCGTTCATCAAGCTAGATTCAAGGGATTGGTAATTTGTTCTATGCTTTCATGTTTACAAAAAAAGCGTTACTGTCCGATGCCTTAAAGGTAACCATAGCAACAGTATACTGCACCTATTATAAAAGATCATTCTGTAAATAACCTATCATGCGCACAAGAATTCGTGATTCCTGGCACGCCTATGGTTTTTTCTGTATCGTTAGGACTGAAATTTATATTTTATATATGGAGTAGCTGGGCAGTCGTTTTCATCTTTGAGCATTTAAGTGATTAGACATTATTCAGCGTTATTATAAAGGGGCAAGTTCAATAAATTCGCGCACGCTCTGTCCCATAAGTAACCACACTTTAAACCCTCTAAGATATTCATGGATATCAGTAGTTTGTTTATTCTACTGTTGGGCATCTACAAGGAGAATACCAATTTTTTTAAGTTATTAGTCTTGGCGATGATTACTTCATTAAAAATACATGGCGTTACGTATGGGACAAAAAAGGGGACTCGTTTCTTGGACTTACCCAATATGTCAATCTCTGGAGGCTGCTATCTTAACACTTTAGGTAACTAAATGGGAATTGGTGGCATTATTGGTAATGATCAGCATGTTTCATTGTGTATTACAAGCCCTGATGTTGTTTACAAGACAGTGAGCATGGACTGTGTGTAATGTTTCCATACACAATACAGTTTTCAAGGGCAAAACCTAACTGTCTTAGGTTTTTCATTAATGCTGAATCGTAAATACCTAAGACAGCTTTTACGCATTCCTATTGGTCGAGAGCCTATCACATGGCCGGGCTTAAATGGTTGATAAAACACCGGCTGGCTGGTTTTAAACACTTTTCCAGTGACTCATAACATTTAGACTCCCATGAAATCTGGTCCCTTGTACCCTTTTATTGGTTGAACGTTCACAATCCTCACTTAGGGATGTGCAGTTCTACCTACGAGTCTCAGTGGTGTTTCAAAAACATAAAGTAATTTGCTTTTAACAAAATCGGTGGAAATTTATATTATTTTTTGACTTGTATTGACTTTTTGACAGAAAAAGTTTGTTTAAGACCGGCTGAGGATCTGGTTGCCAATAAAATGCCTCGCCTTCGCTCGGGTTATTATCAGCGTCCACTCCCAGCCGGTCTTAAACGGACTTGTATAAAACCAGCAAAGTACTTTTTTATTTCCTTAATAAATAATATCAATGTTATCAAAAATTAATCAGAATCCCAATTAACCTAATTAACGAATGGGCGAATTTTGCTCAAGTGCCGTTTTGCGTTTCACGAAGGGGCGAATTTCCGTGAAAACGGGTCACAGTTAGCAAGAGACAACAAATGAAATGTTATAAGATGCGGTAAGAGTCTGTGTAATACCGGTTGTAATGTCACCAACAGCAAATTTAGATAAACTATATGAGTTTTTTTTTTGCAAAATCGCAATAAATTCTCTTATTTAGCTAGTGTAAATACGACCGCCCTGCCCATTCCTCCCTGTATATTGCCCGAAACCGCCTGAGCACTCAATCGTTGTAATGAATTTTCAGTAAATAAATACATCGTAAAACAATGACGTGCGTGCAATGAAGCGTTTTCACGAAGGGGCGAACTTTAAGGCGCACGCGCAGTAGGGCGAAATCTGCGCATACTGATTCTAGCGATTTCAAGAAAGGGCGAATTTCACAGCCATAGGGGCGAATTTGCTAATTGGTCGTTTTTTCGTTTTCACGAACAGCCAATTCTCTTAATTGATTAATTCTGCAAACATAATCACCTATTTTTCGTACAGTTTGCTAAATTTAGGAAGATAACAATCTTTTCTTTCCTCTCATACCTAATTATTACATATTCTATGCATCTTTACGTTTCAAATTATTAAACGAAAAAGGACCAACTTAAAACGCGTTTTTCTATTTATTTCATTATTTTTTAAACCCCCACTAAATCATTATTATTATTATATTGTATAAAATATTTGTTTTGTAGCCACTGGTATTGGCTAGCAAAGACAATATGGTCACAGTCATTGAATTATCTTTTTTAATTCCGGGAATTTCCCGCTGGCTGATGTGTTTTTTATTTGTATTGAACCATGCTGTATATTTGTTTGTTTTAATGCCACATAAATAATATAATAATTATTCACGCTTGCCGCACAGCCATGTTAGGCGATCAATCGTTTACCGAGTCATCAGTCTATTTATGTTTATAATTACTTGCACGCACCCTGAAAAATTAATTTCCCTCGTTTATGTCACTTGACAGCTAAATTTTTTTAAACTGTTCAAGTGCGTGTGTTCAATTTACAAAGCTTAACGCAATTCTGCTGGTATACCAAACAAGATAATAGGTGACTAGTGTTTTTGCAGAAGCAAATTGTATGGGAAAATACCTGCGGTGTGGGAGTTATTTTATTGCAATTATAACACCAAGATCTGGAAAATAGGTAGATGAGCAGCTTGAAACCTGAGGCAGAGCTACCAGCTAACGGAATCATTACGGCAACGCGTCTTGTTCTCAAACCGCACAATTGAAATCTATGTACGGTAGCATGTTGCAGAAGCAAAACTTTCTGAGAACAGCAGATTCTTTTTGACATTAAGTTGCCTGGTGAGGAAACACTGACAACAATTTTTTTGCATTACGATATATTAACATGAATAATTCTTCGTCATTTTCGAAGGTCGATGACAATGGTTATGGCAGCCAGATTGTGGTAGCAATTCTCATCACTGTCGCCGAAAAAGACGTGAGGGAGTTCAGATAAACGGTTTAAGCCAAGCAGAATGTTTATTGAATCATGTAAACCGGTGGGATGAAAGTGGACCAATTGCACCACTGCCAGCTATTCCGGCCAGTTCGGTTTATCTCGTGAGATTTCCCGTGGTTCTCAATAAGAATAAAATAATGAAAGAAAGAAATGGTAATTCTTAGTGGACCCATACAAATGTGTGTCTTGTGTCCTAATTACATATAATAAAGAATAAGAGAGATCGTGTCATCTACATGTACATTGTCATGGGCCTACGTGTCCTAAAAGTATCAATAATCACATAAACAATAAGCTGAAACAAACGTATTGGGTGTCTAGCTTCAACACTTTAATCACTAGTGCAATGCATATGGCTTTAATATAACCAATAGCACTTTAACCGTATACTGAGTGGGTAAAACTGGCCCTTACACTATATACATGTACATGTATTTATAATTGTACACAAAATGAACTCCAAATGGGTAATCAAAACAGCTACAAAACCACTGCAGAAAAGTCCTCATCAAAAATCAGAAATAATATACTTACTACTTAAAATCATGATTTAAGGATAGCTTGGGATGGAATTTTAGTCATCGTGGTTTTGTTTTAATTGGAAAACGGGTCAATTTTAGATTGGAAAATGCTGGAACGGAACTTTCGGTTAAAATGTGACTGGAAACTGAGGATCTGATTGAGGGCACCCTACATGCTGACTGGTAGTAAGGCCTTGATTAATATAAATCACAAGAGGGCGCTAGTCAGCACACCAATTAGTTACTGCCTTCTGTCAGTGGCCATTTTTTGCACAATTGGTAACAGCTTCGTTACCATCGCCGTTGGTTCACCAAAGAAACTTCAGACCACCACCAACGTGTTCGTGGTCAATTTGGTCGTTTCAGATGTACTCACATGCTTTTTCTTGACCTTGCAGGCTGTGGCGATCCTGGATGGAAATGCATTGCCGATAACAAAAGTTACAAAACAGTTTACTGTTTTGTTTTTTAGGTGCTGCCTTGATCGGAGGATTGCCTCGACTTTCGTTACTTTGGTAGTGTCTGATTCTCCTGATGTTCCCTCCATATACGCGCAACTGCTTCGGCGTGTTTAGGGACGTGGTAGAGGATTCCCAATACTCCATGATATCAATGTGAACTGGAGAAATTGCAGAAAAGCTGTACAAATCCTGCACCTGACCAAGATCCAATCCATACACTAGAACCACCGTCTGTTAACAGCAAGAATCTACAACCCAACACAACTAATAACTATCAGTATGAAATACATTTCCATTTTCTGCTACGTCCATCAGAGACGATGGCCGCTACACACGGAAACACAGCAACGGTTACATGAAAGAAACAACCTGACGTCACAAAAAAAATTGATGTACGTCGTATTGGCGTTCATTCTTGGCTTCACGCAACTTTTCAATTGCCAACTTTCAATTGAAATCATTCAAAACAACCATTATTGTCTCTCATGAAAAATTCTATTGGTCATTCACATATTTGTCAACCAGTTATTAAGTTAAAGTTACCCGTATTTATGTCATAATAATTGTATTACATTAAAGTTGACAGTTCACGGTATTAATGCTATACAGGGCGCACGTCAACAAAGTGCGTATGAATCATATTCATTTTGGACCCGGTTTAAAGTCACACCATTATGACCATCATTACCATAATTGCTTTTGAATCGTGGTGTGAGAAAACTGCGCTATATGGTACGGGTACTCAGAACTATAGGCCGCCGGTTATTGATACCGGAGACAGAGAATGGTGTCATAACAACAACTCTTGAACTTGCAACCCAATGTCTATTCAGAAGGATTCTTTTTGACATTATGATAACTGTCGCTTGGTAAAGACATTGTCAACTTAGTTCCCTCACACTAAAATGAATAATACAACGTCAAGTCAAGTGGTACAAAGTGAACCAGAAATTCGTGTCTTTGAACAGTTTTACGAGAGACAGATTGTTGTGGCAATTGTCATCACTGTTGTCATCCTTGGCACAGTTGGTAACAGCTTCGTCATCATCGCTGTTGGTTTATCCAAGAAACTCCGGACGACCACCAACGTCTTCGTCGTCAATTTGGCCGTTGCAGACGTACTGACCTGCCTCTTTCTGCCCTGGCAGGCTGTTGCGGTCCTGGAAGGGGACGAGTGGCCCATACCGCGGGCACCATGGATTTGCACTGCTGCTTCCTTTGTCGTGTTGGTCACAATCGGATGCAGCATCAACAGCCTGGCTCTAATTGCCGTCAACCGTTGGGTGGGCATCACCAAGTCTCGCTTCACCACCTGTCGCATCTACACCGTCCGTAAGCTCGCTCTGATGGTCATCTTCTCCTGGGCTATACCGCTCGGCTGCGCCCTAACGCCTGTCCTGACAGACTTAGGCGAACTGGGCTACGAGAAGCTTTACTCCAGCTGCACGTGGGACAGATCAAACCCGTACTCGTTCCACTACAACATATTTATCGCAGCCATCTACTACCCGATGCAGCTGACCGTCATCATGGTCTGCTACGCGTCCATCTTCTGTTACGTCTTCAAGACATCGCGTAAGATGACACGCGCTGACGCTCCGTCCATCGCGGAGAAAGTCAGCGGCGGAGGTACCAACCGCGCCATGAGAAGAAAGCTGTGGAAGAGACAACTAGACGTCACCAAAAACCTGTTGTACATCGTCATGGCGTTCATCCTCTGCCTAACGCCTTACTTCACGGCCATCATTTTCTCTGCGGATTGGACCTACCGTCTTACCCCCTGGGCTGGTGTCATTTTGTTCTGCAACAGCTGCGTCAACCCCTTCATCTACGCAACCTCGCATCCAGATTTCAAAGAGGCTTTCGGGCACATGGTAAGGTGTCGCAAAAGCCTCAGAAGTAGATCAAGCCAGCAGTAAAAATAAACAGTAGCTCTCAAGTGAACCAAGGCTACACGACAGAAAACACACCCAGAAACTCTGAACACCAACCGCCAAGTGGATTCCTTCAATGACAAAAAAAATCGGTTGTAACCACGGTCTTTTCCCTGTACTTTTTTTAAAGTCTTCTCATGGGCTATACCTCTCAGCTGTACACTGAAACTATCAGTCTGTTAATTGCAGGAATCTACTACACAGTACATGTGATTACTATTACCATCAATTCATTCTTTTCCATTTCTTGTACGACCGGAACACGTCACAAGAGACGATGGAGGCAATTCGAGGAAACACAGCGACATGAGTATATGAGTATGAGGATATCTCAGAGACAACTAGGTGTCACAGAGAACTTGTTGTTCATCGTCTTGGCGTTCATTCTCTTCACGCCATGTTCCGTTCCGCCATATTATGGGGTGCTTGGAGTGCTGCCACGTTTCGTCAGGATTGAACTCTTTATTGTTTGTAAATGGAGTCTCTATACATTCGGGTTTATGTTTTGAGCATTCAAGTGATTAAATGGGTTCGGTGTTACTGTAATATTTCACTCTTTGGAGGCTACCATTCTGAGCAATTTATGAATATAATTGGGAATGGTCGTATTATTGGTAATGATTGGCGAGGCACAATATGTTTCATTGGGTATTACAAGCCCTGATTATTATTATTTTTTGTACAATTGAGCATGGTCTGTGTGTAATGAATCTATACATTGTACAGTTTGCATGGTAGACATTAATTTTAAATTGTGTGGCACGATCTTAAATATAACGTTTTCGTTCAGACAAGTTAAAGGTAATATACAACATTTGCTTTTGCTGTAATTTTCAGAAATTGGGGGTTATTATTTTATAACAAATATTATTGTTACACTGACTTGTTTTTTGATGTTTGCAAATGTTGTATTCCCTTCAAGCGAGCAATCGTTTACCAAGCTACCAGTCCATCGACATTTATAATTACTAGCGGCTCCTGGGTAATGCATTTCCCTCTTTCATGTTACTTTTAAACAGTTCAACGATTTTGACTTTTCTAAAGTGCGTAGGGCCTACATTTACAAAAGCTGACTGCGAATTTTGTAAGAGTTTGTAAACTGTACGGAAAAGTAGTGAGAATGTATAATGGAGTTAGTATAACTGCAGGTGTAACACCCAGCGCTGGAAAACAAGTAGTTCGGTCCGATTTCCGAAAATACACTGCAAATGTGGCTCGGTATTCATGCGTTAAGAAAATGAGCGAAGAATCGGTAACAACTAATCTTGTTACATCGCACTAACCAGAAGCCTGTTTTTCGAAGGGAAATATATTTTTTTCTTTTCAAATTATGTTGAAGGGGTCTCTGATCCTGTAATTGATATGCGAGTGTGTTTATTAAATCCAGCCAAGACTTTGTTAACGTTTTCTTAATTTGTAAAATTTGTAGTAATAACATGTACGTGACAATCTACATTGCTTACTAAGTTGTGTTTAAATATAAATACACATGAGTTACAAACACAAAAGAGCCCTTTGTTTTTTTGAATGTATACCTCAAAGTTGCCATACATGGCGTTACGAAGCCATTGTGCTCAACGCAAAATGTATACACACTAGACCTGAATGTGTTTGTGGTAATTAGGTTAAGCCATTATACTCATGCTTACTTCTCCGTACATAAACACATGTCAGCCTTAGGGACAAAAGAGTACATTTCAAAAAAACCGGAAAACCCAAAATCTTGAATATAAATATCACAGAATCTTCAAATGAATCCTACAAGTATACAAATTGCGGATCCAGGTCATTCAATCTAAATGGTGGGGTAGGCTGTCGCTCTTAAAAGAAATTTTAATATCTTATTGTATACGTTCTCTGAATTATATGTTATCTGAATTACACTCCACTGGAGTGTCATGGCCTAGCGGTTAAGAACACCGGACTCATGCTCTGGTGTTTCAGAGGCAACAGTGGCGTGGGTTCGAGCCCGGGCCCGGACACTTGTGCCCTTGAGCAAGGCACTTAACCATTATTACTTAACCATTAAAGCCGTAGGTCCCGTGTGTTGTGTAATGCACGTAAAAGACCCCAGTAACACTTATCGCTAAGAGAAAGGGGTTTGCCCCGGTGTTTCTGGCAGTGGCTGCAATATGTGCCGCATCACCTTGTAACCCTTAAAGGTGCTACATAATGGGTCTCATATTTCTCATATTGAGGGCCTCCATGGAAAGCAGTGCCCTGCACTGATCGGAGCTACCCTCACTAAAGATGACGTATATAAAACAAAACAAAAATGCTTCAAATGTCTTTCATTATTCATGCATCCGCTTATAAAGCCATATGAATGAGCGAATTCGCTAAACGGTTCAACATTTATGCCGACGCTCATAAATCCAAGCGTAAAATATCGGTTCTATCGTTTAGGTGGACACGTTCAACAATAGGTTACTATAATGAGGAGTTTTCTACGGTTTCCATGAAAATATCCGTTTGCAGAATATTAATTAGCCTGAACAAAATACATGTAATCCAATATTCCGGATATATTACAGATGCGCGATCTATACGCCCACGTGATCATTCTACACTCATGGTACAACAGACCAGAGATATTGCTCTAAGCATTGCGCCACCTTTTGTTCAAGTCAGTATGACTCTGTCATTAATGTGCATCATTGGGTTAAGAGTCTCCTGAATCACGTTTTTTTGCACTTTATTAATTTCGAAGCGCATTCAACCGTCCTCTGATTTATTATTTTGTCGCGTGCCCTAGTAAAATGTGTTATTAAACGAATACAGACTGAGCCTGCACTGAGTCATGTGGAATGGAAGTGTGATATAATTATTATCATGAGCTATTAACACTTCCTTGTAAAATGTGAATGAATGTATTGTGTGTACAATGTCGTACATCAAATGACAAGTGGCGGCAATTCTAAAAGGTATAAGCAGACGCAGTTTTTAAATTATAATTGTTAAAGTACTACTTAAATTTACTATATTAATAAATTACAGTTATGACATTTTTTGATTTAGCTTTTTTAATACATGGACTAATTATATCATTTAATCTGATTCATAAGATTACTTCCCTCTGTTGATTGGTCAAGTGTCTTTAGTTTACCATCATCTCGATAGTTCGAAAATATCGGATGACAATTTTAATTGTCAAAGACCTGTGTTGACGTTATGCTTTGTCAACTACCATAACGGTTTAATTTAATTATTGTCTTTAGTTGTATTCATTATATTTTAGTTCACCTTTATCCATCATTCACTTTAATCTCATACTTAATGCAACTTGATTAATTAACCTTTATCTACCTTATTTTTTCATCTCCCTACTTTGCTACTTGTTATAAATCTCCACCTTTATATCTGCTTAAAGAGGATGTGGAATGCTCGAAGACATTTCCCGATGTCCCGATGCACAGTAGCATACACGAGTCCTGTTTATTACGTCAAGATTTACTGTGTTTTGTTTGCTGCCCGCAACGACGACTTTTACACAGTTGCACGTTCGGGTCGAAACTGGACCTGAAAAACAGCTCTCAAAAGTAACTTTTGTACTCATTTCATGACAGAAACAATAGTCGTTTTTATTTCATCACACCTTAGGCTACATATACCCGAAAAATGACGGAAATGCCTTCGAGCATTCCACAACTTCTTTAAGAACTCCTACCCCCGGGTGATGCTGAATGTAACAACTTTTGTGATTGGACGGTGGGGCGGTGGCGGGCAACATTTGATTCTGTCAATCACAAAATGGCTGCAGCCATGTTGCAGGCAAAACTATCAATGATGCATTAAACGTCTCTCCGTATGTCTTGGGTGTACAGGCTTCAGTGCTTTATCCATTGTACTTATGATTTGCATTTTCAAGACTATGTAACCCTGTACTTAAATGGGATACCGCTTTCCGCTTTGTTTCACTGTAATTCCTTAATATGAGCTAGGAACAGCTCACAACTCCTGTTGGGTTGTGGTGCACTAAACAGAATAACCAGGCGTCCATAAATATCATTAAGTGTTGCTTAATTTGTCTTTGTTTAAAGATTTGACAATAATATTGCCCATAGATCACAATGGCCGGGGAGGGGAGGGCTGAATATAATCCGACACCAGCGGGCGCTGTTTCAGGTGAACAGGATGGACTATATCTTTCACTTTGTGGCGCATATCATGGGGCCCTCTTTCGCCGGCCGTTAAATCATTTTACCGACAAGAACGAAAAGTCTTCCTGTTAAAAGACAATTAGAAACGCTCAGCACGAGCGAAATGAAAAAAATCTCCTACGAACAGAAATACAAACACCGATAAAACGGGATGTTATCACTTTTCGATTTTTTACATCAAACAAATCTAACGACGTTCAACCTGGGCCTAAGACAGCTCATAGCCATGCTTGTTTTTGTCTATCTGTGACTGGTCTTAAAAGGACAAAAGTGGAGTTGTCAAGTTTTCAATTGAATTAAGTTTAAATTACCATTATTATGCCTCATGGACAATTGGGTTAACCATTCACATATTTGCCAACACATTATTATGATAAAATTGCACGTAGATATTTGATAATAATCATATTACATTATTAACTTAAAACATCGCATTACGACTTCACTAATGTAATAGAGGGCGCTATTTAACAAACCGCGTTTTCAATCCTATTTAGTTCGACCCGCTCTTAAATCACACATTATAACCATAGTTACCACAATTGCTTTTGAATCGCTGTGACAGGAAACAGCTACGGTACGGGTACACACAAACGGCGTGCCAGTTGATGAAACCGGCAGAAGGACTGTACCAGACAATGATGTTGTAAAACACGATCTATTTGAAAGGATTGTTCTTGAAATTACAGTGAGCGTGGTTTTGTGTAGACACACTGAAAACGTTTGCTTATAAGTTAACTCAATTCCTCACACTAAAATGAATAATACTTCATGTCCAGTGGTAGAAAATGAACCAAAAAGACAGATTTTTGCAGCAATTGTCATCACTGTTTAACATTTGTGGCACAATCATTAACATTCACGATTTACGTCCAGACAAGTTGAGCGAGCAATCGTTTACCAAGTTATCAGTTCATGGAAGTTTATAATTACTGCCATGCCTCCCGGGTAGTGCATTTCCCTCGTTTATGTCACTCGACAGTTGAACGATTTTGACGTTTTTCAAAGTGTGTTACATTTACAAACGCTGACCGTGCATTTTGTAGGAGTTTGTAAACTGTGCGGAAAAATAATGAGAATGTAGCAGTTAATAAAGCGCTGAAAATAGGTCAATGACCAGTTTGGTCCAATTTCATAAAATACGCTGCAAGTAATGCTCGGTAAACTCATGTGTTAAGCAGAGAACCAAAAACAAACAATGTACATATTGAACTTTTAAGCAAATATTTTTGTTCTTGGAACATTTCTGTTCTCAGCTGATAGCACGTCCATTAAAGCAGTCCCCGATCTTGTCACTGAAATGCAAGTGTGATGTTGCATCCAGCCTAGACTTAAACGTTTTCTTAATTTGTTAAACAAATT